TGAGCTCAATTAAGCACCAACTCTCAGTCCTTTTGTGGTATTATAACAATTCCTGAGACTGGGTAATTTATAGACAATAGAATTTAGCTTCTTATAACTTTAGAGGCTGGAAAGTTAAAGGTCAAAGGACAAGAGAGTTTAGTGTCTGTCTGTTAATGGGTCTATGCTTCAAAATGGTGCTTTGTTCCTATGTCCTCACATGGCAAAAGGACAAAAGGGGTCAGAATTCACTCCCTCAAGTTCTTTATCAAGTGTGCAAATCCCATCTCTTTGGGCTATGCTATTATTAATCATTTCCTAATAGTCCTATCTCTTAACACCATCACATTGACCATGAAGTTTCAACACATGAATTTGGAAGATTATAGCACCTATAAATACTGACTTGTAATTGTTTTAATCCAAGCGGTAGAGTGCTCGCCCAGCATGTGTGAGGACCAGGGTTTGATCCTCAGCACCATATAAAAATAAATAAATAAATATTAAAAACATAAAATAGAGTTCACTAGTATACCTTCACCTTCTAACCAAGTACTTTGAGTATCCTCTGGTCTCCTAGGCTTAGCAAAGGTGGTATTTTTCAGTGATGATTTGAGTATCAACATCGCTCTAGGAATTTATATTTTTGTAGTTCTTTTGAAGTTACAACTGCTTTCCAGTTTCTACTCATTACTGGCTTAATTCTCTTTCTCTTGATTATTTTATTTGTCAGGATTAGGTGTTGACTTGGAGAGGTGATTCATTTTATCTGTCCAAGGATAGTTAGGTATTCACAGAGTTTATATAACCTTTATATTTGCTTTGTGTTTTAATATCTTCACTTCTAGGAAAGATGTGTCAGTCCATTCACTTTTTCAATGTAATATTTGATGTATTCTACAGTTTATATTCATTATAGATTCTTGTTTGTACCAGAGGCCAGGCATTGTTGTTGGAACCACAGAAAAAATCCTTCCCTTATTAAAAAAAAAACTCATTGTAGTAGAATATTTACACACATCTTGTATATACATGAGAAATACAATAGGACATTCATGAAACTACCCTTAACCTGAAAACCAACACTTGGGCACCTCCCCAATACTTCACTCATCACTAGAGAGAGAGCTAAGGAGGAAATAAATGGTGGTTACATCTGAGTGGGCTGTTGATCATTCCTTTCGATTTGTATACATTTTATCACACATGCATGTATCTCAAGGCAATGTATTATTTAGCATTTGCTAGCATTTGAATTATGAAAATAGAATGTTTTTATTTGGTTTATTTTTTTCATTTGATTTCTCTCAAATTCATTCAAAATACAGTCATCCCTCTGTAGGTTTTGCAACTGTGGATTCAACCAATGCTGGATCAAAGATATAATAGTGGCACATGCCTGTAATCCCAGCTATTTGGGAAGAAAAAAAATTGCATCTGTGCAGAACATGTACAGACTTTTCTTTCTTGCTATTCCCCAATAAATAATGTAGCAATTATTTATATAACATTTATATTAGGTATAATTCATCTAGGGATTATTTAATGAATACAGGAGAGCATGCTTTGGTTCTATGCAAACATGACACCATTTTGTACAAGAGACTTAAGCATTCATGGATTTTGGTATTTGTAGGATCCTGGAGCCAATCCCCCACAGATCCAAAGAGACAACTATGTATTTGAAATTATGCATCACTTTACTGCTGCATAATATTGTATGAATATACTACAATTTTATTTGCCCATTCTCTTGAACACATTGATGTCCAGTTTCCACTATGGTGAATATGACGTTTTGACCTCCTGGTCACAGTGTTAAAAATTTAGCTCTCATCTAAGAATAGAATTGCTAGGTGGACCTTCTAAAACAATGCCAAATTATTTTCCAGATTAGTTGCAAAAATTTGCACTTCTGTTACATCTTTATCAGTATTTGTTATTGGTGAACTTAAAATAATATTTTTGCCCTTCTAGTGGGTAAAAATATTGCATGTCTGTGTGTCTCTGATTGTTGGTAAAATTGTGTATTTTGTCATGTTTTTTTCCCCCTGTGTATTTTTTTTTCATTTTTTTTTTCAGTGCTGGAAATTGAAACCAGGGCCTTGTATACATGCTAGGCAAATACTTTACCATTGGGTTACACTCCCATGCCCCCTGTGCATCATTTTTTTTTTTTAAAGAGAGAGTGAGAGAGGAGAAAAAGAGAGAATTTTTAATATTTATTTTTTAGTTCTCGGCGGACACAACATCTTTGTTGGTATGTGGTGCTGAGGATCGAACCCGGGTCGTACGCATACCAGGCGAGCGCGCTACCGCTTGAGCCACATCCCCAGCCCCGTGTGTATCATTTTTAAGAGGTTTATACATTTTGAAATTTTAAAATTCCATAAAATTCTAATAATTTTAGCCCCATTTGCCTCATTCTTTCTTTTTTCTGAACAAGTTGTATGGTTCTTCACCTATCAATACCTGAGTATTTCCCAAGAATAAGGTCCTTCACTTACATAGCAACACAATATAATCAAAATCATGAATAAAATGTTATATAATCCATAGCCTATATTCAAATTTTGCCAATTGTCCCAATAGTGTCCTTTATAGATTTGTTTTCCCTCCTAGTCCAGGATCATTCCAAGATCACTTGTATTTCATTGTCATGTCTCTATTTTCCAGTTACCTGTTAAAGTTCCTGAGTTTTGTCTTTCTTCACTAACATTTTTGAAGTGTACAGATCAGATATCCTTCAGATTTTGATTCGTATTTTCTCATGATTAGATCTAGGTTATACAATGTGGGCAGGAAAACCACAGCAGTGGATGTCTTCAGTGCCTCATATAAAGATATTTTGTCCTAATGAAGCTAATAATGGCAATGATCATTTGATTAAGGTAATGGCCACCAGGTTTCCCCACTGGAAATTTAATATTTTCCTTTTTAATTGGTCACTTATGAGGAAGACACTTTGATGCTATAACTATCTGTTCCTCATCAAACTTTCACTCACCAATTACAGCATCAGTTGTTGATTTATTTCTTCTATACAAACTGGTTGGCATTCTACTATAAGGAGCAGCTTTCCCTTCTCAGTTATTTATCTCAATTTGGACCTGATTTTTATGTTATGTAATGCTTTATAGTTCTTTATCATTATTTGCTTTGATGCTCTAATTGTCTCTGAATTGAGCAGCAGAAGACCTTTTGAAGTTTACCCCTGAGTCCTTTTGATATGTCCCTATTGTTCTTTGAGCATTTTTATTTTCTGTTGCTATTATATGTTCCATTCTTATCTTTTACTTTCCTTGGAATCAGTCATTTTCTGAAGGAACCCATTTTCCCTAATAGAGAATGATATTTATAGCCCAATTTCTTGTGTCTCATTGCTACTAGGCCCATTCAACAGAGGCAGAAAACTATGATTGTGTGTTTATGGGGATAAAAGTTGGGGGAATATGTGATATGTATGCCATTCATGAGTTCATACCAATACCTCCAATTCCAATTAAACACCACCATAAGTTACAATCTTGCTTTTTCACTCTTCCCACATTTGTAACACCTTTTTTGACAGTAAGAAAACTTGCTTTCACTATCTTCAATGTATTAATTTGCACAAGCCTAGAAAATACTGGAAGTAGTTTCAGAATTATTAACTCTATAACACTGGGAAAAGGAAGAAATGTGTACAGTTCAGTATAATGTTCCATACTTCAATTAGTCCAAAGCTTTGACAGTTATTTTTCAGATATTCTGTATCTTTACTGATTTTTTTTGTCTGTTTCTAGCATTTACTTATTTCTTCATTTGCTTAGAAATCTTGTTGTTTTTTTTTAAAGAGAGAGAGAGAGAATTTTTTAATATTTATTTTTTAGTTATCGGTGGACGCAACATCTTTGTTTGTATGTGGTGCTGAGGATCGAACCTATGCTGCACGCATGCCAGGCGAGCGCGCTACCGCTTGAGCCACATCCCCAGCCCCATAGAAACCTTGTTAATAGGTATATGCCTACTTATGATTTTGATGCCTTGTTTGTGAATTGCCCCTTTTGACTTGACTTTATAAAATGACCTTGTTTTTTTCTGGTAGTTACTCCCATCAGGAAGACTACTTTGTTTCAATATAGCATTACAGTTATTTTGGTTAGTATTTGAATACTGTATGTTTGTGATAACTCTGGTTGCTTACCAGTGATGAGTTCTGCTCCCTCACATGTTGAAATCTAACTTTAGAAAAGCATGAGGAGGCAAGCAGAAAAAGTAGAGTTTATGGGCTGGGATTGTGGCTCAGCAGTAGAGAGCTCGCCTAGCCCGTGCTAAGCCCTGGGTTAGATCCTCAGCACCACATAAAAACAAACAAATAAATAAATAAAGGTACTGTGCCCAACTACATCTATAGAAAAACCGAAAACAAACAAACAAAACAACAACAACAAAAAAAGGGTTTATTTTAAAAGGGGTAACAGACTTCTCCCAGGAGGAGAAGTCTTAGGCTTTCTTCTCCTGCTCTCCTTTCCTTATCTCTTTGCTATCAAATGTTAGTTTCTCCACTAATATTTTAGCTCTACCGCTTTGCATTAATTTTTACTTTTTCTAGGAACTACAATATGCATCCTTATCACAGTCTACTTGGAATTAATATGGTACCTCTTCATTTAAAAAGTAAGACCATGCAATAGTATAGTTTCATTTGCATTCTTCTCCCTTTTGCTATTGTTACCACATATATAAAGTCTACTTAGCCACAGAAAAGGTGTTCTGGGGCACACTGCCCAAGTGTGAAAGTTAGGAGGTATCTAGGGCTCTCTCAGGGGCACAGTTAGTGTGAGCCCATCGGTTTGGGATTTTCTAGGAGGCAAGGAAAGGAGATCGATCACTCGAGCCTCCTCTTGCTGAGCCTGTGGAATCGAGACGCTAGATCGGCTGGGAATGCCTGGAGTGCCGGCGCGCGGAGCCTGGAGGGAAGTCGGGGCTGCGGGGACGAATGTGAGTGGCGCTGATGGCCCGCGCAAAGGGAGGAAGGGGAGGGGCGCAGGGCGGGAGGACGCCGGGCGGTCGCGTGGCCGCGGGTGCGCTACCCAGGGGCGCATCCCAGGCCCGCGGATTTGGCCTCGCTGCTCTGGCCGTGCTCACTGGCCCCCCAGGGGCTTTGCAGCGGAAGCTGTGGCGGTGGCAGCCACGCGTGTGTGCAGATCCCCGGGACGACTGTGGGCGTTCGTCTGTGCAGGCCTGAGGCGGGAGCTGCCTTGGGGAACCATCCCGATGGGCACCATCTCCCGTGGAAAATGTTACCGATGCTGTGCTTTTATAGAAGGATCTGGAATAGTAAAAAAAATCCCTTTTTTAAAACGGGTAATTTTAGATGTTTAAAAGGTCTCAACTTTATAAGTTAACCTTATAAGTCTAGTCTGTCATTTTATGATAAAAGACACATTAAAATTGCGTGCAGCCTCCGTGTTCTGTCTCAAGCCTAGGGTTCTCTTGCCCCAGGAAATGTTTAATTTCCTGGAAATTAAATGTTCCACGTTTAATTTCATGAAGATGGTTTTAACCCATATGTGTTTTATTTTGTAGGAAGAAGAAATTTAAACGAATAACATGAGGTTACATAAAGTCCCCGTTTTTATTAGTTCAAGCCAAGAGAGTAAAAGTAAAGCATTGCTATCTTTCACCAGAAATAGCTTGTGTTTTATTACTTGGATCACCCAATTTTTCTAATACTCATAATGCCAGAAGGGAAATCGCCTGACAAAAAAAGACCTCGGAGAAGCTTGTCAATCAACAAAACTAAAAAAAATTCATCTAACTCTATCGTTTCGTATTTTAACAATGCACCACCTGCTAAACTTGCTTGCCCCATTTGTAGTAAAATGGTGCCCCGGTATAACTTAAACCAGCACCTTGATGAAATGTGTGCTAACAATGGTGATGTCATTCAAACGAATCCAGTACAGGTTAACTTAATGAATTCAAATGTGACCACAGTAGATTTAACGAATACTGCCTTAGAAGATGTAAGACCAAGGAAGTCACCACCAAAGACAAGTCCAATACCTCACCGAAGTGGTTTGGCAAAAATGAGCGCAAAACAGCAGACCAGTCCTTACTTTAAAAGTACTGATGCCTTGGTGTGCAAAAATCAAGATGAGCTGATAAGTCATTCTGTGAAAGTCATTTCTTTGGGAAGCCTGTCAACTAAATTGTCCAGGAAATACATAAAGGCTAAAAAGTCTCTAAGTAAGAATGAGGAATTTAGCAATAATTGTCTACAGAGTTCCCCATCCACAGCTGTTAAAAGCCTGATTGCTAACTGTTTAGAAATTGAGGACAAGGATCAAATTTTGGAGAACAGTTCTCAAAAAGAAAATATTTTTACATGTGATTCTCTAAAGGAAGAGAATATTTCTGAACCTATGGTAAAAGGTGATAAAATAGTGGAAGCTGAAAGCCAAAAGACTGCTCAGAAATGTGGGAAATTCACCCTTACCCCTGGGTTCTCTGATAAAGCTCCCATGTTATTTTCTCCAGATTTGTTCCTTGGGAATAATTTAAAGTATACTTCGGAAGATAGTCTTGTAAAGCAAGAGAATGTCAAAGATATAGATGATAAAGGTGTTGAAAAACTTGAGGCATGTAATTGTAAAGAAGTAGAAATGACTGTTGTTTCAGAACTTAAAACACAGTTGTCAAATTCAGAGGCAGATTTTCCAAGTTCTACAATTGCTTCTGAGTGGAGTAACTTTCAAGAAGTTTTGGAAGGTGAGAGTGGCTTAAAGAGTAAAATCACTTGTAGCACTGCTGTGGAGCAAGGGTCAAGCTGTGGTGTTCCTGATAAGATGCCGCAAACACTGAGTCATCCTTACTATCTTCGGAATTTCCATGTGGTACTGAAAGCTGTACTTGAGAATGAAGATGATATGATGCTCTTTGATGAAGAGGAGAAGGGAATTATAAGTAAATTTCATCAGTTATCAGGTATCTTCAGCCTGTTTGCTTTCAATTTTTTGTTTCCCATTTGCTGTCCTAATTGAAGGGTGATGTGATGGGCAGTGACCTAATGACTAGCAGAAATCATTGTGATTTTGTAAATGGGAATCTGAGCTTCCTATAAGACTTGTATCAAGGATATGCAGGTAGGTGCTATCTACTGTGCAAGCAGAACTTGGATTGCCATGGAAGCAGTTGTTTTTTTCCTTTATAGATATGTTTGATGGATGTAAAATGACCCTGCCAGATTTTTTAAAGAATACACTGAAAAAAACATAACTTTGCATTTTGGGCATGTAATCAAGCTTCCTGTTAGATTGTTTTGTTTTCACAGTTCATTTCCTCAAAAATGAAAGTAAAATAATATAAAATTTAGGAAAAATAACAAACCAATCTGAGGCACAATTTTTTTCCAACAGTGTTTAGATTCTTGGACTTGACCTCTTCAAGTCAGGTTGTAGAGAAAATGGAAGTTCTCAGGCTTAAATTAGTACCTTTAAAAATATTAGTCTGTGCCTCAAATCATTAGCCAGTGGTGGCACCAAGTTGGTCTTGCAGGTTTGAAGAAAAGGGCACCCTGGTGTGGCTGCCCTGTTACAAAGGATCATGACGGCTCTAGAACTGAATCACTTCAAGGTTGGAATAGCTTACTTTGTGGCTGAACTGTTTACATGGTTTTCACACTGTCCTCTAGTGCAGTATGGGCATGTCTGTCTCTTCAGTTGATTAAAAGAAGAACATCCTAGATATTGCTACTAATATTTAATGCTTTTATTGTTATTTTGAGTTTGGGTCTTTCTAAGTTGCCCAAGCTGGCCTCAAACTTGGGATCCTCCTTCCTCAGCCTCTTAAGTACCTGGGATTACAGGTGTGTACCACCATACCCAGCTACTACTAATATTTAAGAAACTACACACAGTGGAATTATCAGGATATTCCTTGTATTATTTTTTAACAGGTGACTTGCACTTCTCAGCAAGTTGTGTAAAGTGTCCATACAGCCTCTATCTCATTCTTTTCTCACCAGGGTATGGACATAAAGGCATCGCATTGGCTCTTTAATCCAGACTGGCCACAGTTCTTTGGATGGGTGCTGATTATATTGACTTTTTTTTTTTTTGGGATACTGGGGATTGAACTCAGGGGCTCTTAACCACTCAACAACATCCCCAGCCCTATTTTATATTTTATTTAGAAATAGGGTCTTACTGAGTTGCTGAGACTGATTTTGAATTTGCAGTCCTCCTGCTTTGGAATTACAGGTGTGTGCCACCATGCCCAGCTTATGTGACTTTTTGGGTAGTTGATGGATCTGGGCCTCCATATAACTGGAAAATATGAACAGTTTACCTTGTGCAAGTTTAACAAATTCATTGAATTGCTTTCCATGGAGAATCACGTACAATGTGTCTTAAGTAAAAGCTGCCTCTTTAAAGGAAAGAAAGGAAAATGTAGAAAAATTTAAAAGCTATAATATTATTTTAGAGTTGGCAGAAATTTAAAAATAATTCAAGTAGTAAGGAAATAGACCTAACAGGTTAATTATGTAAGTTGGAATAGAACTCTGAGGTAGAGATGACTGTCCTATCTAAGCTAGGCACTGTTTTGGAAAATTCAGACTATTTTTGGCCCTAAATGGACTAATGTGTATTAAACTGAAAGCAGAGAACAAAATTACTATAGAATTGTAGGTAAGGTTTCTTTTAGGAAGAAGAAATATTGACTAGAAAATAGGGGGATTTGATTTTAGAAGTTTTAAAATGACTCATGTTCATTACTAAATTGGAACTTTGTAAAATGACTTATATGAAATTATATCATTATGCATAAGGTAAGAAAATGTATATTCCTAGTATAGTATATTTACTCACTTCAGGTTTTAAAAGTAAATGGGTAATTTGTATATTGTTTTTGAGAAAAAAAAGTAATATTTTTTCTATTTTTCTTAACTTTATCACAGCTAGTGGTCAGAAATTATATGTAAGGCTCTTTCAACGTAAATTAAGCTGGATTAAGATGAATAAATTAGAATATGAAGAGATTGCTTCAGACTTAATACCTGTGATTGAAGAATTGAAGCACGCAGGCTTTCTTCAGACAGGTATGATCAGTAGATAATACTAAGAAATGAAATGGTAACCTGAAGAGTTCAGTTTCTGCAGAATGATGGTACTGTTAGTATGGTGCCATCTCCTGGTTGTTGCCTGGTAATAGTAATTGCTTTTTTAAAATCAAGTTTTTAAACTTAGTGCAACAGATTATTCATGTGATGAGATAAGACCACCAGGACAGTGAAAACTTGTCTGCTCTTGCTTTAAAACCATGAAATCACCCAGGTAGAGATTGTGCCACAGAAGAAATGCATCCCTCCTTGTCTCTTTCTTTTCAGCAAGAAGTTGAGTAATTTTACTCAGATTCTTTCATCTTTATAAAAGAACAAGGCTGGCTTATTTGAAATGTGTATTTCTTCTAAAAACTTTATCTACCCACATGTGCACACACATACAGCTCTTATGCATTGATTGCCTGGAGAATTTTTAATTGATTTAAACCTATGTAAACAGTAAAGGAGAATATGTCTTCTCCAGTGATACCCTGGGTTGTCTTGTCAGAAGTCTTCACTGAATACCTACCTACACGATATTGTGTGGAAACTTATTTATGAGGAAAACGAAAACTGGTGAGCTTTGGATTCAGGTTGCTTACATTTTAGCAAAATAAGCAAATTGAGCCGAATGGTTCCTTTGGGGCAGAGTTTGTTATGGGAGAGCAGCAGGTAAAGATGAAGTTAGGGTGGGGCTAGATAGGGTGGACATGGGGGTCATGGGGGGAAGTCATGGAGGCTCATCAAAAGAGCGTGGATATGAGTAGTTAGGTAGTAGGAACTGAGGCCCTCCATGGAGCATTGCTTCCCACATGTTGTTGCCATCAGGGTCACCTGGGAAAGGGAATCTTGATCCCTACTTGATGGGAAAGATCTGGGCAGATTCCATAAATTGATATGGTTGACCAGCATCCCAGCTGACTGCTGCTGTGACCTACCTTTAAATAACCTTTCAGTAACAAAACCAGAACCCAGATGTTGCATTATTGCACTCAGTCAAATCCAAGCCCTACTGATGATGCAATATCTCTCTAGCTGTTTCTCTGACCTTGTGGCTGCCCTCTCACTCCCTCTGCTGCAGCCACACAGCTTCAGTGCTCTTCACCATGCTGAGTGCACTCCTGTTTCAGAAACTTGGCCTCAATATCCCCTCCATGTAGGAGAGTTTCCATTGTCTGGCCACGTGGCTTATTCCTGGTTCCATTCACCTCTGTGCTATGTTAGCTCATCAGAAATTTGCCTGACTACCCTGTGTGAAACGGCCAGCCTCCCTGCGAGGCTCCCTTATCTCACCTGTTTCTTTCTCCTTCTAGCAGTTATTACCACCTAACATATAATCATTGGTTTATTTACTATGCCAGGAGGTAAGCTTCTTGTGGAAAGGCAATTTCCACAAAAATACCTTGTAGTGTGCCCAAGGTCTTAACATCACCCAGCATGAGTGCACATTTAGTAATATTTGTTGTGTGTAAGAAGGCACTGCTTAAACTGTGAGTGCCTTATAGGTAGAGACCAGCCAGGCCAAATGTGTAGGGCTTGGTGTGGTGTCTGGGGCCCATAAAAGCAGAATATGATTTCTGTGTGCCAAATGAGTGAGCCAATGAAAGGATTTCCAGTCTGAAGAACGTGAGCAGGGAAGGGACTGTGGGAAGAAGAGGATGATCACTCTAACCTGGTTTGGAAAGTCCTTTTAGAGGTTTTGTAATGACAAAGATAGGGAATATATAGTCAAGTAATTTATTTGAGCAGCATGCCCAAACCATAATAGCTTTCCACATGTGTCTTTTTTGTAATCATATTTTCCTTTTTGTGAGAAATTCTGTTATTTCAGAACTTTTAAGATGTATCTATCTTCCATGGTCTTTAATGGAGAGAATTTGGCAAACTCACCAAATTAGTTTTGGGTTTTGGCAAACTACCTAAATTTTATACAGTAAAAATTCATTTTATTTGTATCTACCTAAGCTTCCTTCTTTATTTTTTATTTATATATGACAATGGAAGGCATTATACTTCCTTCTTTCTTTTACTATTCTACTTACTAGAAAGTAGTAAAATTCCTTAGAACAATTTTTCATTTATTTTAAAAAAAACTATTTCAGAATCTGAATTGCAAGAACTCTCTGAAGTGCTTGAACTTCTTTCTGCTCCTGAGCTGAAAACTCTGGCTAAGACCTTCCACTTGGTAAATCCCAATGGACAGAAACAGCAGCTAGTGGATGACTTTCTCAAATTGGCCAAACAGCGTTCAGTCTGCACTTGGGGCAAGAGTCAGTCTGGAATCAGAGCAGTGATTTTAAAAAGGTTTGTTCACTTTATAAGAGTAAAATTATTTAAAATGTTGATAACAAATGCTAACTTATTGTAGATTGTATGCTTTTTATAATTGTAATCCTTATTTCAGTTGAAATTAGATTGAGAAGCCTGGAAGAGCCTTATTTATAATAACTTAGGTTCTTTTTTAGCTTATTTTAAGCTTAAGATCATACTAGCCAGGCTCAGTTGCACATGCCTGTAATCCCAGTGACTCAGGAGGCTGAGGCAGGAGGATCACAAGTTCAGAGTCATACTCAGTAACTTAATGAGATGCTGTCTCAAAATAAAAAAATAAAAGGGATTGGGATTCATCACAGTAGTAAAGTGCCCCTGGGTGTGATCCTGTGTCCAAACAAAACAAAACAAAAAAACCCATTTTAATTTCTAGCACCAAAAACAGTAGTCAATAGAACAAAGACAGTAAATTCTTAGGTAATTTTTTAATCTTGAAACATGGTTGCACTATGTTGCTTAGGACTTTGCTAAATTGATGAATTTGACTCCTCCACAGCCTCCTGAGTCACTGGGATTATAGGTGTGTACCACTGTGGCCAACAGAAATGGGTACTTTTTGACAGTCTCTGTAGATGAATAGTTTTCAATAAAATGTTGGTGTGATAGGAACCCTACTCTTTTCCCTCAGGTCTCTGATAGTAGCACTAAATCTCTTTAGTGCTCCCAGGGATGCAGCACTGTCTGCTTTTGGTTTCATATCTTCTGGATGAGTTGGTATGAAGTCCTTACCAGGATAGTGGTTCTCAAGTGATTTTTAACCACCAGCGAGTATTTGGCATCATCTGGGCACATGTTTGGTTGCTGTCACTGGAGATACTGATGCTAATGGCTTCCATTGAGTAGAGATCAGAGATGCTGCTGAACATCATCTGAGGCATGAGATAGACCCGACAATGAAGTATTATCCAGCCTAAATACAGTAGTGCTGAGGCTGAGAAACCCTGCTACAGGTCGTAGTCTTTAATTCAGACCTTCAAACCTACACTGCCGACATCCAGAATTGAACTGAATTGTCTCTGAGATGACCCTGGAATGGAGATGAAACCATTTGAAGATGTTTCTTTCTTACATGCAGTTCTAATGTTCAGGGAGAATGTAGAAATGTGCTTAGGTTATGGTTGCCAAAAACAGTGTGTTTTCCCTGACTTATTTCTAGGGTGAAGAAATAAGCCATCTCCTATTCCTTCTAGAAAGTAGGTATGTTGTAATAAAATAACACAAATAATGAACTTTGTACATTAGTAAGTAGCACCAAACCTTGGTACAGATTTGTACCATTTCCGGGTACACAAATGATGCTGCCTTACTAAGAGCTTTTGAGCTACCAAAATCAATAGCTGAGAATTAGTGATGTTGAAGAGATATTACTTTTATGAGTTTTCTTGATATTTTAAGTGTTCATGACCATGGTAAACCTCATCCTATTCTGTGGTTAGGGAAGGAAACACTTTTATTGAGCCAAACAATATGTGAAAACATTTGAAGACATAAATTCAATCAATCCTGTGTCTCTAAGTGGGACTCTGAGCTCTGGAGAGGTTAAGCTTTACATGGTTGGAGGTGGTAGATTTGCTTTAGGTTTAGGATAATGAGTGCCATTTACCTTATTGTACCTGAGACTAATATGCAAAATGTGACATTTAAATACTTAATAACCAGAAGGACATTTGTATATTATATATTTTTTGCAGAGCCAAAGACTTGGCTGGACAGTCACTGCGAGTCTGTAAAGGCCCCAGGGCTGTGTTTTCCCGGATCTTGCTACTGTTTTCATTGACAGACACCATGGAAGATGAAGAAGCTGCTTGTGGTGGCCAAGGTCAGCTTTCTACTGTGCTGTTGGTCAATCTCGGCCGAATGGAGTTTCCTAGTTATACTGTCAATCGGAAAACACAAATTTTTCAAGACAGAGAAGATCTTATCAGGTAGGAGGATGTTAATTCACTATAATATCTGTGTGTAAAATGAAAATTTAATAGATTTTATTATTTTTCCTTCCAGCCAAAGTAGAAACATTTAAGTTCAAAGCCAAAACCATTTTGAAGTTTTCCTTTTTTAGTTTTTGCCTTACTTACATGCATTTCCAATGTTCAGGGAGAATGTAGAAATGTGCTTAGGTTATGGTTGCCAAAAACAATGTGTTTTTAGTTAGAGCTACAAAAATTTTCCCTGACTTATGTTTCCAAATAGTTTTGGCAGGAAGCAATTTTTTAATACAGACTTTTAAACAAACCTGCCTTGTGAATATGTTATTAGTATGAATAAGTGGAAAATGAATGTTTTCCTAGGAATAACACTTCAGATAAAGCTGATAATAACTTTTTTACTAATTTATGTTAGTACATGGTTTTAGTGAAAATTTGGTTTGATCAGCAAAAGTAGGGGTTGATAAAAGGTTTTATAGGCAAAACAAAACAAAACAAAAAAGAACAAAAAACAAAACAACTTGTATATAAAAAAAATTTTGCATTTTAAAATGTCACTTTTGATTCTTGATTTAAGATTTATGACTCAAAGTTAACTGAATTGATTCAGATATTGTTTTTGAGAAAGTTTTTTAAGTGTTGTCTAGAATAGCCATGTGCTTTAAAAAGTAAGTTATTGAGGAAAAAGTAAGTTATTGAGGGGATGTAGCTCAGTGGTGAAGTTTTGACTAATGTGCATGAGACCTTGGGTTCTATCCCCAGCATTACCAAAAGCAGGGAGGGTAAGTAAGTTATTGAAATTATTTAACAATTTCAGTTTTTAATTAGTTTTTAATCAGTTTAGCGTAAACTGAGTTTAGCCTATTTTGCCTTAGCTGTTAGAAAGCTTAATATCTTACTTGGGTTCAAATGGAACTTTCTTAGCCAAATCTTTGTTTTTGTTTTTGGTACTGGTATTAAACCCAGGGTGCTTAACCACTGAGCCACATCCTCCTGCCTTAGCCTCCCTAACTTCTGGGGTTATACATTCACATCACCATGACCAGCTCTTAGCCAGATCTTTTAACATGGCTATTTCCTTTACTCTACCTTCAGTTATCTTACATCTTTTTACCTTTTTTGTTATTAGTGGCTTTGTGCTTTTCCCTTTTATGAGGCGCTGTACTTTGAAGCTAAGTTTCAGTTTCACTATATTCATGATCTGTGAAACCACTCAGACAAGCATACTTGTCTGTAAAATGGGGAGAATAATAGTATATTCTTACAGATATATGTGGACACACATAAAGTGCTCACCACCTGACCTTTGCAAAATACTTAGTACATGTTAGTTATTATTGTAATTGTCATTCTTACTGTTATATCTATGAGAATTGCTTTTTAGTCCTGTGATTGACAAAACCATAGTTGACAATTTCATAAGTCAGAGGACTAGGGTGAAGAAATAAGCCATCTCCTATTCCTTCTAGAAAGTAGGTATGTTGTAATAAAATAACTAAAATTCTCTTTCTTATGAAGAGGGCCTTAGCATGATAAATAAAATCAGATTTAATTGACTTCAGGAAGAGGTCATATTATATAGTAGCTGGTAATTTGACATGTGGCCTGGAAACCCTTTCTGCTCATTTCTGTACATGAAATAATTGATCCTTGTTTATTCAGTAAAAATGGGTTGAGTGTTAAAAATCTGTTATGTCCCTGAGTAGTAGAATTGCAGCAGTGAACAAGGTAGGGTTGCTGTCATCATGCGGTTACATCTCCCTGGAGAGATAGGTAGTAAATAGAGTAACTGTAGTGTGTGAAAAGTGTCCTGACATTTGAGGAGAAAGGTAGAGAAATTCTACTTTGTAGAGAGTGTGTGTGTGGGGGGGAGGTCCTGGAACGTGACCCTGGAAAATAAGACATAAGAATAGAGAGGAGGTAGGCATGTCAGGGTCTGTGTTTCAGGCAGCTTTTTCATCACTGGGATTAAAAAACCTGATAAAAACAATTAGAAGAGGAAAAGCTTATTTTGGCTTATGGTTTCAGAAGTTTCAGTATTTTGATGGCTCACTTTATAACCCTAGGTCTGAGATGAGGCAGAACATCATGGCAAAAGGGCAAGGTAGGTGAAAACAGCTTAGGACATGGCAACTAGGAGCAGAGAAAGAGGCCCACTCACCAACGATGAAATATATACCTGAAAGTTAGACCTCCAATAAACTACTTTCTCTGGCTACATCCTACCTCTCTAAAGTTACCACCCAGTAAATCCATCAGTGGATCAATCCACCATTAGATTGCATCTCTCATAATGCATTTCACCTTTGGACATTCTTGCATTATCTCACAGATGAACTTTTTGAGGAAACCTTATATTTAAACTATAAGAGTCTGGATCCCTGCTTCTAGGTGATGAGGTGAGCTGTGTATACACAGGCCTTCAGGCAGAAAAGAACTGGCTGAGTTGGAGAAATTCCAGAGGTCTCTGGCTAAGGCTCCAGAGGTGTGGGGAGAGGTCAGTGGTGCAAGGGGAGGTTTCTTACAGACCAGGATTGCAGGGGTCAGAGGATACTCAGCTTCTAAGCTCTAGTGAATAGACTGAATCTGTTCTCTGAGCAGTGGGAAGCTGTAGAAGAGATTAGGCAGGTAGCCAATCCATTTCCTGTTTTTAACCAAAGCGTCCAATGGAGTCATAGTTGGAGGGGAGCAAGAGAAGCCACAGAGAGGCTAGTTTGACCTTGGTGGTGGGAGCAGGTAGATAAGCTGAGGAAGGAAGTGCTTATATGAAATCTGTGGTGATGAGTCAAGCAAAACCAGTTAGCCTGGTTATGTGTTTTCTTCAGCAACATTCAGAGCCCTGGGCCCAGGCTATGAGGAAGTGGTCAGTGTGCACAGCATGACTGTGGCCCAGGTAAAAAAGGCGTGTTTCTCAGGGAGAGCTAGGCTAATATGCTCTGGTTGGGTATGCAGGCTGTAAGGACAGGAGACCTGTGACTGATGGATAATGATGGTCAGAGTACCAGCTATGGTCTTAGAGAGTGGGAGGAATTATCAGCAGTAAATGAGCTGGAAAGCTTTATGGGGGGTGGGTCTTGCTTAGTGGATTAAATGCTGAAAGTCAAGGTTTTTGAGGATGACATGTAGATTGGAGACAGAAGTCTCTACAGCTGTTGGCACATTGGCAGTGGAAGACAGGTGGAAAAGGGATTATTGGTGAGAAGGTCTAGGATCTAAGAGTGCTCTTTGCCCTCATTGATGTCAAAGTCACCAGGCCATTGTTATAGGAAACACAGAGGTAGAGAAAGGAAGTAGGTAGCAGTTTCAGAAAATGGTAGAAATTAATCTGTCCAGGAGTCACATGCCCTAAGGGAGGCAGGGGACCTCCCAGGAATGTGGGTTTCCAAGTGTGTAGGAGAATGATTTGGGATTCGCAGTTGGTGGAAGGGACTCATCTATGTGTCCCAGCCCTGAGTTGAGACCATTGGAGTGTCCTGTGTAAGAAGGCAGGGTGGAGGGAAGAACCTGGGGATGTGAAGGAGAATGCTGTTCCCAGTTTAGCAGTTCCAGTTTGAGTCCGATAAGTGATAGGCACTACATGATGAGTCCAGATGGTGACAGGGGTTGGCCTGGTGTTGATGGAAGGAGATGGGTGAAGTTTGACAGGGTTGATTTCAGGTGGCCTCTTGGAATTAGAGTATGGATCAAGCAGGTTGTGATTTCTGTTTTTTTTTTTTTTTTAACCTCAGGATTATCCATTTGCAAAGTCATGAAATTATTAGATCTAAGAGTTTGTAAGCAGATTTTTACATTTGGAGTCATTTTCCTTTCCTCTTAATGTGTAGTGTTTGTACATACTGGTACTACATGCTTTAAGACATGAGTCAAATACAGTGAATATGTACCCAAAAGTGCTATGGAATCCACTGGTCAAATGTTTTTAATTTTGATATCTAGAAAAGTGATGAAAAGTCATATTTTTTCAGCTAATTGGTGTTATAAAGTTTCAGCATTGCTGTCTCCTACAGTGAATTCCTAGTTATATTCAAAATAATCTAAGTAATTCTTTTTCTTTAACACTTATTTCTTAGTTGTAGGTGGAAATAATACCTTTATTTTATTTTTATGTGGTGCTGAGGATTAAACCCAGTGCCTCACATATGCTATGCAAGCGCTCAACCACTGAGCTACAGCCCCAACCTCTAAGTAATTCTCTTAACTTGGAATACATGCCTCTGGCTACCTTTGACTACAAATGATTAAATTATCAAATTGACATCTTCTTATAATTCTGAAGTCAATTATGTGTTTATTTGGTGGCTGCCAAATTGTTGAATGAATGGAAGAATCTCAAAACATAGGAATGATGAACTGATGAATATCACATCACATTTATACAGTGAAATGTATTATGTAATCATACAGTGTAAATTGGGCAGCCTATATCAGTTCTTTAGGGCCTTTCCAGTTATGTTAAATTAGTGCTAGAATAAAATTTAAATAACCTTCACATTTTAACAAAACACACTTTTATCCTTCAGAGTTAGATCTAGCAGCTAGGATGCAGTAATTTTTATGGAAACACTCCTTAACATTTGAAATTTGGATGGCATTTTTCCTCAGATATGCAGCAGCTGCGCACATGCTGAGTGACATTTCTACCGCGATGGCCAGTGGGAACTGGGAAGAAGCTAAGGAGCTCTCTCAAAGTGCAAAAAGGGATTGGAACAAACTGAAAAATCACCCTTCCCTAAGGTTAGAGGTTTTTTCCTCCTTCTTCAGTGCTGGGAATGGAACTCAGGGCCTCACATGTTAAGCAAGAGCTCTACCACTGAGCCAGACCTTTAGCAAGACTTTTTTTTTTTTTAAGATACCTGCCAAATTTTATTGTTGATCATTTTGTTCCAACTACTCAAGGTAATTTTATTCATGAATATTATCCTCCAGTTGGTCTTTGGTCAAACCAGGGTAGAGCTGTAAGTTTCTACTGGATTTTGAATGTTTTCCCCGTGAAGAGTTAAGCAAATTTTATATAACTCAGATCCTTGAACAATAGACATTCAAGTGAATACTTACTCAGTGTTTAGCTTGCCATCTTTAAGCGTGTTGGCTTCCCTGAGTATCAGAGAGCTGAATTTAAATGATGGGGAAACCAGCAGCAGGACAGAGATGTGGCATGTAATAGGTGGGTTTTTGCAGTGAAAACTCAAGACAGTGTAAGTGAGCACTGAAAGTTCCAAGAGCACAAAGCGTGATCTTTTATTGTTTAGTTTAGTAAATTTTAAACATCTTTGGTATTTATTAAGAAATGTTTTCCTTTATTGTTGTATGGTGATCAGAAAATAATTAGGTTTACTCAGTGCCTCTTTCAGAAAAACATTTAGGAAACATTTATAATGAAAATCATAGTCAGGAAGTTAGATTACTGTAGAACAGACTGAAAACCTTCCTCTACCAAAGGCCAGAGAATTCATACTCAAGGCTTTGATTTTGTGTGGTAGCGACTTTACTCTGCCATTGTGTAGAAACAGGTACTGGAGAGAAAGAAATGAATGAGCATGGCTGTATTCTAGAAAACTGTATATGTGGACACTGAAATTTGAGTTCCATGTTAATTTTCACATGCCTTGGAGTATTATTCTCCTTTTGGTGTATTTTATTTAAAATGGTAAAATTCTAGGAGGAGGAAGGACTGGAGAAAAGTTGACCAAGGGGTACTAAGTTATAGTTTGATAGCAGTAAGAAGTAGCTTGATAAAGAAAACAATGATTGTGGGCTGGGGCTGTAGCTCAGTGGCAGAGCTCTTGCCTAGCATGCTTGAGGCACTAGGTTTCATCCTCAGCACCACATAAAAATAAAACAAGTAGAAAAAGAAAGAAATTTTGAACGTTCATCTCAAAAAATTAGAAGGATTTTGAGTGTGTTTTTCATAAACAGGTAATTGATGTTTGAAGAGATAGGTATGTTTAACCTGATTTTACATGGTCACCGAAACAATACATGGTACTCCACTAACTTGTACAGTTTTTGTGGGTTTATGTGTCGGTTAAAAACAAAAATAGGTAATAGCAACGCATACAGAAAAGGAAATACAAAATACATTTTGTAATATATATTTTTTAAAAAGGTAAAAGCCATTTTAGCTTAGAAAATTAGGGAGTTGGCCCTGGGTTTGGCCTGTGGGCTGGGGTTTGCTGACCTTGATTTAGAATATTACATATTGTTCTCATCTCTGTCTGCCATCTGAGTGACCTGGGATAGGGTGACTAGTTATGAGAATGTAGGTTTGTGGTGTAAGAAATTGTATACAATTTTAGAATACTTAAAAGACAAGAATTCAGCTGAGTATGGTGGCACATACCTAGAATCCCAGCTACTCAGGCTGAAGCAAGGGGATCCCAAGTTCAAGGCCAACATCAGCAATTTAGTGAAACCCTGTCTCAAAGTAAAAAATAGAAAGGGCTGGGGTTGTAGCTCAGTAGTAGAGTATTCCTGGGTTCATATCCCTAGGATAAGAACGAAATAAAAAATAATATAGGAATTTGATCTGCTTTTCACTTATAATTCTATATAACAAATAAACTAAAACTAATGGTATACATTTTTATTTTAGATACCATGAGGAGTTACCACTCTTTCTTCGGTGTTTTACTGTTGGGTGGATATATACAAGGATTTTGTCTCGGACTGTTGAAATCTTGCAGAGACTTCACATGTATGAGGTTAGAGCACCAGTCCCTCCCCTACCCTATTCTGAGATGGCAGCAATAAACATGTGAAGGAAACCTGCTAGGCTCTCTGCTTTGCTGCATACACGGTCATCACACAGTAACACAATGAGAGTGTTTAATGTAAGTAACCTGCTGTCTCTCGGGTTAGTAGAAAGAGGACAGCTGAAGACCAACAGCTGTTTTGTTTGCTCCTGAGTTAATGAGTCACTGTACTGGAATGGTCGTGGACAAAGCCCAGTAGGGATCATGGACAAGTCTCTACAGCTTACGACTCAATCTCTTTCAGGACTTTGCAAGACTTGGACTTGGGAGATTTCCCCAAATCACTGAGGTGGAACTCTAAAGTCTCCTTAAGCTTCCCTGTCAGGTGCCATGGATTGTCTGAAAATAATCTACAGTTACAAATCAGAAACATGATTGGGTTTTCATACTAAACATAGTGAAGTTGCCAGAGCTCCCTTTTGTTGTATTTGATATTTTTGTTGAAGAATGATGTTTTTGTGAAGAGGATATACTAAGCTGGGTATTAACCTGGGATCTGTGAATCTCAAATGGTATCAATGATGAGTTTTAGGGTATCTGTGAACCCCAGAATTGCATGTATACAGGAGTTTTGTATTTTTCTGGGGTAAACATTACATGTTTGAAAGAGATATGAACCACAGAAAATTAAGAATGACCGAAGAGCTGGATGTGGTGATGCGCCTGGGAGGCTGAGGCAGGAGGATTGCTAGTTCAAAGCCAGCCTCAGCAAGAGTAAGATACTAAGCAATTCTGTGAGACCTTGTCTCTAAATAAAATATAAAATAGGGTTGGGGATGTGACTCAGTGGTTGAGTGCCCCCGAGTTCAATCCCTGGTACTTGCTGCCCCTACCCACACCCCCCCAAAAAAAAGAATGACCAAAGAGTCTACATACATCTTGACCAGAGAGTCTTCTTATTGAAGTGGAGTGTTTGGATGAGCACACCCATTATCACCGGCCTGCCTGCCTTAAATTCCTCTTTCTGTGGGTCCTCTGACCTGCTGGGTTCCCATACGTATGTAAGTTTTTCAGCCCTGCATAGTGTGTCTGCTTCTGTGCTGGCCAGTGTGACTTGAAGAGAATGACCTTCGGTACCCACAACCACCAAAAACTCAGTGCTAGCCCGTAGAGGACCTGTCTGTAAAACAAGGAAACTTCAGGGAATTCGTGTCTACTGCAGAAGGGCATCTCCAAGCACTTCTTCTGTCAGCTCTGATCCTTGGCTTTAGAAAGATATGCATTATAAATATACTTTATAGTCATGTTGTCTTCTAAATAAAATTAAGTTGATTTTTTTTTTTAAGTCTAATGGGCTTTCTCTGTTATTATTGCAATAGGAAGCTGTTAAGGAACTTGAAAACCTTTTGTCACAGAAAATTTATTGCCCTGATAGCAGAGGCAGATGGTGGGATCGACTGGCTCTTAACTTACACCAGCACTTGAAGCGCTTGGAACCGGTATGCAAGAATATACCCAATGCTTTTGTTACTTCTGAATGAGTTTTTTAAATATGATAAATTATTAAGTACTTTATTCATTCATTTTGGTGCTGGGGGTCAAACCCAGGACCTTGCACTTACTATGCAAGCAGTTACCACTGAGCTATACCCGCAGCTATACCTCCAGCCTGTTATATTCTGAATATAATTAGAATATTTATTTCTTTTTGTTAACATTCTTTGTCTGACTTGTTTCAATCCAAGTAGAAATAACACAACCTTTAAAGACAGGAGACTGCTATCTTCTCTTCCATTATTTGGAAGATGGGTTCACAGTGGACTGTGTTGGGATTCAGGAGTTAGGATCTAGAACTCAAGGGAGATGATCAGTTCTCAACACTGCCTTCACGACAGTGTGTTTTGTTTTGTTTTTGTTTGGTGGTGCTGGGGATGGAACCACAACCTTACTCATGCTATGCAAGCATTTTCAGGAAGTTACATCCCCAGTACCTAAGGTAATGTTTTTGTTTTGGAAATAGTGATTTTATTTGCTTGTTGCCCTGATGGAAATGTTACTTTCCTTATCTTAACTGCAAGTGCTTTATGAGTAACTCTTTGTACTTCTGTGAGGTATTTTGCTGTGCCCCTTGGACATGTGTTGTCTCAATTGTAAACAGGCCACCACCTCTTGAGGGCACCAGGGCTCCCTATTCTGGCATCTTGGGGACTTGGAAGTAGAGGGATTCTGCTGCCACTATATCCAGCAGGGTGGGGCTTCAGAGCTGCTGCTGCTGAGCCAGGCAACAACAGTGGCTCTTTGTGTTGCTGCCTGCGGGTCCCCCTCCCTGTCTACATTCCAGCCTGAATTCAAGTTGAATGAAGGGGACTGTGCCTCTGGGAGGTTTTGTTTTTTCCAGTGGCATATTAAATGAATCAGGGTGATACAGGAGTGGAAAAAATTGGCCATGGAATGTGGAACTGTGATGTAGTGTTTTTGCTGCCTTCCACTGAAAAAGTGCCTTGTTACCTCAGGTACCTGTGAAAAGCCACTGGAAGCTGTTTTGTTGTGGAGGTGGGCATGGTGCCCCCTTTCCTGCCAGTGTTCTTTGAGGCTACAGTAGCAAGAGAAGGCGTCTCTTGGCCCAGCACTAAGAGTGAAAGAGACAGAGCTTGTGCTCTTGCTGCTGCTTTCTTTGTTCATAGTAAAGGCTCAAGGATGTTGCAGCTCTCTCCCTGGTTCACAGTGCTGCTCACAGGAGCCTTCCCTCAGAGTCACAGGGGCAGATAGGCTCCTGAGCTTATTTTTGATTGATAGTAAGAAACGTATAGTTCCTTTTAACCTTTCTCAGCAATCTCACTGGCTACACTCACAGGCCTCATGATCATGTTACTATTCCTTATGTGCTTTATGTCAGTCCCTAGAGCAGAAGCCATTAGCAAGAGTGCTTATTCTTGCAGATTTCCAGGGGCCAGCCAGGGGCCCCAGAGCCAGGGTGGAGCTAGTCTGGCTATTCCCTCCCTATTCCAGGCCTCTGCTGCCTGCTGTCTCCTGCCAAGGTACAGAACACTCTCAGATGGCCCATTCTCACTGTTGACTCCTTTTATCCCCTCAATTCCTCATGGCCCGAGCCTTCATTGATATTTAAGTTTCTTTTCTCTCTTTTTTATTTTTTTTACTGTAAGATATGTAACATATGTAAAATTTGTCATTTTAACAAATTTTAAGTGTACAATTCAGTGGCATTGATTATGCCATGTTGTACAAGCATTACTCTAGTGTCTATCACTCCAAACAGAAACTCTGTAATCATTATGTAAATTCTCTCTGTTTTCTCCTTCCACAAACCTCACTTTACTTTCTGTGAATGTGCCTCTTGTGTATATTTCAAAAAAGCTGAATCACACAATATTTGCCCTTTTGTGTCTGAATTATTTCACTTAGCATAATGTTTCCAAGCTTCATCCATGTTGCAGCATGTCAGAACTTCATTTTTATGGCTGAATTATAAATAATTTATTGTATATAAACCTCCTTTGGTTTATTCAGTCACCTATAAACGGATGCTTGGGTTGCTTTCCACCTTTTGGCTGTTTTTAATAATGCCCCCATGAACATGCATGTACAAATGTATGTCTATGTCCCTGTTTTGATTTCTTTTGGGATATTCCTAGGTGTGGATTTTTTTAGTCATTTTGGTAATTTTATTTTTGCTTCAGAAACTGCCAAACTGTTCTTCAGAGTGTTTGCAGTTTTTATATTTCCACCAACAAGGAACAAGGATTTCAATTTCTCTATATCCTTGCCAACGCTTGTTATTTTCTGATTTCACCAATCATAACAGGAATAAAGTGGTACCTTTTTCTAGTTTTCAGTATTTCTCTTTGTTTATTTGTCCAACTTGGAACAACCTTGGGAAACATGTTAGATTCCTCCAAACTCTAGGTACCTCTCCTGTAAATAAGGAATTGGGCCCAGCTCTGCAGTTCTGACTCTACATGAGAGCCACCTAGAAGTTTTGACTGGTCAGTTTCCTAGGTGCCTGTTGTGGAATTCATCTCATTTTGTAGATCAAGGGTGGGACACACATTTTCTTTCACTGCCCCCTCACCCAGAAGAAATTCTGAGAACTATAGACCCAAGTGTTCTTCTAAATTCTTTTCTAGCCCATAATACAGGGATGTCCTGAGGGGCATGCTCTTGGTGAGGAAGGGGCCATGGGATGTTCTGTCCCCATGAATAATGAATAACATGCTGGTTGTGCTCCTGCACTTAACAATGAGGATTATAGTTAATCTGTATGTTAAAAATATCAGAATAAGATCTAAGAAAATAGTTTGTATCTCTAGAAGTGCTATTTGATTACTTGCATATTAGTAAAACTGAATAATTAGTAGTGAAATTTTCTTACTCTGTTAAGTAGATGCTGCCATAGGGTTTTTTAGGATCTTGATATGTGACATGTTATTTACTAGGCTATCAGGTGCATTATTAAAGGGCTGGCAGATCCAGAGGTAAGGACAGGACACCGTCTTTCACTTTATCAGAGAGCCATGCGCCTGCGAGAGTCTCCAAGCTGTAAAAAGTATAAGCACCTCTTTCATCAGCTGCCAGAAATTGCTGTCGAAGATGTTAAACATGTAAGTAGTTTCCTTTGGGAGCTTTGTTTGTCTTGAGTACTGGATTGAACCCAGGGTATTTCGGTTTTAAGTGCATGCTCTACCACTGAGCATCCTCCTCAGCCCTTTTTGTGTGCTTTGGATTTAAACACGTTTACTTGTTTGTTTTTCTGACTGAAAGCAACCTAAGAACAGTTTTAGTGTGCATTTTCATTAGGAAATGGAACAGTCTAATGTGCATTTTGGATAATGACATGGCCATTGCTCCCATTTTCACTCTAATACTCTCTCCCCAGTAAGAATGGGTCAGCTGGTGTGGTCACACCTGAATTAAGTGATTGAACTTTTGAGCAGGAGCTCAGAACATCTGGTGGTTTCTCCTGGAAATGGGGGATCTGGAGAGTTCCTCCCATGACAGATGCTTTCCAAAGGCCAGAACCTTATAGGTGTGCCAGTGTGGGTCACACACTTTGTACTCTGTTAAAAGCAGAGCTTTAGCATTAGGAAGGTTTATCCCCAGGACTCTACAGGCAGGTTTACAGGTACTTTGAGGTGAAGTGAAGCTAATGGATGTTCTTCTGCTGCTGTCCCAGGTGACCATCACGGGCAGGCTGTGCCCACAGCGTGGGATGGGCAAGTCTGTATTTGTCATGGAGTCTGGGGATACTACTGACCCCACCACAGTACTGTGCTCTGTGGAGGAGCTGGCGCTGGACTATTACAGATGCAACGGCTTTGACCAGGGTAAACAGAAAACATTTCACCTATTCCAGACAATCAGCGTGTAGGCGAACAGCATTTCCTGATGGTTTGTCAATAGTGGGTTGCCATCATCTCTCTTTCCTCTGCCCATGGTAGAATACACTGCTAAGCCAGGCCCAGCTGCTTTTGAGGATCACAAATTTGATGCTAGCCTCAACAACTTGGTAAGACCCTATACTGAAATAAAATAAAAAGGGCTGAAGATGTAGTTCCTTGGTAGAATACTTAACCTGGTATATACTGGGCCCTGTTCAATCCTCTGTACTTCTGTGGGGGAAAAAAAAAGATACTGCTGATCAAGGAGTATAGAAAAGAGTTTTACTAGCTACAATTTTTAAAGGGGGTCTTCTTCCCATTCCCCAGTATTCCCCACCTAATGCCTGTGAAGATTAGTGTTCTCTGGTGGGACATTAGAGACTGTTTTAGCTGTCATAGCTGTTAGTGAGCAGTAAGAAAGGGCAGAGGATGCTGGGTGCTGTGGCACTCGCCTACAGTCCCAGCGGATGGGGACGCTGAGACAGGAGAATAGTAAGTTCAAAGCCAGCCTCAGCAAGGGTGAGGTACTAAGCAGCTCAGTGAGACCCTTTCTCTAAATAAAATACAAAATCAGGTTGGGAATGTGACTCAGTGGTCAAGTGCCCCTGACTTCAATCCCCAGTATAAAACAAAAAAGAAAGGGCAGAGGACTGCCCGAGAGGCTGCCTGATGTCAAACCTGGTGCAGGGACTGAGGGCTGGGCTGCTTCTGAGAGGGTTATCAGACCCAGAATCAGGTCATAAATGAAAGGAGCTTGAAGGATCTGCTCCTCCTAGAGTGATGAACTTGGACCCCAAGTCCTGCTACCTCATTTCCTTGGAGAATCCATTGTCCGTGTACCTCTCGACTCAAGAATAAGTGGAGCTGACCTCTGGTTGCCTCCTGCCCAACTGTGTGCTATTCTTAAGAATGTTAGGATATTTCAGTCTGTGACAACAGTCAATCTCTGGGGGCTCCACCTGGTGAGTTTATGAATATGCTGAGCAGGTCTAAGAGAGGAAGTGCACATTTGACTATGACAAAGTTCATATTTTGGAGCTGGGACTGGCCATTTGAGAAAAATATACATGAGTTAGTTTAAATGTGCTTGCTCTTCCTTTTCATATCATGGTTGTTGCAGACATTTCACTCAGTCAGTTAGTAGATTTGAGGTGTTAGCTTTCCTCTTAGGGCTTCTTCCTTGTATACACAGACATGATAGAGGATGAACCCTCCCGTACCACAGCTCAGAAGGGCCTGTTGGCCATGGCTGTATCGCCCAGGAGTGAGGCACAGTTGTGGACCACATGTGTTATGGTTGAATCCTGCTTGTGCAGGCTGTATGTTTGTGGAGTCACTCAGAATGAGAGCTGCTTTGGATGTCTCTTGTCACAAGCACTATTACATAACAACAGATAAGGGTTTCATTTTTTACAAAATAACTGACTCATTTCTTAGGTCACTTAGAAACTCCTTCTGTTTGGGTATTCACCAACATCAGCTTCTCTTCCCCTCTTTTATTCTTTCTTTGATTTTGGTCTCGGAGAATTTTGATCTCACTGTAAATTCAGTGCTTTATCTAAGGTTCAGGGTCAAGTGAAGACATTGAGCACTTACTTGCCTTATAATTGGTAAAATAAAATTGTCATTCCTGGCCCTTAGTAGAATCTAGTACTGAGTAGAAGAATAAAAGTAAATCAAGAGGGAAGAATTACAGAGGAATCTCCTTTGTTCTAAATTTAAGATAAGGAATAAAGTAGGGCTAGTTGTCCTGGAAATACCCTGAGGGCCTGGCTCTAATGTTTTGTTTTGATTTTTGATTTCTATGAAACTTTTTATTATGGAGGATAGTGACCATGATTCTGCAAAAGTGGAAAACCTTGGGGCTGAGGTTGTGACTCAGTGATAGAAGGCTCACCTAGCACATGTGTGGTGCTGTGTTCAATCCTCAACACCACATAAAAATAAAAACAAATGAAAATAAAGGTATTGTGTCCAACTGTAACTAAAAAAAAAAAAAAAATTAAAAAACTGGAAAACCTTTCTGATCTTCTAAACTCACCCAGCTCTAGTCTTCTTTCTCTCTTTTCCTACCGATTTCCCCTAGAATTTGGAAGCTGACCCCAGGTGTCCTCTCATGGTACTTGTTTTGCAGCTCACATGGGCCACTCCTGGGGACAAGTCTTTCCCATCCTCACGTCCAGGCAGCATTTTCCCTGTGCCTGTGCTGTAGGGACACTAGTGTGAAAAAACACTCGATATCTTCAGATAGGTAAAAATCAAGACATTACTCCATTTCAGCATCATGTGAGTGTTCAGATTAATGACAGTTTTAGAAGGATAACTACAAGATAGAATTTTACAAAATATGGGTTTCTTTCTGGTGAGTGCTAAGATTAATCTATATAATCTTTATTATAGGGAAGGGTGATGCTATTGGGGAAGAAGTGTGGAGGCCAGTGAAAACAGAGATACAGTAGGCCTGAAAAGCCTAGACAGAAAAGAACAGAATGAGAATTCCAGCTCCCAGATAATGTCATAGGAGATGTAAAGCTGGGCAGTTGCTGAAAGAAAGGGCAGGCTGTAAACCAAGCCATTACCCTGACAAACTGTTGGAAAATTCTCTTCATAGAATACTAAATAGTTTTTATAAAAATATATTTCTGTATAAATATATTTTTCATTTTTTAATTTTGGTGCAATGAAAATGAGCTGAATACTTGCTGGGCTTTAGTCTAGAGGGGATTTCACATAAGGGTAATCTCAAACCCCTTTAGGGATGATTATTTCTGGATTTCTCAGAAGGATTGCACCAAAAATGACTTTAGTTGGAGTCCACATGCATCACGTGGCTTGCCACGAAGTCAGGAACAATTCTGGCCTCCATATTCCTGACTGAGCAGTATATACAAAAGGACAGGAAGCTGATTAGAAGTCAAGGCCTAACTTTCTTCCTGGCAGGACAGGAGCCCAGTATCCTGGTACAAAGCTTTTTAGTAAAGTTCAAGGCTTTAGCCAGTGGCTCCAAACAAGTCCTGATTTTGCCTCTGTTCTTTTGAATCATAGAGACAGGCTGCAGAGACCAGGGGCTAGAACTAAGACAGGGACAGAACAAAGAGAGTCTGGTACAGCTCAGGAATGCAGGACAGAGGAACAGGTCATATACTCTGCTGATGGAGACTCTGGTCTCTGTCCCAAGAGCACTTTTTTGTGCCCATGAGGCCAGACTGCAGATAATTCACAGCGTCCCTGCAGAGAACCTGCGAGCCGGGGTGGCAGCCACATGGCAGGCCCAAGAAGGCACATAGTGAGCAAGCAGCCCCTCAGGCCAGCCTCCCAAGCAGATGAGTGGTGTTGTCTGGTCTCGGCTTTCTGCCCTGTGCTCATTGTGGCCTTACACATGTGGACCAGGGCCTGCAGTGTCAAGAGTCTGGCCAGCCAGAGGAACTTTCTTGCCAGTGTGCATAGTGTGTCAGAAATGGGGTCTGTTGTTTGGTGCCTCCTTTAGCCAAAGCAGTAATGTGCAGAGAGGTATCCATGTGGTTGCCTTCCCTTTTGGGTGTGGTGATATACAGAGAAGCTCAGCTCAGAATAGCTCTACAAACAGGAACTCTCTGGAGACAGAGGTATGGGGCTATGCCAAAACCCATTTTTAAAAAATTAAGTTAATTTTATTATGGAATGAAAAATATCAGCCAAAGGAGAGGTAAAGAATGGTTGGTGGATGAATGACCAACCCATTTAATGGTATCCCATTTAGCAAAACAGCCAAAGCCCACTCTTATCTGGTTGTGGACTCTGCCTTTGGCTTTCAGTGATCTGGCACTTTATTTCTTTCTCTGAGGTGGTCTCCCAGTTAGTAATGTATGTGGGACATGAGGATGGAGTATCTAAATTAAATGGTTTTTAAGACTGAAAGCTTCTATAAAAGCCTTGAATACTGGAAACACTGGGAAGACCTTGTTCAGGCCAAAGCAATATAGTGTGTAGGTAAGTGAGGTGAAGTGTAGCATCACCTGCTAAGTCTAGGGGTGTGGACATGGCCACTGCTCCCCAGTCTCCTCCTGTCAGTCCCTTTATGGACATGTTCTTGAGGGGTATTGGGGGATGCCTGACACAGAGCCTGCTTGTGGATTCTGCACCCAGCTCAGCCTCCACCACTAAATCAGAGCTGAAGAGGGAACCTGCTTTTTTATTATTAGTATTTTTTTTTAAGAAAACATGTTCCTTAGGTTATTCACTAAAGTGAAAAACACTGCTTTGTGGCTTTGCAATGTTCATTTGAACTTTTCCATGATTACTAAGATTTTCACCCTTCAGTGGGCTTCTGTATGCAAATAATATAAGAAAATGATTTAGGAATGGCATGAAACTAGCATTTTCTTCAGACTAAAAATATTTATTATTTCCTTGAAATTGAATATGCAGCAGATGACAGTGGCATTTTCGAAAAAGAAAACAGACAAAACTGATTTTTCCTCCATGTGTATGATTTGTTGCAGGGATCCATGGAGAAGGGTCTACCTTCAGCACCCTGTATGGCCTCCTTCTGTGGGATATAATCTTCATGGATGGGATACCAGACGTCTTCAGAAACGCCTACCAGGTAAGTCGTCAGTGCTGCTCATGAGGAGACCCTTCTGCATGCACCTGTGATTCACACCCACTTGTGTAATAAATTCCTTTCATATTGGTTATATATATCAGATAATTTTTGCAAACCTTTTGAGAAGAAGAATGTTTCAACCAACTGGCCATTTTCCAAATTGCATAGGTTTTGAGTATTGTTGAGGAGTCTGCTCTCTAGGCATGCTGTGAGAGCTTGCTTTCTCTGTGACACAGGCATCCCCACTGGACTTGTGCACAGACAGCTTCTTCACCAGCAGGGGCCCAGCCCTTGAGGCCAGACTGCAGATGATTCACAGTGCCCCTGCAGAGAGCCTGCGAGCCTGGGTGGCAGCCACATGGCAGGCCCAGGAAGGCAGAGTGGCTTCTCTTGTCAGCTGGGACCGCTTCACTTCTCTTCGGCAAGCTCAGGTAACAGTTCATATGTGTGGCAAGAGCTGGTCCCAAAGTGATGTCTCCCTGGTCCGGGGTGTCTTTTTGGCAACTATCAAAATGCACACAGGTGTGTATGTGTGTGTGTGTGTGTGTGTGAGAGAGAGAGAGAGAAAGAAAGAGAGGGACACACACACACACACATACAGATAGCTTCTTTTTGCTTGACAGGACTCTTTTCTGTCTCTTTTTAACTACTGGCCTCTATGAGTCATTGCAGTCATATTCCTGAGTTCTGACTCTAAAGTTCCTTCTTCCTCAGATGTTCCCCAGAATGTTCACACAGGGCAGAAGCCTGATAACTGACTGAAGAGAACTGGTTCCCCAGAGCTCATTAGTGGGGATTTTTGGCAGTGGCTCTGGTCCCTGTATAAGCAGCAAAACAATCTTTGGTGTATCTGGAATCCATTTCTGTTGGACTACTCTGGAGTTGTTCTTTGTCTCATAGTTGCTGAAGCCTATTTGAGGATGAAATACAACATGAAATATTCATGTGTTTTGTGTTCAGGATCTTGTCTCCTGCTTGGGGGGTCCCATCCTCAGTGGTGTGTGCAGGCGACTGGCTGCTGACTTTCGACACTGCCGAGGGGGCCTCCCTGACTTGGTGGTGTGGAACTCCCAGAATCACCGCTTTAAGGTCAGTGGAACGAGAATGGAAAGTTATGTTTGTAATTTTGTTTGCAACTGAATCAGAGGCCTCACTTTAGACACTACTTGTGTGGCTGCTTCCAAAACTGAATTCCTCAAGAGCTCCTGGGCCAAGGGCAGGGGTTTGGGCAGGGGGTGTCTGTCCTCCCTCAGGCTGTGCACCACAAAGTAGCTTGTTTCATCAGAGCAGGTGAGTAAGAGGAGCCATTGAGCCTGATGGAAGGCCAGGTCTCCTGCACTTTCATCATGGAAGTGGCAATCCATCATTCTTGTTTCTGTTCTCAGAATAAGTCACCAGGTCCGGCACACACTCAGAGGGAGTGGGTCCCATAGGGTGTAGACACAAAGAGCTTTGTTGTGCTCCCTGAGAGTGAGCACCTCCTCAGTTGTTGTCCATGGGGTACCTTACTTGCCTACCCTGAATCCTGCCCTGCTATGCTGCACTGGTTGGTTGGTTGCTTCTTATTGAGTTTTGAGATTAAAAATAAACTTGTGTGTATATTATGTATATTATATGATATATATATTTCCTGGATACAAGTCTCTGTTGTATTTCATCTAGGTCTATGGCTTCTCTTTTCGTTTTCATAATAGTGTCTTGGAAGAGCAGAAGTATTAAATCTTGACAAAATTCAGCTTACCTTTCTTTAATGAATCATATTTTTGGTCAGATATCAAAAAGGTTCTTAAACTAATAAAAGGACATATCAAGTTTTCAGAATACAAATCAATATGTAAGAATCAATTATATTTCTATATAGTAGCAGCAAGCAAACTGGAAGTTGAAGAAGCAGCATCAAAAATATAAAATATTTAATAAGGATCAACCTGTTAAAAGATATACAAAACCTGAACACTGAAAACTAAAAACATTTCTAAGAGAAATTAAAATATAAGTTGATCCTTATTAAGTATTTTATATTTTTGATGCTACTTATTCAACTTCCAGTTGTTTGCTCCTACTATATAGAAATATAGTTGATTCTTGCACATTGATTTGTATTCTGAAAACTTTTTGGTGTATTTCATTGGATTTTCTACATTAGCATTCAGATTGTCTGCTAAGAAAGAGAGTCTTAATTTCTTCCTTTCTAGTATTGATATTTTCTTTCCTCTTTCCTGACTGATTGCACTGGCAGAACCTCCTATATAGAGTGTAAGTGGGAAGACTGGCATCCCTTGTTTCTGATCTTAAGGGAAAGCTCTTAGTCTTTCATTATTAAGTATTGTGTCAGATGCAGATATTTTGTAAGTACCTTTTATCAGATTAAGAGATTTTCCTTTATATCTAAGTTTTCTAAGAGTTTTTTATCAGGAGTTAGTTGGGTTTTGTCAAATGTTTTTAAAAAATTAGGGGTGGAGTTGTGGCTCAGTGGTGGAGTGCTTGCCTCACTCATGAGAGGCACTCAGTTTGATCCGTAGCACTACATTAAAGTAAATAAATAAGATAAAGGCATTGTGTCCATTTGCAATGAAAAATATTTAAAAATTTGACATTATTATATGATTTTCTCTTTACTATGTTAATAACATAATTTACATTGGTTTTTGAATCTTTAAATATTTTATTACATATTCTAAAGAAGTTACAAAGGCACACAATAGTCAGGTTAGCAGTTATGTATAGTTAATTAGTACTTGTATAAGTCAAAGACAGGACTGTTGTAAACTGTACAGCAGAGCTCATTGAGATAGTACATAAGGCCTTCCAAACAGTGGTTATCAGAACCACCCAAGGAAGTTCAAAGAAAACTACAGATTCCTGCTAGGCATGGTGGCACATGCCTGTAATCTCAGTGGCTTGGGAGGCTGAGGCAGAAGGATCCTGAGTTCAGAGCCAGCCTCAGCAACAGCAGGTGCTAAGCAACTCAGTGAGACCCTGTGTCTAAACAAAATATAAAATAGGGCTGGGATGTGTCTCAGTGGTCCAGTGCCCCTGAGTTCAGACTCTGGTACAAAAAAAAAAAAAAAAAAAAAAGGCAACAGAAAACTACAGATTCCTGTGTCCACATCCCCCAAATTATGATTCAAAGGGTGTGAGTGAGGGTGTGTACAATCAGGCTTGAACCAGTGATATAGAACACAATCCTTTCTTGATTGGATATGGGTGGCTGAGGATACTGAAGTGACAAAAGTAAAGACATTTTAGACCCAGAAATTGGTGATGGGTATTAAGTTTCACAGTAAGAAGCATTTCTTCATTATGGCTATGGCTTAAGGAAACTGTTGGCTTCCTCAAGTCTTGGCTGGCCCTTTTATTCAGAATTCCATCTACTCATTGCTTGATCTCAACAGCTGTTCAACATCACTCTAGCCACAAGTCACCACAGGCCAAGAGCAGCCAGAGGCCCAAGAGACTCAAGAACTTCCCGATCAACCATTCACTCCAGTGAGATTCTTGCCTGTTTTTTAATAGAACTCCAGGCCTAAATACTGAGTAACAATAAAATTAAATATTTCTTTAGCCCTGGCTTCCACTTCTCTCTTAACTTGTAGATATTAAAAATTACTCAACTTATCTGTACCTTTGGATAAAAGCAGGTTGAAATGTTTGCACCCTTCTACTCTGGATGACGTGGCAGACTTTAGCACATAATCTTAGTCAAAATAAACAAATTTTTCCATCCTGGGTACTTTTCTGGTACCCAGACGACGGTATCCAACATCGTGACTTTGAAAGCATCCAACTTTACAATGTCTACCACTGCTTCATGCACAGTATCCTGGGCTTCCTCATCAAAAGTCAGCTTTCTCCAGCCAGTGAGAAAACTGGAAACACTTTGGAAAACTGGCTCAGTTCTAGGATTGTTTTTAAGATCATTTCAGCAAGTTTCTCTCTTCTGGTACCCAGAATGCAGATGGATTTATTCTGTATTCTAAAGTCTTTCTGAAGATTCTGCAGTTCCTCTGGGCCATGATGGTTCATCTTCCAGGTGATTTCACTGTCCCTCATTTCCCAGAAGAGCTTGGTTTGGAATCTTTATTTATTTGTTTTGTTTTTACAGTGCTGAGGATCAAACCCAAGACCTCCTGTATGCTGGGTAAATGCTCTACCACTTGATTTTTCAATCTTACAACCTAACTTGCATTTCTTAGATATGCCTCACATAATAATTGTGATAAAGTGTGGATTTGATTTTGTAAAATATTATAATTTTTGCATATATGTTCATGAAAGATATTGATCTGTAGTTTTCTTATAATATCTTTGTTGAGTTTTGGTTTCAGGGCAATATATTACTGGCCTTTATAGAATGGGATGGAAAATAACATTTTTGGTCTTCAGGAATAGTTTGTTTACAATTATTATTAGTCCATAAAATCTTTGGTGGAATTAAACAGGGAAGCCCAACAGGCCTGGAGTTTTCTTTTTGGGAAACTTCAAAACTCTACATTTCTTTTTTAATCAACATAGAGCTATTCATGTTATATTGATTGAACTTTGGGAGTTTGTGTCTTGAGAAGTTGTCCATTTCATGTAAATTGTTGAATTTTTTTGGCATAAAATTGTTCCTGTTTCTCCTTGTTATTTAAATATCTGTAGAATCATTTTATTTCTATCATGCTTTTATTCTGTATCTTTTCTTTTTGTGACCTATCTGGTGGGAGATTTATCAATTTTATTGATTTTTCTCAAAGAACCAGCTTTTGTTATCATTGATTTTTTTCTAATGTCTTTGTTTCATTGATTTCTGCACTTCTCTTTATAAGTTCCATTCTTCTGATTACTTTGGATTTAATTGTTATTTATGGTTTCTTAGAGAGGAAGTTGTAACCATTACTTTGAAAGTTTCTTTTTATAAGTCCAGTTTCAAATATCATATTCTAATTATGTAGTACTGGTGCATGGTTACACCTTAATATTATGTTTGGTCGGTTTCCTAAACTTACTTATTATGCTCAATAAAGTTACTGATTATTTCTTTGTTGATTATATTGGATTATTCATAGGAAAACACAGTGTATTTGTTTGGGAAGTAAATTTGCTTTGTCATTTGCAAAAAAAGCAAAAGTTTCTTTTTCTAATAGAAGTTAATTGGATTAGACAAAAGGGAATGAAGGGAAGGGAGAGGGGAAAGGAATAGGAAAGACAGTAGAATGAGTCAGACATAACTTTCCTATGTTCATATATAAATACACAACCAGTGAAACTCCATGTATGTATAATATGTCAAAATGTTATGTATATCTAAAAAGAACAATTTTAAAAAGTTTCTAATAAAGGTGTTTAGCACTATACATTTCTTTAAGCACTGCTTTACCTGAATCTCACAAATCTGATATGTTGTTTTCATTTTCATTCAGTTCAAAATACTTTTTTGGAACTGGGAATGCAGCTCAGTAGTAGAGTGCTTGTATGCAGGGTCCTGAGTTTGATTCCCTAGCACCCAGAAAAACAGAAAAAAGAAAAACCCACAACTTTCTTCTTTCCCTTTTGATTTCTTTTTTGAACCACAACTTGATTACAAGTGAGTCAATTTATCCAGTTATCTTTCAGCTGTTGATTTGTGGTTTCCTCTACTAAAATCAGAGGGCATGTTTTATATGACTAGGATCTTAGCAAATTTGAGACTTAGACGTTTTATATAGTCTTACTTACACGGTTTGCTTTGGTGACTCTTCTGTTTGCAAACTTAAATATGTGTTTAACTTGTTGGGAAAGAGGAACAGTATTTTAAAATGTCAATCAATTATCTCAGGTTGATTTATACTGTTGTTTGAGTTTTCTGTGTCCTTACTATTCCTTATTAACTTGCTCTATAAACTTTTGAGAGAAGAACATTAACATCTCTGATTATAACTGTGAATTTGTATGTTTCTTCTTGCATCTCTATCAATATTTGCTTCATGCATTTTGAAATTAGGATTAGATGCATACATTTAGAGTTGTCAGGTCCTTTTGACAAATCAAACCTTTTATCATTTTAAAATGTCCTTCCTTTATTCCTGATAATTTTTTTTAAATTTAGAAATCAAATTTCTCAGCATTCTTTTGTTTAGTGTTAATATGATACATCTTTTTCCACACTTGTACTGTTTGGGGGGCCGTATTGGGGGTTGAACTCAGGGGCACTTGACCACCAAATCACATCCCCAGCACTGAATTGCTTAGTGCCTTGCTTTTGCTGAGGCTGGCTTCGAACTCAGGATCCTCCTGCCTCCAAAATAGCTGCTGGGATTATAGGTGTACACCACCATGTTTGGCTTCCATTCTTTCACTTTTAACCTATTTTATCTTTATATTTCTATGAGTTTCTTATAGGCAGCATATAATTGCATCTTGCCTTTTAGTCTTTTTAATCCAGCCTAACTTTTGCCTTTAATCGTGGTGTCTAACTTTTGTCTTTAATATTTAAATTTAATGTAATTACTGAAATGCTTGGTTTTGAATCTTAATACTTGTTTTCTCTTTGTCTCAGGTCTCTTTTGTTCTCCCTTTTCTTCTTTTTCTTTCTTTTAAAGATTGCATTTTTTTACCTTAACTTATAGGATACAACTCTGTTGTGTTTCTTACATGGTCGTACTAATCTTAAAAGTTACTGTCTACCTTCAAGTGATACTACACATTTCATGTATGGTATGAATAACTGTGCAACAGATTATTCTTATATCTATCTCCCTCCTAGCATTTGTGTTCTCATGCATTTCACTTCTACACATAATAAATTCCGTAACACATTATTTTTGCTTTCTGCAGCTGAGTTAAATACTTAATGGGTCTATTTACACACATAGACCAGTTCTAATGCTTGTTATTCCTTTGTACAGATCCACATTTCCCTTTGGTATCATTTTCCTAGTTGAAAAATTTCTTTTAACATCTTCTTGAAGCAGAGGTCTTCCAATCATATTTTTTAGGTCTTATAGGACTTCTGAAAAGTCTTTATTTAGCCATTATTTTTGGAAGATTATTTTCTCTGTGCACAGAATTCTATGTTGACAGTTCTTTTAATACTTTTAAAATACTGGTTCACTCTCTTCTAGCTAGCATTTAAAAAATCCTGGCTGTTTCTAAAGATAATCCCTTTATTGATGATTATACTTTTTAATCATTGTATTTCTTAGTGTAGTACTATCCTTGATATTTCTGGGCTTGGGTTCATTAAAGTTTTGTGTTTCTAGTTTTCATCATATCTGGAAAAAATTTGGCCATTACTCAGTAAAAATAATTTTTTTTCTCCTCTCTTTCCTTTGGGGACCCTAAATGTCCATTAGGCTACAGAATACTGTTTTAAAAAGTTTTTTTCTATACTTCCCCTGGGATTGTTTTTATTTCTGTCTCCTAGTTCAGTAGTGTGCAGTGAACAGAACTGACAGAGTTCCTGCCTTTATGGAATTGATCTGTAATAAAAATATCTATCTTGTGATAAATTGCCATGAAGTAAATAAGTACATGAAGCTCCATCCATCTCCTTAGAGATATGGTGGACCTGTGAGATAGGTTCAAGCTGCTTGAAAGATAAGAAATCAGGCATATGAAAAACAGGGAGAAATGTCCTTTAATAGAGGAATAGTGTGAGGGCCCTTGGAAAGAGCATAGGTTAATCTGAAAGGAGGCTTTTGGAATGATTGGTAGGGCCCAGATCCTAGTTTTGTAGGTTAGGATAAGAAATTTAGATTCAGTTGTAAATATAACAAGTAATTGGATGGTTTTAAATAGGGGAATAACAATAATATTTGCTTTAAAATAAATTTTCAATAGTTTTATACTAAGAATCAATTTGCAAATTCCTTATGAATAACTGCCTAGTTTCTACTGAACAGAAATATTTCTCAATTTATTTTACATATGTATTGCTTTGTATATGTAAAGAGTAGTGTAATAGAGTAAGTCATTTATAAATAATTGTGAGTGAAAATGACTATAGCTAACATCTGGGTAACTGTTCAGTTTCAGTAAAATACTAATTTTTGAAAAGTTTCAGTAGAATACTAATTTTTAAAAATTTATCTTCCAGCTTGTAGAAGTTAAAGGTCCCAGTGATCGACTTTCACAAAAGCAAATGATCTGGTTGGATGAACTGCAGAAGTTGGGGGCTGAAGTAGAAGTCTGCCATGTGGTTGCAGTTGGAGCTAAGAGCAAAGGCCTCAGCTAAAGCCATCAAATTGGGAATATTTACTCATACAGTAGTATTTTTAAAAGCATAAAGTAGTATTACATTGTATTTAATTTTGATTTTATCATCAGTTATAAACCTGAATTACTAATTGATTATTGTATAGTGTCTGTATCTCGGAGAACTTGGTGTCTGTTTGAAATACATGAATTGATGCCACACAGTGGATAATGGTCTTTTTTATAAATGGTCAAAACCCCGTTGGCCATTTTAGGAGCTGAATACATCTATGCCAATAAATTAGACTTAAGAAAAATAAAAGCAAAAACAAAAATGCAAACATAGTTCATAGCTTTCAGCTGAGGTCTTCTATAAAAGTAACAAATAATTTGGAAACGAAGACCCTTGAATTCAAGTCTTTCTATACTCTTTTACACATTTAGCTGTTAAATATTCTTGTTTTGTGACTACTCAAGAAGGGCAGAAACAACAGTGCAGATTCAGATTGCCTCAGGAATTATACAATTCTCTTGAATTTCTTAACTTCTTATAGTACAGCATCTGTAGATGCTTGCTATTACCAGTTAGGGCAAGATTGCCAATAGCATGAGCAGTATTTTTCAAGGCAGTTTTACCTCCTCATCCTCTATGTTGAAACAAGGCTGCTCATCACCATTGTTGGGTCTCAAGCAGGTAGAAAGGTGATTTAAATAAATGCTAGGCCCAGGATGTGGGCTAGAGTCCTTGGTCTCCCATAGACTGGGAACTTCTGGGAGAAACTTAACTCCCAGTTTTTGTGTTTATTATATGGAAGGACCAGTTAGGGCTTGGTCTATTATTACCCACATGGCCTAAATACAGCCATTTCTAAAATGTAAAAATTGTTACTGATCATGACTCCATTTTAGAGGGCAAGCAAAACCCTGTGTGAATGAGGCAGTATGTATAGGTAAGAGAGGTATTTACACATCTTCAGTCACTGTGCTCTGGCATATTTCATATTAATAATTATGACAAATAATTTCATGGAAATTTTATTCAGCATCAAGATTTCCTTCACATTCATTCTGCTGAACAAGATCTTTCCTACTCGTCCTACTTTAACTCAAGTCATCAGTTTTAGGCACAAAGGTTTTGTTTTCTAAGTCAAGTTTTAACTACTTGAGGTTACTGCCACAGCAAGAAGATTTTGTTGAAAGTTGTGTTGAACAGTTTTCACCATGTTAGTACAAATTAATATCCTTTCCTTAAATAAAGTTGGTCAGACAATTTTGGTTTTAAAATTGGTTCCCATCATAAAACAACAGTGAGACACTGTACATCTTCAAGTCCAACACTAGGAAGTCCAATGCCATCTGGCCTTTGCCTGGATTCCATCATGACAGGCTCCACAGGGCCACGGGGACTACGGGTGTTGAGCTCTCTTTGGTACATTGCACGCAGCCATACTTACCATTTCTGTCACCACAGTGTCATTTTTGTTCGTAGAGATGCCAAGCAGCTTTATAATGGCCTAGACTTAAGGCTGTTAATAGTTGTTTTTCATATTATGCACAATGAACTGTGACACAATAATCATGATAATAACAACTATTCAGTAAAAATAAGACAAACCCCATATTTTACTACATTTGATTATCATACAAAAATATGCATTTTTCTATTTTAAAACAGTATTAATAGTACCTAATCTTTTTTAAACTTATAAATTCACACACACACACATAAAAATCTAAAGGAGTTGAAATAAATGTGTGAGGAAAGAAAATTATACAGAAATAGGTGTTCAATTCAAAAAATAAATTTAGAACAATTTATAATAATAAAAAAGCAGCTTAGTGAAGAAGGGGGAATTATTAAAATTTCAATAGCAGAAAATACTATGGTGTCTTAAAGGGGTTGGGGCTGGTTTCTAATCAAGGATTATAAAATCTTTAGTGACAATAATGTTATTTGTACATACTGAAAATAGCTCTTGTTTTCTACGCAACAAGTTGGCTTTAAAAACATTGCATTTATCCACAAAATGATAAATTTCCTAAGACACTTTTAAGAAAAAACAATTTTTAAAAGGCATACAATTAAAGTAGAAATAGCTGTTTAATACACAAATAGGTAAAACTATCCTGAAAAAAACTTGTTTGGGGAAAGGAAATAAGCTAACTAGATACTTTACTATAATTTTTCAAAATTCTTAAGATGGCAGTTTAAGGAACTTTAACATAGTCAGATTTGAATACATGTATCTTTTAAGCAGATGGGGATTTGTTGGGGGGGAATGGCACTAAATGCCACTACCAGTAGCACCATTTTAAGGAGCTTAAGCTTGGACCTTGGCTAGGTTCTTGTAGTTTGAAAACGGGAATTTCAGATCAGGAATATACCTTTTTAAATTTATTGGTCTCCTCTTAATATTGCTGTCAAAAGTCAGGAAAGCATGTGAGGGAGTTCTTTGTATTAGAACAGCAGTATTTTGAGAGAAGTACACTTTCATTTCTCCTGTTCTTTATTTGTAAGCATTAAGAACTTTAGGAGAAGCACTTCTGTGCAGGTGCCCTGACTTGTGACTTCACTAGTTATTTCCATGGTGTGTGCTGCCAGCAACACTTCACCAGGCTGGGAATGCTGACAGGGAAGCCAGGGATGCCTCCAAGCAGGCCTTGGGGTCTATGCAGATAGCACTCTACTGTCTAGGAACCAGTCTGCCAGAGCTAGGGCTGGATGGCCTGACAAACTTCTCAGGATTAGAACTCAGGCTGCTGTGTCCTCAGTGATTTTCAAAGGGACAGAAATTTGCTTTGGGAACTCCTGGCTACTGTTATGAAGCTTAGTATGAAAAACCTATTTTCAGTATTTTAACCTTCTAATTTTAAAAAGTGAAATTAGATTTCCTGTGTTATTCATATCTTAATGTCAAAGGCACTTCTTTTATTATCTACGGTGAATACTTGAAAGTTACAGTACACACTGTTTTAAAGTTAGTCCTGTGGATTTAAAAGCAAGTTCATGATTTCAAGACACAGTAATCTAAGTACCCAAACAAAGTGATCTAAAATAATAAATTTGGTCTCAAAATAATGAATGAATTGAGCTCAATTTGAGAAACAGAAAGTGACCAGAAAAAATACAGGAATACCTACTGAAGTCTTTTGGGGGTTTTCCTAGAGATTCCTGGAAGTTTACTAAATACTAATTTCTTAACTTTCCTGATGTCTACTTCTTTAGGTTGGTAATCCAACCAAGTATCTAGTAAGCTTTAGTAGGGGATACAAAGAATGAATGCAGACAAAATAAAATAGTAGAGAAAACCTGATTGGTTTGATCATAGTTAAAAGAATGGAGAACGTTATCTGCACATCACCTAAAATAAGCCAGAACTCTAATGCTAGAGAACATAAGAAACAAAAATTACATTTCTCTTAAAGCCACTATAAAGGGAGAGTGATTCAACATATTTTTAAAATATTAGTGCAAATTTCATCTATTATTCTTATATATAAAATTATCAGTTTTAAATGCCTAGGTTAACAATTTTGATTCAGAGGGAAAAATTTATAGAGCTTCCCTTCAAATGTTCAGAAAATACTACATTTTAGTCTTCATTTGCAAGTGTCTCAGTAGATAACCATATTTTGGCCCCACTTAAAAATTTGCTTAATGGCGTTCCTGAAATACTTCGTCTGCACAGATTTCCTACAGGAGAAAATGGAAAGGAAGAGGAGAGAAACTCTGGTGTCCCAGAGGTATCATGAGGGCCGCTGGCTCTGAAATACATCCTGCTGTGGTCCAGCTCTGCATAGCAGGCTTCTAACGGGCCACTCCGCTGCTGCCGCAGCATCCTACTGAGCACATCAACTTCATCAGCCAGAAGGGAGAGCTTGTGAAAGGCGGTGATGGAGCCCCCAAGGTTGATCTGAGCCTCGGGGATCCAGCGGAAGTAGCATAGTTTCCACAGTTTTATGTGTGTTCCAGAGAGATGCGGCAGTATAACCCCGTGCAGGTCAGCTGGTTTAGAAAACCATTCTCTAAAATACTGCTCCATATCACTGTTCTGGCTGTCGGTGTGCTGAAGTGGGTCTGGCTTTAGTTTTAATATTAATGAATTTCTCCTGGGCAGTAATTCTTGGTCACTGATGATTCCATTCTTTATGGAAGATGGCATTCCTCTTAGTGTGGAGCTGTAGCTTTTCTACAGAGAAGAGAGATCTTAGCATTATTTTCCTGGAGCGTCCCTTTTTAAGAAAGACCAAAGGTACAATGGCAAACATAAACTCAGTATTTATGGAACTTGGATGGAATTTCAGCTGCAGAGAACATTTTCATCCCTTCCCTTATGCTTAATGCTTATTCCAATTCTCCTTCCCTGGAATAACAGTTTTTAGGGGTTAACTCTCCTTAAGGCTCTAACACCTGAATAGGGGTAGAAGGTGAGTGAGTAATCCTTGAGTGCACATTTATGGCTTCTGAGTTAGGAAAAAAAAAAAACAACTAGGCTTTGCTAATTCTAGAAAGAATGGGCAGACTAGATGTGTTTCAGAAACCAGGGTTCTAGGCACAGAGTATGATCTGCCAACTCTCAGTTGCTGATTAGGCTTTGTGAGCCTCACACACCAAGAAGAAAAGTCAAATATGGTTACATTAGTAAAAAAGGAAATGATCCCTCAAAACCCTGCATTAACAGTGTTGCTTGGGAAGTGACTTTACTGTTTTTTTTTAAAGAATTGTTTATTTTCTTTTAGTGAGATCTGCAGTTTATCACATTTGCTATATTCTTTCAAGTTTTCTAGAAATAAGTACTCATCTTTGACTATGGCTCTCATTAATGTACCTCTAAATAGCAACTTCTTTTTCCCTTTTTTAATTGATTCTTTTTAGCTACACGTCAATAGAATTTATTTTGACATAATTATAAAAACATGCAATATAATTTGTTCTAATTCAGTCCCCAGCACTTCTCCTTCCCATCCCTTCCTCCTACCCCTTGTTCCCTTCCCTTTATTCTACTGATCTTTCTGCTATTTTAGTTTTTTTTTTTCATTCGTGTCTTATGGATGTACATGTTGGTGAGATTCACTGTGGTATATGTATGTAGGAATGTGAGGTCAGTTTATTCTACTGTCTTTGGGGAGATAAAAATTAGAAGAAAGATCAATGGAATGACTACTTTTAATACCTGTGTTCTGAAAAAGATGTTTTGGTTATGTGTGAGCCAACATGAGGTTTTTATTGGTGGTGCCCTATTGGAACCAACAACAAAACAAAACCAACAAAAAAAAACCCAACAACCAACCTTCGTTCGCTTAAAAGACTTCATTGAGCCATTCTGTATGCAAGGCGTGCTCTTTCCAATGTAGAAGGGGTTGTGGAAAAGCGTCCGATCCTTTGCTGTGAACTGAAGAGACCAGTCCCAAACTGAGGGGAATTTTAAGCCCTTTTCATCACCCAATTGGATATTTTTGCTTATAGCGAATTCCTGCAAAGTAAAACATTTGAACATGTGTGAAAGGATGCACAGCTAAAGATTTTCTCATTTCAGCTCCTTTCTTTTGATGAGCCCTCATCATTACGCAAGTGAAAGGTTCTGAACTAGAGCATCCAAAACCCCCAGAACAGTACTTGTTGCCCTGTAAGCAAATGCAGCAGACTCTTCATCGAGCTCCCAGCCTTCAAACCAGGAAGACAATAAGGATGTTAATAAGAGAAGATACCATAAAAAGTCTTAGAATGTGCCAAAGCCCCCACTTTGGAATGATGAAGCCTGGTGATCTGGTTTTCACCACAATAAATGGAGGCAACCTAAGGCCATGGGGTGACATCCAGGCCCTCACTGTGGAAGAGGGCATAGGGCTCCTCTGGATGGCAGCCTCCAGAAAACTCAAACTAAGCATTCACCTTTAACAGTGTGGAGAAAGGACCCTCATCTTAACTAACGCAGGCTACCTCAAGTTTATGCATAACAGTTCCCTGGAGGAAATAATACCTAATACTGAGTTTGTAGGAAAGATTGATTTTTATTTTCTGTTCTATATATTTCAATATTTTCCAAATTTGCTACAAAACAAAAATAAGTTTTTTTTAATAAATTAGTAAAAATGCAAAGAATAAATATTTTTAAAAGTACAGCAATTAGGAGACTGTGGCTGTGTCACAGCTAGGCATATTCTTTACTGCAATGATGGCTTAGAATCATCAAAAAATGGTTACCTATGAAATGGCAGTGCATTTTTAAGAAGCTTTAGAAAATATTTTTATTTCAAATAATTAAAAATTCATTAAGCAAATGTACCTAAAAGGTTTTTTTAAGTTATTTGAAATTTTGTCCTATATATGGATGGATAAAAACAACCCATCTTCTTTAAATTGTTGAAATCAAGTAAAACAGAAGCCTCAAATTCCTTAGCAAAGTATATAAAAAACAATCATTTTTTTTAAAATATGAAAACTGAAAATATGTATCTCCAAGGAAAATCAGATTTTCCACAAACAGCTCCTGACCACTAATGTCCAAGGTGGCCTCAGAATGGAAAAAACAGGAACTACCATTGGCTTATGGCAAACGTGTAGAAGGGGAAGACTACAGCAGTTATGTTAGTTCCCAGGAAGGATTCCTGATAGTATGTGTCTGAGAAACAACTTCTGAAATAGCCAAATTAAAAAAATAAATAAATAAATAAAGCACTAGGACATGAAACAGAAAGCAGATGCAATACTATAAAAACTCTACCTTTTATTTCTAATAAAGATCTATTTGTCAGTAAATCTTGACATATCCAGAATCTAGTCAAGTAGATGGGATAAGCAACAGTATCTCTGGGCCCAAGTTCTTCACTCAGGAGTCCACCCAAAGCAATGCCATGTCATCAGGACCCCAAAGCCAATGTCCTCTCATTGGACATTTTAGTCAAATATGGTGGTAGGCATCCTGGTCCCTTGTCCCTTTCCCAAGCTCCCACTGTGTGTCTGTGTGCATGGGTGAACAGCTGTGTGCACAGGGCAGCAAAGGAAAAGGTGGAGAGAGCCAAGGGGCAAGCAGAGCCCAGGAAAGGATGAGCTCTCAGTCAGAAAGGCACAAAAATGATGACAGTGTGTAATAAATGAAAGCAAGGAACTGGAAGAACATTATCTTAGGAATAAGTAAGCTTTACCAACTTTACATAGCTCTCTTCATCACTGGTTCTCAGTTCAGTTTTTGGAAAGGTTCAATCCTTTTAAGAAAGCAGGTTTATATAAATTTCCTTCCCAAGGTATTCAATCTAAAACACAGAGAGGACTGAGTTTCTCTGAGCCCTGAGCTCCCCAAGAATGGCAATGCTGGGCCAGCCTTACCTCCTTACCTTCTGTGTTCTAAGAACTGGCTTCCATGCCTGAGATGAGACCAGCCTCCACTCTCCCTCACAGAACCCATTTTCTGCCTCTATAATCAAACCCCACATTCAGTCCCTTTCTTTGGGATGCTCCTCATTAATGAAATTCTCCCTACTGTGAGTACTAATACTCCATTTTGTCTTTCATACATACAATCCAGAAAAACTCCTCTCTCTCCAGAATAATTTACAAAATATTTCACAATTTACAAAACATTTTCATCTTGTACAATGAGGCCCAAAACATGACTATTAGATCGATGGATCTACGTTACAGATGATGAACTGGGCTCACAGGTTTAATCCTGAGCGAACTGGAGGCTTAGAATTTTTCTAGACCAGGACCTTAATACTGAGGCTGAAGACCCCAGGGGTCACTGTGATGAAAATCCCCTTCTCATATAGTTTCCCTCATGCTTATATGGGCCGCCCTTTGATTTCTCTCCCTGGTCACTGCACTATTTATGGGTGAGACTTGTTGGCTCACAGGAAGGTAGATACAACTGTGTTCAGAAGGTTTCTACACACATCAAGAGGAGAAAATTTCTAGTTTGGCACGAGATTCTCCTTAATACTGATTCTGACTGTAGGTCAATAAACTATTATCATATAGTTATAACCATACCTAAAAGTGAAATGCCACGTGACAGAAGAGACTCTGAGAACACATGGTTAAGGGAATGCCCAGAGTTTCAATCTACTGCTGTACCTACACTTCATTTCTTTTCTTTAGAACTCGGGATTTAACTCAGGGACACTTTGCCACTGAGCTATATCCCCAGTCATTTCATTTTTATCAAGACAGGGCCTCTCTAAATTATTTTTCAGGCCTTGATAATTTACCCAAGCTGGCCTTAAACTTACAATCCTCCTGCTTCAGACTTCCAAGTAACTGGGATTACAGGTATGTGCCACCATATCCGGCCTCTATACTTCATCTCCAAACCTCCTGCTCCTTGACTCTCAAAGAGAAATGATCTTACAGGGCACACCTTTTATTCACTGAAATAATGTCTTCAGACAACACCATTTTTATTAACCAACCCAAATGTGAAAATATAAATCCCAAAGCACAACACATAAGGTGGTTAAAGTAATTTACATTCTTGATCAGTGGACTGGAAAACGATGGAAGTGAGTTAGGCAGTGAATCCTGAACTCCTCAAAACACAGTAAGAAGGCAGCACAGGAAAAGCAGAATTGAGAGGGCTTTTAAGAGAAAGTAGCTCACAAAGTAGTCCTTTGTTTAAAAAGTGAAAACTAAATCAATAGATGGGTAGACATACAAACAATATGAAAAAAGGAAGGAAACAAACCATCCCAAACAGCCCATAATGCTTCAACAATTGACTTCATTGATACCACAGTGGAGGAGATGTCAGAGAAAGAATTTGGAAAGCTCATAGTGAAAATGTTTTATGAAGTAGAAGAAGATGTAAGGAGTAAAATCAGAGAAAATACAGCAAGTGAAAGATCACATCAATAAAGAGATAGAGATTCTGAAAAAGAACCAAACAGAAATCCTTAAAATGAAAGAATCAGGGCTGGGGATGTGGCTCAAGCGGTAGCGCGCTCGCCTGGCATGTGTGCGGCCCGGGTTCGATTCTCAGCACCACATACAAACAAAGATGTTGTGTCTGCCAATAACTAAAGCATAATGAAGCTTGGGTAAATTATCAGCATAATGAAGCTTCATAATTGAATATGAAATAAAAATTAGACAGATAGAAGCTAAAAAATTCATAACTAGAAAGTCTGCACTACAAAACATACCAAATGTTTCATGAAGAAGAAATGAAAAATTTTTAAAAAAGGATAGGGAGGAGTTAAACTAGAATAATGATCTATTAAAGGAGACTCAAGTTCAATTTTTAAACATTAGAAATAAATCCAAATGGCAGGAAATAAAAATCTTGTCTCAATAACAGTAATGTAAACAGTCTAAACTCTTCAATCAAAAGAAACAGGCTGGCAAACTGGGTTAAAAAAAAGGACCCAACACCATGCAAAAGATTCACCTCATAAGAAAATACATCCACAGACTGGAGGTGAAAGGATGGGGAAAAAACATACCATTTATGTGGGATTCATAAACAAACAGAGCTAGCTATTCCCATATCAGATAAAGTGGACTTTAAGCCAAGATTGATCAGAAGAGACAAAGAAGATCACTTTATACTGCTTAAGATAATCATACATCAATAAAATATAATGATCATAAATATTTATGTCCCAAACAATAGAACGTCTATGCAATCAAACAAACTCAATATTAAGAATCAAATGGACCACAGTATAATAATACTGAGTGACTTTAATATACCTCTCTCATTAGTGGATAGATCACTTAAACATAAACTAAGTGAAGATTCTACAGAACTAAAAACATAATAATATGGACCCAACCGACATCTATAGAATACTTCATCCATTAATGACTGAATTTACTTTCTTCTCATCAGGACATGGAACATTTTCTAAAATAGACCATATTTTAGGACACAAACCAAATTTTAGCAAATACAAAATAGATAATATGTGGGATTCTATCAGATCACAATGGAATGAAATTAGAAATCAACAATATGATAAAAAAATAGAAAGCACTCTAACACCTGGAGATTAAAATAATACAATTTTGAATGATGAATGGATACCAGAAAAAATTAGGAGAAAAATTTAAAAAATTCTTAGAAATAAATGAGAATAGTGATACAACATATCAAAAGCTCAGGAACAATATGAGAGCAGTCCTAAAAGGAAAGCTGATAGCACCAAGCTCACACATTAAAAAAATAGAAAGATACCCAAGTAACTAATCTAACACTACATCTCAAGGGCCTTGAAAAAGAACAAACCAACACCAAAATCAGTAGCAGACAGAAAATAATTAAAATCAGAGCCAAAATCAATGAAATTGAGATTTAAGAAATACAAAATATCAACAAAACAGAGTTGGATTTTTGAAAGGATAAACAAAATTGATAAACCTTTAGCCAAACTAACAAAAGAAAGTGGGGAAAAACTCAACTTATCAAAATCTAAAATGTAAAATGAAATATCATCATAGACACTTCTGTGATCCAGAGTATCATCAGAAACTATTTTAAAAATTTATACTCCAATAAGCTAAAGAATCTTGAAGATACTAACAAAGTCCTAGAGACATAACCAACCAAAACTGAACTATGAGAATATAGAAAGCTTAAACAGATCAATTTCATTGAGGATATATAAAGAACTCAAAAACTTAACAACAAAAAAATAAATAACCCAATCAAATAAGTGGGCAAAGGAACTAAATAGACATTTCTGAAAACACCAAAATACAAATATTCAACAAATATATGAAAAATGTTCAATATCTCCGCCAATTAGGGAAAATAAAAATTAAAACAATGTACACTGAGATTTGAGGATGTAGAAAAAAGGGTACACTCATACCTTGTTGGTAGGATTGCAAATTAGTGCAGTCACTCTGGAAAGCATTATGGAGATTCCTTAAAAAACTAGGAATGAAGTACCGTATGACCCAGCTATCCCACTCCTCAGTATATATCCAAAAGATGTAAAATCAACATACTACTGTGACACAGACTCATCAATGTTTATAATGGCACAATTCACAATAGCTAAGCAAAGGCACCAACCTAGATGCCCTTCTACAGTTGAATGGATAAAGAAAATGTGGAATATATACACAATGGAGTCTTTCTCTGCCATAAAGAAAAATGAGTTTATAGCATTTATCAGTAAATGAATGGAACTGGAGACTATCATGCTAAGTGAAATACTCCAGTCCCCAAAAGTCAAATGTCAAATATTTTCTCTGATATGTAGAAACTAATCCAAAATAAGAGTAGAGGGATTAAAAAAAAAAAAGATTAGTGGAGTAGACAAAGGGGAATGAAGAGAAGAGAGGAGGAATGAGATAGGGAGAGTAGAATGAATCTAACCTAACATTCTATGTACATATATGAATGTACCACAGTGAATCTCACCATCATATACACCCATCAGACACTAATTTAAACAAACAAACAAACAAAGTAAAGAGCAGAAAGATCAGTTGGGTAGAGGGAAGAGGATGCAGAGTGGGGGAAATGATGGGGTACTGGGGACTGAATTAGAACAAATAATAATCCATGCTTTTATAATTATGTCAAAATGAATCCTATTGTCATATATAACTAAAAGGAACACATGAAATTTTTAAGAAAGTAATCATATTCTTTTTTTTTAAAGAGAGAGAGAATTTTTTAATATTTATTTTTTTTTTTAGTTTTCGGCAGACATTTGTTTGTTTGTCGTGCTGAGGATTGAACCTGGGCCGCACGCATGCCAGGCGAGCGTGCTACCGCTTGAGCCACATCCCCAGCCCCAAAGTAATCATATTCTTAAATTCGTTTATTATGAATTAGAGAAAACACAAAATGTTCATTTATAAAAAATAATTTTCAAAAGCAATTTTAAAAAAGCAATTAAAAATAACTTTCTAGGGTTTTGTCTTTAATGCATTCAAAAATTTCAGCTTGAAAGAGTAATATTTTAAAAATATGCTGTTAATTATAGTTCAATTACATTTCAAAGTTGTAAGTAACAAAAAGACAAAAAAACACATAGCTTCAGCCACCATGTCACTTACTGTGCTTTGCTTCACCCGTTGGTGAGGAGAGTTGAACAGGAAGGTGCTAAACAGTGAAATCCGGGTACTGTCACAAAGCACTGCTAAGTAAGTCTCAGAAAACTCAAAGGCTGCCGGGTATTGTTCTAACAGTTGCCATGTTGCATCCAAGAAGAGCAAAAATAAAGGAGACTGGCAAATACAGACAATGAGATTATTTAATGATGTTCACATTAATTTCCAAATTATTTCTGTTATTAAGGGATTAATAAGAAAACAGCTAAGTCTAAAACATTTGGCTCCTACGTTCAGTCAAGACAGTGTGAACAGAACAAACGTATCTATGTCAAACCTAAGAAATGTGTTTGATCATGATAAACATCATAACCTTTATTTGCCTGTTAAGTATAAGCTAAAGTGGAAAAGCAAACAGATGAGCAGGTTGCCACTGCATGAATGGGGAAGAGCAAAATATGTGTTTAAGCATGTCTTGGAAACAGTTCTTTAGAACATAGAACACTCTACCAAATTCTGTAACTAATTTTTTATTTCACCTTCTGGGCTCAGCATTCAGAAAACTTCCCCAAATTTCAGAAAACAGTTTGGTATCAGGCTCTAGGCCACATGGTATGCGGCCCAGGGCAGCCACTGCCAACATCTCTTATACCTGTGTTCCCACAGGTTAAATAGTCCTCTCTGAAACACCCTGTAAAAACTGACCTCCCTGTCTGGCCCATAAGATACTGTAGGGCCTTCCACAGCCTAATTATGGGTTCAAGGCAGCCACTACCCCACAGATGTTACAAGGATGCCCTCCCCCAAAAAACTCAAGTTCTTAACTCATGCACCTCATTTTAAGGAAATGTGACCTTCCAAAAGTGATTTTCATTTACTTACATAGTTATTATAAACTCTTATTAGACATTTGTTACCTCTTTTTCTGATCTCTTCAAATGGTTGCATCTGTCTAGGAACTGAAATCCTGCCATGACCCATTCCTTCTGTATCAGACTCTGAAATCCAGTAATTGTCCTAAAATATGGATCCAGCATCACTTGCACAAGAGAAGCTATAAGACAGCTTAAGTCTCTTCCCTCTTCCTCTGTCAATAAAATGGAAAGAAAATGATTACAACAAACAGAAATGGTGAAGGGAAGTAGAGATAAACTAGATAATTCAGTATTCTAGGCAAAGGTTATCTTCAAAATAATCTATGTAGGGAAATTATACTGGATTCTAGCAAGTATAAAACATTGTAGACTTTTAGATAAATTAGTGTTTTAAAATGGACCATAGAGCTAAATGTAAGAGCTAAAACTATAAAAATTCTATATAGGAGGAAACACAGAACAATTCATATATAAATTTTTTTTATATATGAATATTTGCCAAATAATAACAGCTAATCCCTCAACGTCCTTACATTTCAAGGGTTTACTATAAAAAAATCCTCATAGATCCATTCTACTACTGTCAAAGATATTAAGTATAATGTAATCTTCCTACTACAACTCCACATGGTAATGATTCAGAGGTAAATGGGGAAGAGGGACTGTTCACTATTATTGGAAAAGGTAACAAATATTTCCTTCCTGTCTCATTTTCAGTGAGACTAGATTACCCTGATATTAAAGCCAGTCAAAGAAATGAGAAAACTATCAACCAAAATCCTTTATAATTACAGATGTAAAAATTACCAACAAAATGTTAATAAATTACTCCAGAAATCCAAGGACTTATCCCAAGAATGGAAGGCTTGTTTAACATCTGCCAATCAAATTAATATATCCTATGAATAAAGGGCAACAATATGATCATTTCATTAGATGCAGGAAAAGCATCTGACATGATTCTACATTCATTCCTGATAAAAACTCTTAGCAAACTAGGAATAGAGGGAATTTCTTCAATCTGATCAAAAACCTACAATAGCAGTCTCAATGGTAAAACCCCTGATGCTTTCCCCTATGACTGGGAATAAGATAAGGATGTCTGCTTTTGATACTTCTATAGTACTTTGTACTGGAGGTTCTAGCCAGAGCAATTAGGCAAGAAAAAGAAATAAAAGGCACACAAATCATGAAGGATATAAAAACTGTATTTGCCAACAAGATTCAATATATAAAAAAATCCTAAGGAAGCTGCAAAGTAATACTAGAACTAATATATGAATTCAGTAAGATCACAAAAATTCTATACACAGTAACAATCTGAATACACAATAAATCTGAAAAGGAAGTTAAGAAAACGATAATCACAGCCATTAAAAATACTTGAAATTTAATAAACAAAAGACTTGTATAATAAAATCAATAAAATATTGCTGATAAAATGAAAGAAGACCTAAATAAACACAGACATTTACCTCACAGATTGGCAGATTCAATATGATGGCATTCTTACTAAACTGATCTATAGGTTCAACACATTCCTATATCAACATCCCAAGAGAATTTTTTTGTTTTTTTCTGAGTCTGAAAGTTATATAGAAATACAAAAAAAAAAAAACAAAATAAAACAAAACAAAAAAACCAAGCCAAAACAATTTCAAAAGCAAAGTTGGAATACTCACGTCTCAATTTCAAAATTTACTATACAAGTATACAGTACTCAGTGTGGTACTGGTACTGGCAAAAGAAATGACAAAGATCAATAGAATAAAATAGAGTCCAAAAATAAACCTTAGTATTTATAGTCAATGATTTTTGATAAATGTATGAAGGCAATTTAATAGAGATAGGACATTTTTCAACAAATGGTGCTGGATATTTTAATATCCCCATATGTAAAAGAAATGAATTTATACTCTTCCCTCAGAACACATGCAAAAATTCATTCAAAATGGACCATATAGCTAAATGTAAGAGCTAAAACTATAAAAATTCTATATAAGAGGAAACGTAGAGAAAAAATATTCATGACTTGCATTAGAAAAATATTTATTAGATATGACATCAAAAACATGATCCAAGAAGGAAAAAAAATGGATAAAAAGTACTTCACCAAATTTTAAAATTAGTGCTTCAAAAGATATTAGGAAAATATTTGAAAGTCATAGAGTAGGAGAAAATATTGTCAAAATCACAATACTACCAAAAGCACTATACAACAGATTTAAGGCAATTCCTATTAAGGTTTTGATATGTTCTTCATAGATATAGAAAAGGCATCATGAAATTCATTTGGAAAAATAGGAGGTCCTGAATAGCCAAAGCAATCTTCAGCAAGAGTGATGCAGGAGGCATCACAAAAATGGCATGATATTGACACCAAAACAGACATGAAGACCAATGGTACAGAATAGAAGACAGAGACAAAGGCACCATAAACATACATTGAAAGAAAAGACAGCCTCTTCAGCAAATGATCCTGGGAAAACTGAAAATCCATATGTAATAGAAAGAAATGAGACGACTCTCACCCTGTACGAAACTCAACTCTAAGTGATCAAGGACCTAGGTTTTAGACTGGAGACCCCATTCCTACTAGAAGAAAATCTAGGCCCAAATCTCCATCATGTCAGTTTAGAAACTGAATTCCTCAACAAGACCCCAAAAGCACAAGAAGTAAAATCAAGAATCAATAAATGGAATTGTATCAAAGTAAAAAGCTTCTTACAAAAAAAGTAAACAATCAAGAACATGGAGAGAACCTATAGAATGGGAGAAAATCTTTGCCACCTGCACCTCAGATAGAGCATTAATCTCCAGGATATATAAAGAACTCAAAAAACTTAATACCAACAAAACAAACAAACAAATAACCCAATCAATAAATGGGCAAAGAAACTGAACAGACACTTCACAGAAGAGAAATTACAAATAGTTAACAAATATTATGAAAAAATATTAAACATCTCTAGCAATTAAAAAAATGCAAATTAAAATTACAGTAAGTTTTCATCTCACTCTAGTCAGAATGGCAATTATCAAAAATATAATTACAATAAATGTTGGCAGGGATGTGGGAGAAATTTCGTACATTGCTGGTGGGACTAAAAATTGGTGCAACAACTATGGGAAGCAGTATAGTGAAAACTTGGAATGGGAGTCTTATTAAGGAAGTTGGAGCCTAAACCCACATGATGAAGACTAGGGTCTACTTTTTCTTCTATTAGACACAGAGTCTCTGGTCTAATTCCTAGGTCCTTGATCCACTTTGAGTTTTGTGCATGGTGAGAGATAGGGGTTTAATTTCATTTTGTTGCATATGGATTTCCAGTTTTCCCAGCACTATTTGTTGAAGATGCTATCTTTTCTCCACTGCATGTTTTTGGCACCTTTGTCTAACATAAGATAATTGTAATTATGTTGGTTTGTTTCTGTCTCCTCTACTCTGTACCATTGGTCTACCAGTATGTTTTGGTGCCAATACCATGCTGTTTTTGTTACTATTGCTCTGTAATATAGTTTAAGGTCTTGTATGGTGATGCCACTTGCTTCACTCTTCCTGCTAAGGACTGTGTAAGCTATTCTGCGTCTTTTATTTTTCCAGATGAATTTCATGATTGCTTTTTCTATTTCTATGAGGAATGCTATTGGGATGTTGATTGGAATTGCATTAAATCTGTATAATGCTTTTGGTAGTATGGTCATTTTGATAATATTAATTCTGCCTATCCAAGAGCCAAGGTAGCAAGAATTAAAACCAAGAATCAATAAATGGGATGGAATCAAACTAAAAAGTTTCTTTTCAGCAAAAGAAACAATCTGTGAGGTAAACAGAGAGCCTGCATCCCGGGAGCAAATTTTTACCCCTCACACATCAGATACAGTACTAATCTCTGGGGTATATAAAGAACTCAAAAAGCTAAGCATCAAAAAAACAAAAACAAAAACAAAACAAAAAAACCAAATAACCCAATCAACAAATGGGCCAAGGACCTGAACAGATACTTCTCTGAAGAGGATACACAATCAATCAACAAATATATGAAAAAATATTCATCATTTCTAGCAATCAGAGAAATGAAAATCAAAACTACTCTAAGATATCATCTCACTCCAGTCAAAATGGCAGCTATTATGAAGATAAACAACAATAAGCATTGGCGAGGATGTGGGGAAAAGGTACACTGATACATTGCTGGTGGGACTGCAAATTGGTGCAGCCAATATGGAAAGCAGTATGGAGATTCCTTGGAAAGCTGGGAATGGAACCACCATTTGACCCAACTATCCCTCTCCTCGGTTTATACTCAAAAGACTTAAAAACAGCATACTACAGGGACAGAGCCACATCAATGTTTATAGAAGCACAATTCACAATAGCTAAACTGTGGAGCCAACCTAGATGCCCTTCAGTGGATGAACGGATAAAAAAAAAAATGTGGCATATATACACTATGGAATTTTACTCAGCAATAAAAGAGAATAAAATCATGGCATTTGCAGGTAAATGGATGGTGTTGGAGAAGATAATGCTAAGTGAAGTTAGTCAATCCCAAAAAAATAAATGCCGAATGTTTTGTCTGATATAAGGAGGCAGATTCATATTGGGGTAGGGAGGGGGAGCATGGGAGGAATAGATGAATTCTAGATAGGGCAGAGGGGTGGGAGGAAAAGGGAGGTGGCAGGGGATTAGCAAGGATGGTAGAATGTGATGGACATCATTATCCAAAGTACATGTATGAAGACACAAATTGGTGTCAACATACTTTATATACAACCAGAGATATGAAAAATTGTACTGTATACATGTAATAAGAATTGTAATGCATTCCACTGTCATTTATTTTCTTAAAAAAATCAATTAAAAAAAAGAAAAAGAAAACTTGGAATGGAACCATCATTTGACCCAGCTATCCCACTCCTTGGTTTATATCCAAAGGACTTAAAATCAGCATATTATAGGGACGTGGACACATCAATGTTCAAGGCAGCTCAACACACAATAGGTAAACTATTGAATCAATCTAGGTTCCCTTAAATAAATGAATGGATAAAGAAAATGTGGTACATACACACAATGTAATATTACTCAGGCTTAAAGAATAATAAAATTATGGCACTTTCCAGTAAATGGATGAAACTGTAAGCTATCATGCTAAGTGAAATAACCAATCCCTTAAAACACCAAAAGCTTAATGTTCTCTGTGATATGCTGATGCTAACTCACAATAGGCAGTGGGGAGGGAGGAGTGCAGGTTCACTGGATTGGACAGGGGGTAGTGGGGGGGAGGGGCAATGGGAATGGGAAAGACAGTAGAATGTATTAGACATAAATTTCCTATGTTCATATATGAATATATGACACATCACATACAACCACAAGAATGGGAAATTATACTCCATGTATGTGTGATGTATCAAAACACATTCTACGGTCATGTATAACTAAAAAGAAAAAAACTTTAAAAATCACATTTAAAAAAAAGATAGCTAAAAGTGATGTAATTTACTTGACGATGAACTATCAATCACCAAAGCTGACTGGCATGGTGTTTCAAGAATTATTTAAATTACCTTGTAGTATTATAGAGAGATGTTTGCTTTCTAGCATGTACACAAGTTCTGCTGAATGTTTAAGAAAAGCCCTGAAAAGAGAAAGGGAAAAATACTGTTAAATATCAACATTCCACCACAAATACATTTTAAAAGTGCATGAAATCAAGTAAAACTCAACTTTCATTGTATACATTTATATTCTCAATGTTTATGAATTTCTTTGGTATATATATGATTCTTCAGAGTATATATTATGATTTTTGTATTGGGAAAATCATTAACCCTTTATAAAAAGGAAGGGATTATTTATATAACATTCATGAGAAGGAAGTAGAGACCCAACTGTAACAGGGGCAGCACAAAGAAGCCCTGTGGTGATGGAATAGTTCTGTACCTTGACTATAGTAGTAGTTCTGTGAATCTATACATGTGACAAGATTGCACAGAAGTACATGTGCATGCACACCCCCCCCACACACAGAACATTCATAAACTGGTGAAATCAATGTTGATTTCATAGTTTTCATTCTATATTTCAGTTATTTAACATGTTACTACTGGGGGATGCAGGTGAAAAATGCATAGTTCTCTCTACCACTTTTGCACCTTCTGTGAGTCTACAATTATTTCAAAATAAAATGTTAAAATAAAAAAGGAGGAAGAAGTTGGCAAACCTGACATATTCTAACCACCGAGTATTTTCTAGTGAAGACAGCCATTTCTCTTCAGTTTCTTCGAAAGGCTCTGTAATACATATGGCAGGTATATGTAAGTGTGTATACACATACACACAAACACATTTTTAGGCTTTTAAAAGTTATTTTTACATGATTGTTAATCAGAGTTAAGAGATAAAACAGCATAGTTTCTAATACTAAAAGTTGGCTTTAAGAAAATATCATGCATTTTTACTTTAGTAAACATGTAAGACAATTCTATTAAAAAGCAAAACAAAGCATTCCCTGAATCCCTATCTTTTACTCTTTGGCTCTTTCAGGGAAATATGAGTCTGACTCTCTCCTGAGAGTTTGTGATTCCCAGTCTTCCTGGTCAGCTCCCACCTCTACTTAGGTACTCCAGAACTGTGCAAATAGCTGTCCAGGCCCCACCTCACAGCTTCCTTACTGCAGAGTTCTGTCCTCCCCTGCTGTCTTTCTCTGTACATGGACCTGGGGGCTGACCAGTATAGGCATGAGAGGGCACCTTTACTGCCCCACCCAGGGTGTGGATAATCATTCAAGGTACTGTGTTTTTAAAATACCTTGCCCCTGAAAAGCTCTCCTTGGAGGACAGTGCCCACACACATTCCAGACCTACTACAAGACCACCTCTCCTGATTCTCAAGTAATACAGGGGCTCTCTCAAGGAGAAACTGTTTTTGCTAAATATACCTTAATGTGACTTCCACAGGGCACCCTCTAACCACTTAAGAGTTTGCTCAGAGATAAGAACTCTGAGGCCATACTTACAACATGGCTTTAATGGAGACCCATATTAAGTCACCATCTCAAAATGTATGTAACTATATGCATTAAAATCTGTAAGGTAATACAGTACTCTACTTAGCAAATGCTTTTGTAAAGATATTCTATTATAACTTTCATGATTTGGAGGAGATTTAACAGGTTCATTTTTTTTCTCCAAAATAGAAAGCAGTGTAAAACTTCATTTTCTGGGGGTTGGCAGTCTCATACAATAAAATGTAAATTGAAAAAAATATAGTCTTCTTAAATATATCTATTTCTATGTTTTTAAGAAACATCACCTCTCCTGACAGTTCTCATATAATTCTTCATTCCTCTAGTCATTATATTACATCTATAGACAAAATAAAAAGGAAATTACCATTAACACATAGTTGCTTAAGTTTTACAAATGCCGCCTGTATTTCTTGAATATTAGGCAAGATCTTATCCAAATCTGATTTGTAAACATCACTTCTTTGTGGATGACTTTTAGTTATTGCATTACAAATCCTAATAAAGACAAATTCTTTAGTTAATAATCAGTAATTTCTTCAACTTGTATTTATTGAGTACTTTAAATCAAAGCATTATCCTAATAGCTGGAAATAGAGATATAAACAAGATGGGCTAGGTCTCTACCCTCATGGAGATAACATTCTGGTTGGTGATAAGGTAAATAATGGAAAAATAACAGGCTATGGTTAATGCTCTGGAAGATGCAATCAAGTAACTACAGACTATGTTATACAGTCAGCAAAAGGTTCCTCTGTGAAAACGATACTGAAGCTGAACTCTCATGATGAGTGACACAAAACTCTAGGGGAAAGTATTGTAGGCAGAAGGATAGTGCAAAGGCCCTGTGGAGGAAAACAAGTGTATCTGTTACAGAAACCTTTCTTCTGAAGGAAAAAATGTGCAGATGATTGGACAACAAAGAGAATCTGTACTATTTATAAAGAATAGGATTGCTAAAAAACCCAGAGTACTAAAATAATACTTAGTCTAAGAAATTAAATAATTAAAATGGTCACTGCTTATAAGATTTTCTAATTAACTCTCATCCAGTAGTGCTGCAATCTTTCTTTCAATGGCAAAATTCCTAACTGAGCATTTAAGTAGTATGTGTTAGTGAAAATAAAACTTGAAGTATATATAACCGAAGGGTCAGTGAATTCTAATAGGATAAAGATAAAAGTAAAATCCATCTAACATGATTAAGATAAATTAAAATAAGGATTAATGTGAATGGTTGTACTTTTTTAGAAAACTGAAGGGTCATTTCAAGATAACTTGACAGCTACTTGCTTTGGTAAATGTGACTTTCAACTTTTGACTGTTGAAAAAACCCTAAGATCAGGCTGTTCCAAAAACAAACTGTGACATTTGGATGTTCTATAAGTCTGTTTTCTAAGATCTGTTCATTTTTTCCTCATTTACTCAACAAGAAATTTAATAAATATTGGGATAACTATATAATGGTACATAACACAGACACATTCACCATAGGGTCTACAGTCTAGTGAGAAAAGATCAGGAATCAAACTGTAATACACAACACGTAGTATGACAGAATCAAGTGTGATGAAAAAAAGTTCAAGGGCTCTAGAACATGCAGAACTGAGTCCTGATCTCATTTTGGACATGGAGAAGGTTTATCTTTTTAAAAAAATTTTTAAATTTGTTTTAATTAGTTACACATGACAGTAGAATGCATTTATGCACTTTGATATACATAGATGGAATATAATTTCTCATTTTCTGAGTGTATGTTACAGAATCATATTGGTCATGTAGTTACATATATACATACAGTATAAATGTCTGTTTCATTCTACTATTTTTCCTATCCCCACATCCCCTTCCCCTTCCCTCCCTTCCCCTACCATCACTTTCCTCTACCTAATATAAGATAATGCTATTCTCCCCTAGTGTGCCCCCCGCACCCCGCTGCCTAATTATGAATTAGCATCCGCATATTAGAGAACACAGTTTTTGGTTTTGTGGGATTGGAGAAGGTTTATGTTAAGGAGGAGAATCTGAACTGAGAAAGAAGGAGCAAGTACCAAGTGGATGGAGTGAAGTATACTCACAGAAAAGCATAAAGAAGGTGGCACAGGAAGAAGAAAGAGCAATGGAAAATGCCAGGAAAGCAAAAAGACTAGGATACATCCAGGTAGCTAGGGCCCTGGAGGAGAGGGGACCCAGAAGGAAGAAATCATAGATAAGGCATAAGGATAGGGCAAAGCTACAGTAGAAGCACATGGGCTTATAAGAATTCTGAAAAGTGAAGTGACAAAATCTGATGAGGGACTGGAGATGGGGAAGGAAAGGAAAGAGGAAGACATTAAAGCTAATCCCTTGGTTTCTGAGAGCAGGCTGGGGGAGGCATGATGGCCATATTGTTGAGTCTGGTTTTTGGACATAATGAGTTTAAAGGGCCTTAGAGATCTCCATATGAAAGATGTCAAATTAGACTGGAGATATAAATATGGTGATCATTAAAGCCACAAACTGAGTGATCTTCATTAGGAAGAGAACTTAGAGTATGAGGAGGAAGTGGCCTTAGACTTTATATGATGTCTAGAGAAGGAAAAGGATGGGCCTGCAGAGGACACAGAGTGGTGGCCAGGAAAGGGGCAGCGGGACATTGGAAAGCAGCAGCAGTTGAAAATGTAAGGGCATTATAGAGTGAGAATTATTAAGAGTATGCCCACTGCAATGAGGATATCTGAGAAATGCCTTCTACTTCAGTAATACAGAGGTTACTGCTCACTAGCAGACGCTGTCAAACTTGTTTTAAAATATTTCCAAAAGTTTCAAAACCACTGTCTTAGGTATCATGACATCACAGACCTAAAGAAAACACACTGCACCATAAGGAAAGTTTGATTTATTCTGAACTGTGTCAACTGGAAATCAAGTACTCTGAAAGTTGTTAAAGGCAATATTATTGCAAAATGCCAATGAAATAAGGTACAAAGGTGTTTTATAAACCAAAGAATTAAATTATATTGACTATAACTTTTAATTTTAATATATTCATATTTTTTACAAAATGGCAATTCTTATATAGAATATGTGATGGTAACTAATAAGACCATGCCAACTATTTGCAATTAGTAAGAGACTTACTACACCTATTTATGACAAGTAAAACTTCCTAAAATATCAAAGATCAACTGTCAATTACCTCTGGTCAATTTTCCTCTGCTGCAACACATCTTTGATAAGGGCCATTCGCACAAGAGCACTGCCATTTGAGTGGCTCCAACACCAGAGCTACAAGAGAGACAGAATCTGTACTTCACTGGGTAGAAACAATGGATATCAGCATCAATCACATCCAACAGAAAGCACTTACTGGCATCCTTCTTCCAACAAAAGAATGGGAAAAGATTTTCAGATCTTGGTCTGCTAAAGAACTTGGCACTACAAAGTATTCTGGAAGGCTGGAGAGGAAAAAAAAAAAAGAGAGAGAGAGAGATCATACATGAGTCCTGTACTCAAGACAGAACAATGGACTGTGGAGAACTCATCTATAATTAAACAAATTTATCCCTACTAAATGTGTATTCCACTTAATAGCCATGTTGGTGAGGGGCACTGACGATCCTGCACTTCTCAGTCTGTAATTTGTGAAGTAGTCAATTCTCACAAATTTAAAATTTACAGCATGAGAAAAATTCTTTAAAATGAAATATTTTCCAGAAGACTAATCAAACACACGCTAGACTACTAATCAAACATGCACTCTCTTGAAAGGCTATGGGTAAGAAAATGCCAGGTGAACAAAACAAACCCCATAAATCTACCAAGAAATTTTAGCTACTGTTCTCTTATTTTCATCATCTATCCTATTCATCCCTTTAAAGCACTGTCAGATTCTAGGATACAGACCAAACAACAATTACTAGTGGGTGTGCTCACTGCAACCTCAAAAACAACAACAACAACAAAAACCCTCCTTTTTTTCTTCATTCTGCCTGGAAGATGGACAGAGGCAGGTTATTTAGGCCCTATAATATGCTTCTTACATGTATACCAGGACAGAATGGCCACACAGGTCAAATTCAAGAGGAAGTGGAAGACAACAGCTACATGCCCCAACATACATTCCCCAGATCTGTACACTTAAAAGTTCCCAAAGTTCCCAGTACTGGATCAACCAGTAATAACAGGGTAGCACATGTTAAGGTAATTATGTGCATGAACCACTGAGGATATCAATGATCTTAAAACATTCCAAAACTTTCACCAGTACTAAATGATATTAGACAAATTAAAAAAAAATTCCTGGTCACTTATGAAGGATTCTAGTGAACTAGCTCACTATTCTAAAAAGCTATAAGTAAAGGAGAAAAAGTAAAGATGTACACTGCTTTTCTTGTATGAACTGTATTTAGGGTATTATAGAGCTGTTGGGGAAAAAAAAGTTTGATAGAAAACCAAAAGATGACAGAATTAGAATATGACTAATATTAATCCTTAATAAAATGATGGATTAGGTAATCATCCTCACTCTTAGTGAAAACTATTTTTGCAGCTAAAACCCTGTTATAAAAAAGGTAAATCTGCACTGGATGAAGCAGGCTGACAGCTCTACAGCCTACTGGTCAGTGAGCACTATAAATGTATGGGGGTGGAGAGTACACAGGCAGACACAGAAAAAGAAAGACAAAGTGAGACAACCTGAGAGAGACAGAAACACACAGACACATCAAATGACTAGCTGGAGACTGGACTTAATATACCAGGAGGCACAGAGCACCACCTAATGAAACATTCTTGCCAAAAATACTAAACCTGGATCCAATTGCACCTCTAGAGCTAATGTTTTAGAGGAAATACAAGAGGTAGAGGATATCATAAGGAAAAAACAAGCAATATCTAGAATGGAAAATTCCACAGAACAAATGACCTGGCTTTGTTTGGAAATAAGTGCTAAGTATAAAGGAGGTAGGAGAAGACCATTTACATTAAAAAGGCTAAGAAATAGATGAAGCAAATTCAGCATACACTTCTTTGGACTTTGATGTGAACAAACCAACTTTAAAAGATAATTACAAAATAAAATACAAACAAGCACTGATCAAATTATTCTTGACAATAAGGAGTAAATGTCAACTTCTTTCAAAGGATATTGGTACTATGAAATGTAAAAAAGCCTTTGTCTTTAAAATAATATATCTGTTAAAACATTAATTAAAAATATTCTTTTAACCATAACCTGAAAATTATCAAAGGCAGAATTTTATTATTCCTCTCAGAAAAGTCACTTCGAGTTATATATAATATTGTTAAAATTGGACTTACCAAGTAGATATCATGTAACCCTCATTAATAGAACAAACTCTCCACCCAGAAGCACCAGTCCTCTTGATCTCTCTGTCCCAATCTGAGTAAGTTTCAAATAGTGGAGTTCTCTGGCCACTAGCTCCATTCCCTCCTCCTCCTCCACATCCTGAGGGTATTCCATTAATTTTGTTAGCTGCAGGAAAAGCAATATTATTAATTTTTAAAAAATAATTTATTTTTTAGTTGTAATTGGACAGGAAACCTTTATTTTATTTATTTATTTTTATGTGGTGCTGAGGACTAAACCCATGCTAGTTGAGTGTTCTACTGCTGAGCCACAACCCCCAACCCCAATATTATTAATTTTAACAGTTACATTTTGGCCACATTTGCTCTGCTCTTTCTGTGCCTCCTGCCACATCCATGCTCTGATGTGGTACCTCATCCCTGCTTTATCTTTCAATATTCCAAGAACAGTCTAACCTTTTCCATTTAAAATTAACTAGTCTCATCCTTATCCAACTCTTTCCTCACTCCTTAAATGTCTTTGATTTTATTTCTACTGGCTCTATCTCCTCTGTCTTCAAACACAAACAGGTCAGCTTGTTTCTGAAACTAGTTTAATTTCCTTCCTTTTACTGACCACCTTCTGACATGGTGAAGAATGCCTGCTTGACCATATTTCCTCTCCATATATTTTATCTTTATATTTCAATTGTCTTCCATCATTATCATTCTAGGAAAACTATTCCTGACGACCCGCTGCCTGCCCATTTTTTCCTTAACCCAAATCATGGGGTAAGCCCAAGATATTTGCTTGTTTTCTCCACATATTTTGCCTGAAAAAATGAACCATTATTTCTGTTCTCAAGCCCTCCTAATCTTTCCTTTTTCTAATACCAACTTCTCATCTATCTACCATTAGAAAATTCTTAGTATCCTGCATTTACTCCATTTGCCTTTGAAAAGCTCACAAAGTTGTTTATACTGCACTAGAGTGCTGGTCCCATATGGAGATTTCAGCTGGTGTGTATGTGAGGGGCGGGCAGGCTTGAATTAGCAAGATGCCTTCCCTAAGAAAAGAACACAGTCACAGCTGGGAGCACCTGCAAAGTGGCTAGATAAAAAGAAGCTGCCTCAATATTAAGGCAGATCTGCTCTGGGGTGACATATGCTACAATTCTTCATGGCCCAGTGTCTTGATGCCACAGGCTGCCAACTGTGTCAAGTTGCCAGGCTGACACCCCTGACTGGATATTCTCTACTTGAATCCACCAGTGGCTTAACACAAGACATAATGCCCTGAAAAGATGCTTAGCCTCTTGCCCAGAACTTTCAATCATGCTCATTTTCTGATGGAATCAAGCAAACCTAAATGGCTTCTCTTGAATTCAAAGAGCCTTATATAATGGTTTATTTACCATTATTCCCAAGTCCCATACTTCCCTGTAGACACACAAAAAACTCTCCCACGAACATGCCTTGCCCATTCCTACTGATTATTTATTAACTCCTGGTATAAGTCAGGTATTTTCTGAGAACCTATAATGTACTAAAGCCTGAGAGCAGAAAGATAAATATAAAGATAAAGATAAGTGCTTTCTACTTTGAAAGTACTAAAAAGACAGTAGGGAGTTAAGTGTAATAATCACAGTACACTGGATGTCTAAGTACAGTGAGGATACAGAAGAGGAAGCCCCAACACTTCTGAGGAAAGCTGGGCCAAGAAAGGCTTCATGACTTGACCACACTTAAATGGAGTCCTCAGGAATGAACCATAAGTCGCCAGGTGGCTGGTAAGGAGGCATGCTGGGCAGAGAACATTTAAGAACATTTAAACAGCACAGTACAATTGTAAAACATCAAGTAATTAAATTCAGCTAGAACGTAAGGGATGCAAGAGGTGGTGGAAGGCAGGATAGAAGATTAGATAAGGCCTAGACTCCAGATCTGTGTTGCCTCAAAGTGTAACCACTAGCGAGCCACATGTGTCCATTTAAATTGAAATTGAAATGAAAATGAAATAATAATTTTAAAAAGCCAGTCCTTCAGTTGGACTAACCACATTTCAAGTGCTTAAAAACATATTTGGCTAGACAGTGCAGGAGGGAACACTTGTTTTGTTTTGTTAACAGGGATTGAACCCACGGGCGCTTAAAAACTGAGACACACTCCCAGCCTTTTTTTATTGAGGCAGGGTTTCTCTAAGTTGTTTAGAGCCTTGCTAACTTGCTGAGGCTGGCTTTGAACTTACTATCCTCCTGCTTCAGCCTCTCAAGTAGCTAGGACTACAGTGTATGCTACTCCACTTGGCTGACCATGCAAGGTTTTATTTGTCAGATTAGGAATTCTGCACTTTATCGTTCTTATGGCACTGGAATTAACTCAGTTGATTCTGATTTTGTCAGTGTGTTAAGAATCAATGTGTTAATAAGCCTATCATCACATTCACACTATCTCAGCATTTTCTCTAGGTAATACAACAACTAGAAATGTGCTGGGTGACTTGGGAGTTGTCAGCTCTCCAGAACACAAAGTCTGCATGGACTTTTCAGGTAATTCTGAAGCTATACAGTGTTCCAGAGCACGAAAACACAGAAAGCTATTCAACATTAGAAAACCTAAGCAATTTATCATATGACTAAAGGGGGAAAATCGATTCATTCAGTAACCATTTGACAGAGTTTGACACATTTGTGATTTAAAAAAAATAGCCTTCATCAAATGAAATGAAAATTTTAAATGAAAATTTAAAATTTTAAATGAAAATTTTCTAGACTTGATAAAGGGTATTTATCAAAAATACCTTGAAAATAGCATTATCATTAAAACCAAAGACAAAAACAATGCCTGCTAGCATTACTGCTATTCAACATTGTACCACAGGTCCTAGACACACAATGGGATAACTATACCATCAAAAAGGAAGCATAACAAACACACTAAAGATTTTGGAACAGGTATGTGAATTTGTGAACAGTTTGGTAGTATGCCACTAGCTAAGGGTCTAAAACTGAATAATTTTTAGTGTTTTGAGTTACAAACTTTAATAATTAAGGTGAAAATGTGCTATTATTTCTCTGGCCAAATTTAGCCACCAGATTTATCCAAGAACAGACTGATTTTGCTGAACATAAAGTGAAAGCATATATAGGATCTTGTGTTGTTTGTTATTTTAAATGTTTCTCATGTTCAAATCCTGTACATTTCTCAACAGTTGGGACTAGACCTTTATTCATTCTATATTTTCTTCAATGAGAATTCACTATTGATTGGGTAGCAGATTCTCAATGTGGTTTTATAGTCTGGAAATTCTAATGCTGCCCAGAAAGCTCCCAAAGCCTAATGCCAGTGACCTACTCCATGTGGGGCACCCTGAGGGGCTGGAGCATCAAACTGGCAAAGTGGGTCATCTCAGGAGACCTGGCTTCTCTGACAATTACCTGACTGAAATTTTATGACATAGCTCCTCAGCAGAATAAACGCGAAACTAGTTACTAAATGCTTCTGGCCTTGGCCACCTTCTGTGATATACTTCAGAAGTCTAATCCTAGACTGTGAGATTATTTTAAGGAATTTTTACTTAATTGATCCTACTGACACCTAAAACAGCCTAAAGCAAATATCAAGGAAAGATATTAAAAATGGTCAACATATGAAAAGAAAGCCTATAATTCTGATCATAAGGCAGAAATTAGAAGTAAAAAACAATAGTGAAGAAGATATAAAGAGAATTGTGATCATTAATAACTTCAAAATAGGTGAGTCAACAAAATGGTTCTTAACTGCAGATTCTATGGGCCTGTGCCACAGTCAACATAGCTGTATTTCTAAAGACTCTTCCAGTGATTTTGATGCACATGGCTAGTTAAGAACTACCAATATTCAAGTGATTAGAGCATTAGTCACAATCATTTAGAGCTATACTGAGACCCTTTAGAGAACTGACAAGTGACAACTGTGAAAAAATTCCTACACTGTTTGACATGGATTGTGTACCTGGATTTCAAATAAGCACTTAAAAAAACCTAATATCAAGATTTGTGTTACTTTTTAGTAATATAAAGTTAACAATGTTCACTGAAAAGTCATTTAGTCTGATGTGAAGCTACATTCTACTTTCAGATTACATCACACAGCATTTATAAGCATGTCTGTTATGACCTAGAGTTGCTGATGCTGAGCCTACAGACAACTTCATGAGGTTTTCAATTTTTTAGTCCAGAAGCATAATCTGACATCTTATCAATTTAATAACAAAGATGAATCTGTATTTTTGACATTATTTGCCCAATAATAATCTGACTGAGGAACACAGAATCCTCATAGTTTCTTTGACGTTAAAAGAGAAAAACAGAATTATTATTGCTTGTGAGAAATGTCTGGAAGCCTGTAGGAGCAACACATCTTCCTGTACAGAACTGGTTTTTACTAATGAGATACTGGGTCTGAAAGAATACCTCAGAATGCTTAAGGCCAGCTAAGGGATTCTTTTCCTACATAACTGCAAGGGACATCTTCCAACTTTGAATCTTAATTGTGCAAACAGCTTTATCACCTACCTGCCTGCAAAAAGGACTTCTTTAATCCAGCCAATGAATCAAGGTGCCATCCAGAAGTTCAAGAGTGGATTATTGGGCATCTTTCACTCTCAAATTAAGAATTCTGACTGTAGTGTGTGGAAATTTCAGGCTTCTTTTGATCTTAAAGATGCAGTTTATGCTTCTGTAATAGCATGGAAGGATATTAACAGATGGTACCCTATGAAGATACTGAATAAAACTTTGGCCAGTGTTATGTTTATGAAGTACTTGCTGAAGAAGAAGGAATCCGAAGGATGTAATAACAAAAAGTGTTCCTGAATATCTTAAGTATTAATCATCAAATTTTATCAAGTTATATAAAGAAGTGAGAAGAACTGATTGGCAGAAAATCTAGGAATAAAAGAGTTATGAATCGATAAACTATTTAAAGTATAATAAACCAGAGATGCCCACAAGGAATGAACAAAGGAAAATGTGAAAAGTAGTAAAGCAGGCATCAGGTTTCCAACTGTATAATGAAGCTGACTGTATTTACTGAGCCCAAGTAATTATATTCTTGCAGAAATCATGTATCTTTACATGAAACTAAATCACTGCTGTCAGAGAAAATAGCATGAAGAACTGGGCTATATTAAAAACAAACTGAACTAGGAAATTGAAGACTATCTCCTACAACCCTGTATCTCTTGAAACTTTCATTTCAGCTACTCTCTTGCAACTCTATATGAGGATCTAATTGAAGATAACCTTGATGATCACTGTTCTGTAGCCTGATGATGATCCAAAGAAACAGTTACATGACTAATGGTACAGGCTCTATACTGCTTTATTTTTAGGCAATAAGTGAATTTACTTTTTATTAATACAAACTTAAAAAAAAACTGTGTTGCTCAAGCCTAAGCTATAATTAATATACATTTTAATAAGAAAAGTTAAATATTTTTGTTATTCAATTTCTATACAGTCCAGGATAAAAGCTGTTCTATGCACATTATTTTCATATATCATCTTTAGTGTTGATTAGTATCTTTTAAAGTAATGAAAGTGTAGTTATACCATCTGCATTTGTGGACACTGTGTACTTATACTACATTTTAATGCATTTACAATATAGTGATACTGGAATACTTTAATTATACAGGTTATTTCAATTATATATTTTAATGTAATACATATATAATTCCAGTACAATTAATAATCTGTTAGCCCCAGGCTATGCTGGCATGAATGGATCCTTCACTATAAATACACAATTGGTTTATTTTTCTTCCTTAGACAGTGAGAGAACACATGATTCAGTCAGCAAGTCGATGTGCAAGTTGCTAATAAACAAGGGGGCTAATAGGAAACATGGACTCTTTTCTCTATCCTTTTATGAATTTTAAAACATGGTTGATTAAAAATTACATGACATATAAACAGGATGTACAGAATGACATGATCATCTAGAATTTTCCTTGGTGATATCATGGCTGACACAAAAATATGGACAAAACTATTTTACTGTCACAAAACTGCCTAGAAGCTACCTGTATTTTTAGCAAAATGCTCATTTTCCTCTCTGTAATTTTATTCATAAATATAAAATCAGTATTTTGACAATCTTAATGAACTCCACTTCAAAATTTCAAAAGTTTTGAAGCATTTCAAGTTTTGCATAAAATCACATATTGCCGGAAGAGTTTATATGCTTTCAACTCTTTTTAAAGTTAAGATTACTTTGACTCAAACTACCAATTAAAAAGGGTAGAGGATATATTCTTCACTGCAAAATATAAGCCAGTGACTGGAGGTAAAATATATGACTTTTATGAGCCCATATTTTCAGCTGTTTACAAGTTTTTCCAGGTTTTTTTCAAGGAAAAAAATATGGCAAATGTTGGCTTTTGCAGTATATAGTGCTTATTTTTCTAACAATTATGAAGCTAATAATTCTAAAGTTGTTAAAGCCCATGTTCATGGAGGCTTCTGATAAACATAAGAATAAAATTTACACATGTAAAGTTAGTCACAAATTTAATATTTTCATATTTACCTGAATTGTGGTATTTTTTCCCAACATATTCAAATGCAAAGAGTAGCTGGAGGTCTGTTGGCTGGGAATAATGAGCTATTGCAAGGCATACCTAGGAAAAATTCTACATTTAGAATTTGATTTTAACACACTTAGTTAAATGAAATGTACAATAAGGCCTTGGTCACTGGGAGCATCATCCTGGGGCAATGACTACAGTACTATTTACATGCTTTCTGTTGACCTAAAATGTGAAGGGGCTCCTGAAGGCCAGATATCTCATTCATTGTTGTGCTCCCTAGACATTGTTTAATCTTTAGTTGGACCATGATAAGTATTCAGTATGTATATGCTAAGTTGAAATTTAACTGTAAAATAATTTTATTCTAATAAATGAAACCTGAATGCAAAAGAAGCATTTTCCAAAAAGTAATGACAACATATTCACTTCAAAAAAAAAAAAAAGTTTCAATCTTGATGGACCTTTAGGCTTAATATAAGGCATGAAATTTTAATGTTTACACCTCATGTATCGAAACAAGATTAAATTTAATAAAGAAGCCACAATCAAAAAATAGTTAAAACCAACAAGAAACTAAAAAAAAAAAAAAAAACAAAACAAAAAAAAAAAACAGGTGGCACAGAGAAATATATATATTTTTTTAAAAAAACAAGTTTACATAAAATGGTTTGAGACTGTGCTCTGTGTTGGAGAAAATGTCAGTTTTCTAGTTAAACAGATCAGGGACTAAACTTAAGTTCTAGTTCTAATCAAGTCCTTGCTGCACAATCCATGTGCAGTCAATTCCTGTCTCCCAGCTTGTTTGCTCATCTGTGAAATGAAGATAATATGTAGGCTGTTGCAAGTATTAACAATCTTAATGCATGCTTGGCCTTCAGAGGAACTCTGAATGTGGAAATATGGCTGTTATTCTCAACTGCAACTGATTAGAATGAAGAACGACTGTCTGTATGTATAAAACCTACTAGATTGTGGGCAAAATGTCTTCAAATGACCAAAGAGGGAAGAAGAAATTAAGACACATGCAAAGCAAGAAATGCAGAAGACCTTATTTAAAAAGATTAAGTAAGAAGGTAAAGCACTAATCAAGAAAGATATATTTTCAACAGTGAGCAAGAAAGAAAATTTGAGTTGTTAGTTCATGTCAAATCAGTGGTGTCTGGAGTAAAGGAAGGCAAATTCCATTAACCTTTAAGTATGTTTCAGCCTGTTGTTTAAACTACGTTTTTAAATCTTATAAAGAACGAGCATATCCTATCTTACTAAATTGAAATATACAACCAAAGTGTCAGAATTTATCATGAGTTCTGACCAAAAAGAAAAAAGGCAACTTCCTTAAACTGACTTATTTCACATTTCAATGCTTATTTAGAGAGCCTTCTGTGAGAATCCCACTTAACAAAATTTAGGAGATGGGTATATACATTCTCATTCTTAATCTGTTCAATAGTCTTCCTTTAAGTACTTCTAAGAGCAAAACTACTAAAATCTGTACCTTGATAAGGTCCTCATTACTTCCTATTCCTCTGGCCAGATACATAGTTTATAAGCTTTGTTGCATTTTTCACTAGAAATTTTCATGTTTGTCCCTTTTGCTACACTGCCATAGCCACATCGTTAAACCATACTTACTTTATGGCACCTCGGTGGGCTTTCCTACATTCTAGAAATCCCCAAGACTTAAGAATTCTCTTCTATAGATATAATTTTGGCTAATAATTGTTATCTGCTGATTCCCAGGTACTTGCATAATAAATTAAATCTCCTAATTCTTGTTCCATCACAAAACTGGCTCTCCTCACCAAATAGCTCTTAACTTCCCCAAATTCCCTCAGTAGTCGGTGGTCAGAGAAAATGTTTTGTACACATTCTGTCTGACTTGATTCCAGGCATCTCCTGTCATGCTCATTGCTTGGAAAATCCTTCTCCCCCTCTCAACCAACCATGCTTTCTTGGAAATTGTCATGTCTGTTCAACACTACTTTCTTCCCAAACCTTGCTAGACTGAGCCAATGTCAGAGTATTAATTCCAGAAACCCCTGCTGTCTCCAAGCAATGACAGTTCCAATATAAAGTACCTCTTTAGTGCTTATATAGCTGTTCATTCAAGGTATACACATAATTTTCATGAGTATGGATAAAAAGTAGCATGTAGCTGGTCCTTGATCATATTTTTATCATTAAGTTCAATTCCTTCAGGGTAGATGCTACATTTCACATTCATTCAACAAATATTTATTGAGCATCTACCATATTCAAAGCCCTAGGGATGCAGTGAACAAAACAGATACAATCTACATCATCATTAAACTAACAGAAGACAAGACACTAAACAAGATCAACAAGAACACAAAAATGGAAAGTTAGATAATTATAAATGCTAAAGAAGCAGGGAAGAGAACTATGAAGTTTTATAGTGAAGAGAAGAGGGAAGCATGTTAAAAATTTAGAGAAGACCAAGAAGACCTCTCTACACAAACTCAGTAAAGATCTGAAGACTTCCACATTTTGTAGCATCACTTCAGTAGCTTTCTGAAGGTGAACTGCATCAAATAGTGGCAAAAATACTAGTCGGCAAAATTAGTCACTAACATTAATGCATATGCTCCTGACTACTAATACTAGCATATTTCCATCTCTCAGACAATTAAAAAGCAGTCACATGCCCTGTTTATGCAAAAGAGATTCACTGATCATTGATAATGCAACATGTCTTTTTGTGGCTATGAGGCAAAAAAGAAAAAAAGCCTATCTGCAAAGCAAACTCCAAACAGTCTATTTCTCTCCTTAAAAATAATAGTATAACATTAAATTAGGAAAAACAATGAGTATGTCCAATAGTATATACATTTAAAGAAGACTATAAAAATTATTGTGAAACTGAAACTCAAGTTTAATGACTTCCACAGTGGTTCATTTTCTTGTATTATGGGCTGGGGGTAATTAAATCTGTTGTTCATTAGTGTAATTACAAGTGAGCATAACTTATTTTCACATAACCTAAGTAAAAGGATCCTAGGTACATACAAAGGCACATACAAACTTGTGTGTCTAGATGACATTCACACTGTTACTGTGGAACACTCTGAGAAGAGAAAGAAAGCCAGATATTCTTTCTTTTGTACTTTTACATAATACTATTTTAAAAGTCTATGTCTAAATTCCTAGCTTCCATTTCTTCAGTTCCTGAAAGACTTTTTTAAAGTAGGTCTCATTTCCACACAAAATTATTCTTATTTTGCAAATATTCCCTAGGCAATTAAAAATTTTAGAGAAACTCCAGCACTACAGCTGATAATTTCTCTAAGACCAGCTGGGAGCACAGCACTGAGAAGCTCAAATCCAGGAGACATTTAAATTTCTAGTTCCACCACATTTATTACCAAAACTGGTTTCCTGTATTTCTGTGGTCTGAAAGCCAACAATAAGTATCTGATTCCTTGGCAAAAATGATAGTCCAGGAAAAGGCCAACCTGTTATTTAATTAGATTAACTGAATCCGCTTCTAGAAAGCATGCCTGAACAAGTGGCTCACAATTAACTAAATTAAGAATAAATTAGAGACAAAAGGCATATCTTTAGCTTAACATCCATCCATCTATATTTTTAAAATGATAAATTGTTTAAAATAATCCTTTTTCCTCCTTGTTTTTAGTAAAGAATCCTTCAAAAGGAAATGGGTAACTCAAAGTTGCTACGAGATTAGATGTCCAATTTCCTATCATCACATTCCTTCTTCCTTCATATAAACCTTTCCCAAATATCATTATTTTCCCATAATAGCCCAAGGACAATGAGGATGAATGATAATGGATGCAGCTGCACAAAGTGATCTAATTTAGTCATAACACATTGCAAGAAAACCAACTAGACAGGTTTTAGAGCAACATTTAATAAAATATGAATCAATTTAGTATTCTGAGACTTCATATTCCAAACAAGAATTTAAATGCTTTTGATATTTCAAAACAAATTGATAGCTCACCCAGAGAACTCCAAGCATACATTTGATAATTTTTAAACAAATTATAAAACAATTTCCAGAGAAAATTTAGCATTCAAAAGCTTCCAAAGGTAAAAATGAGCCATAACTTCTGAATTACTAATTTTAGATAAAAAAAATTTTAATTGAAATAAGAGTATGCCAGAATTTTTTTTTTTAACTCACAAAGTCATTAAGCTTTGGTAACCACACATGATTTGAACTCTTGTGTTTGAAAACGTAAGAATCAGAGAAAAAATTCCCTACATACATTTTTACTTTCCCTCATGACTGTATAAAATACAAAGAGTACTTCCTTCAGGCCTGAGGTAATATGCTTTTTATATTTTAAGACAACAGGTTGGGGCTGGGGATGTGGCTCAAGCGGTAGCGCGCTCGCCTGGCATGCGTGCAGCCCGGGTTGGATCCTCAGCACCACATACAAACGAAGATGTTGTGTCCCCCAAAAACTAAAAAATAAATATTAAAAAATTCTCTCTTTCTCTCCCCCCGCCCTCACACTCTCTTAAAAAAAAAAAAAAGACAACAGGAAAAGGATTTTTGTCAGAAACTTGTTCTTGGGAAAGGGAACTAGCTTGTCCTATGTGGGTGTGTCAATGAAGACTTCATCATTCACCAGCTGTACAACAATCAAGGGAGATCCTGAATTTACAGAGAGAGCACTTAACTATGTTTTGTTCACTTGGCAACTAATCATTTGTGGGAGGACATCTTTTGTGCTACCACTCTGCACTGTTATTTAATATTCATTTGTTTCTGCTTTACTTTCTCAATTAGACTGAAACCCTTCAGGGAAAGAAACTGCATCTTACACCTTTCTTTCTAACTTGCAAAGTTTAGGACACTGCTTCAAGTGTCAAAAAGACCTAAGTCTCAAGACCTAAGTCAAATAATTATGATTTCCATTTACTAAAATACTGTCCTCTAAAATATACGATAGGAGTGGGAGAGTTTTAACTGGTAAGAGTATTGGCCCAAATACATCAATTTTTCATTTTAAAAATTTTATCCTAACTTGATCTCACAAGTTCTGTGTGGTCCCTATTCTTAAGATTCTATATATTTTTTTTTCTTTGTGGGTATGGGGGGTGTTGGTACTAGGATTTGAACTCAGGGGTGTTTAACCATGGAGTCACATCCCTAGCCCTTTTGATTTTGAGACAAGATCTCACTAAGTTACCTAGGGCCTCACTAAATTGCTGAGGCTGGCTTTGATCTTGTGATCCTCCTGCCTCAGCCTCTTGAGTCACTGGGATTACAGCTGTGGGCCACTATGCCTGGCGAGATAGTATATATCTTAAAGTTAATATTTTCATAAAAGGGTTCCTGCTGCTTTAGTCAATGAAATATAAATATAATTTAAGTCTGAGAAAGTAACTTGGCTAAACATTTTATGTATAGTGTACTACCTAATCAATTCTAAAGCTTTTCTATATAAGAATAGGCATCTCAAATTGGAAATGCCACAATCACAATCACATATAACAGAATCAAATGGCTGAATGTGACCTTAAAAGTTATCAAGTAACATTTTCAAAAATACAGCATTCTGAGAAACAGCTATAGAGATTTGGTTTGAAAACTTTTAGCCACAGGCTTGCTATCACTCTGCTGGACAGCCCCAGTGATCATGCATTTTCACATATTCACCTCATGTTTGCCTTCCTGTGAAGAAACTGTTGGTTCTAATTCTAAAAGCAGATCAACTACCTCATAACCATTGTATATGAAGATACCTGCCTCAAGATCTTTTTGACAGCCTCATTTGATATCAACAGAAACTTAAGCAGTGAGTCTACTGACCATGAAAAACTAATGTGCTCTTGCTGGCCCAAAGACTGCTTCTACTCTAAGAGAAGGCAGAGTCCTAGTCCATTAAGACACTGTTGTTCTAGTCTGGTTCATGGGAGCACACTTTCCTCTGGAAATTCTGTTACTATTTTCTACATTTGCTACATCAGACTGGAACAGAGAGGCATTAGTTCTGTCATCCTCATTCCTTTGGAAAACAAAAACATGGAATCAAGAAGTGAAGACTTTTGCTCTTGAATTTTACTCTACAAGTAGGTAATAAACATTCCTTGGAAGGCAGGGAAGAAAAAAGCCAATTAAAAAGTTCATAATTTTGAGTTTTCCTTGTCAAGTATCACTCAAATTAATCCATTAATATTTTCTTTAAACCACTAATAATTATTAGCCCTCTTCTATAATTAAACATTACTATTCCTTATGTAACCTAAATCTAACTTTCAGTTTGTTGGTAAGGTTCTGTGGTGCTATATTAAAAGTCTTACCAAACCTCAATTACAGTATATTCTCCAACTTTTCAACCTTATTAACAAAAGAAGAAGAAGAAGAAGAAGAAGAAGAAGAAGAAGAAGAAAAGAAAGAAACAAACAAACAAACAAACTAGCTAGCAATGGTTATAATGGAAAAGACATGCTAATTTCCATGACAATCTTTAATAGGAACTGATAAAAAAGTATATAGAGTACTTTAGAGTAGACATAAACTAATACACGGAAGTAGTTCTATTAATATTCTTGGCTTTGACTTTACTTAAGGAGGTATTCAATAACTTCCCCTAAAAACAATCTGAACAATTGAAAATGAAAACTTCTACACAGAACTGAAATTGGTAAATGTAGCACAGAATCCAAAATTCATAAAACTTAACAGTATTACCTTTTTGGCACTTTCAGGACCTGATTCATCAAAGCGAAATCTGACAATTCTGAAATCTTTACAATAAATAATTAACTCCGTTGGATTAAATTTCAATTTCTGGTTGGGGCCTAGGACTTTCTGCTTCCTCTTATGGTCATTTACTAAAAAAGAGGAAAAAAGAAAATGTAATGTTATTACTTACACTTTCATACACTTCAGTAAAATCCTTAGGGAAAATCATTTCAAGGTCCCCCATCACCTGAGAACTAGTTCTCCAAAATCTTCATATTTGTCTATAATCTCTAGAATTTTTGTGGGGGGAGGGGACAGTTTTAACTCTGCTTTTTGAAGATAAAAGATTCTTTGCACAAAACCACCACCATCTAGATACATTTAGTGGTTAAAATTTTTATTAAAAAGAGGATAAAATTTAGAAACTATAAAAAGCTATATCTCCATTTTAAAATAGTTCTATATCCCCATATTAAAATAATTTCTTGACTTCTTTCTCTTTTTTCTACTTCCAGGAACTCAAAGAGAGAGAGAAAGAGAAAAAAAAAAAAGAAGGTAAAACTAAACCTAAACCTACAGAAATAAAATTTCAACTCAAGTATTTCAAGGAATACACCAGAATGGAATCAACTTTTAGAGACCAATTACATTTTTTTTTTTTTAAATGTAGGGTCTTGCTATACTCTTAGGCTGTCCCCTGCAACTCCTAGACATCCTGTAAGCTCTGCACCATCACACTCAGCTTCAATTTTGAGAGGGAATACATGCAGAATACTACATACCTGTGACAATTTGTTCAATACATGTTAAAGGAACATCATGTTCTCCAAGAAGAAGGTTTCTGTAATAGAATTTCTGAAATAAAAAATCATCTTTACATTAATTCTTTCCTTAATCTCACAGCAGTAATATAAGCATTACTTTTAAATGTGATGGGAAAGTGTGACTACTACCTCTAAAACACACAAAAAACTTCTGCAAACATAGCCAGGACCATTCTAAGTATACAGTATTTTAGGACACACTTTGGTAGCACAGAGAAAGAAATGTATGTTGTATTCATGTTCTCTCCATCTTTCTCCCACACTTTAACAATGGAAATGAAGTTGAAAAGTACACCATAATACCACGTTAATATCCAAGAAATGTAATATGATCAATTACTTCACAGGCAAACATCTGCATGTCTGGTGCTAGATAAACTATTCACAAAGTAAGGAAGATGAAGGACTGCTATGTCACTAGATTTTAATGGGTAAAATACTTGATTTTCACAGTGAATATTTTAGAGGAAAAGTAACAATTTTTTAGAATAGAAAGTCTACTAGAAATAAAAATCTTTAAAAAAAAGCTTTTGGCAAACTAGAGCTCACTGTTTTTACCTGCTAACAATTTGTTTCCATTTCAAACTAAAGACATAGCTGACACAATTAACCTATTGTTGGTATAGCATTGGTTTATTTTTTCTATTGTTGTTACTAGATTTGAGCTATTCAAGGTATATGCTTCTCACTGACAGTGAAGTCTAGGGCCAGAGATCATTTAATGAAGCTAAAAACAAAGGGGAAAACCCAAGTGCACATCAAAATAAGCTATTATCCATATCTACTAGATATTTCTAAAGACCTCAAACATAGTCTAAATACAGACATATATTAACAAACACACAAATATAAAGGAAAATTTATGATAAATTAATGAATGGCTATATGAAATTTACTCACAGACCATTCAAAACAAGTTCATAGTTAATAAGAAAGGGTTTCATTATAGAACAATCATTGCTATAAGATCTTAGAGGCAAAAATGTGTAACACTTTGCAAAGCAAAATACAACTGAGTTAAGAGAAAAGTCTAGGACTTTTAATTTAATCAAATAAATGCTTGACTTTAAAAAAATTAAAATTATGTAGAATTATTACTTTGCAGTAAGAATATAAAATGGCAAAAGGGTTATTAAAGAATCATTTTATCAACTTTTTTTTGCACTCTTACTGTATACTAGAAACTAGAATTTGACATTTTGGGGAAAGGATTATTTGTTTAAAAAATATGAAATCAGTAAAATGCTCAGCATTTACAAGATTATTTACTAAATAAATGAGTTTTTCTCTTCATAACTAGTTTAAAAGAATATCTTTACTGTCATAAATAATTTAAAAGATTTAGAAGGGAGGAAATAACTCCCTTATTGAAAAGTATATATAACCAATGATCACAGAGAATAAACAAAACAAGGTAACTTAAAATCATCTAATTCTATTCCTCAAGCAAATCCCAAAAGTCTGCTTACCTTTTTCTGAATTTTAATAGAATATATTCCCAACATTATGATAATCATTTATCAATAAATTTATTATATTTTTTATACCTGTGATTTATATAACAAATATGTTCTGCTTAGAGGTGAATCCTTAACACAGTGAAATAGTATACAAATAAAACACACCTGTAATGGCATTGGGTCATCCGTAATAAAGGAGATTTTGAAGTTACTGCACACCAGCTTTCCCCACAAATCATACTGACTTGTGTCTGTTGCAATGCATTTTCTCACAAAATTTACTTCATTTACAACAATTTCTCCTTAAAAATAACAAAAAAAAATAATTGGACTGAGTTCTGATTAAAACCATAAAATGTCAACAATCATTGGATCACCTAGAAGGAAAATTTCTTGATTTAATGATGACAGGAAGAAGAACATTCACAAATTGCTTACTAGGTGCTAAACACTGTGCTTTTGTATCTTCACAACAGAAACAGTAACAAGGCATCACTCTCCATTTGTAAGGTACAGAAACTGAGGCAAAAAGAGTTTTGGGGTCTGAACTGATTGAACTAGAAAGGCTATCCTACATCTGCACTCCTTACTTCTGCTATATTACCTCTCATTATTTCAAAGGAGAAGAAATAAGCTAAACCCTCTCCTTTGGAGTATTACTTGATAAAATATTTGTGTTTTATTAACATATGACTTGATTTCTTAAGTCATATTTTTTATCCTTTTTAGGTTTTTTTTTTCTTTTCTAGTATTGGGGATTAGAACCCAAGGGTGCTTTACCACTGAACTACATCTCTAACTCTTTTTTTTTTTTTTTTTTAAAGAGAGAGTGAGAGAGGAGAGAGAGAGAGAGAGAGAGAGAGAGAGAGAGAGAGAGAGAGAGAGAGAATTTTTAATATTTATTTTTTAGTTCGGACACAACATCTTTGTTGGTATGTGGTGCTGAGGATCGAACCCGGGCCGCGTGCATGCCAGGCGAGCGCGCTACCGCTTGAGCCACATCCCCAGCCCCCATCTCTAACTCTTTATATTTTTAATTTTGAGACAAGTTCTCACTAAGTTGCCCAGGATGGCTCCAAACTTGTGATCCTCCTGCCTCAGCTTCCCAAAATGCAGGAAATAGAGTCATGTGCCACTGGGCCTGGCTTTTGATCCCTTTTATAAAGAATGAGGAATAGCATTCAGCTTTATTTGTTTAAAAATCTATAAAGTCAAATTTATAATTTATTTTCCTTAATCAAATTATAACTTAGTAGGTGATAAAATTTTCAAATACAGCTTAAATTAAAAGGAAAGATTAAAGAGATAAATAGAAGAAACCAAAAGTTAAAAGTTGCTCTTAAAAAGAATAATTTTCTATAATTTATTTAAAGCTTAATTATCATTAAATCTTAATTTTAAGATATAAAATTTAATTAGATCAAACAACATTTCTAAGCCATCAGTCTTCATGGTCAACAATAGAAAAGTTAGGGTGCTGATCTACTTTGCCTATTTCTATCATTATAAAAACCCTTAATAGTGATAGACAAGGACCTGTTACTGACAATCCCTACCTACCAATTCATGAATAATGAAAAAAATCTCAAAACAACCCTCTAACAAAAATGTTACAATAAATTTGAGTTAGAAAATAATTTTATTCAAGTTCTTAAAAATTCACAAGGCTAGTTTTAAGCACAGCTTCCTGACACTTACTTGAAAATTTAATTCCAACATGCTCATGTCAAATTCCTGGCTCAAACCACTTACGTAAATTTCCATTCTGAACAGAAGGCTCCTTCAAGTGGTTGAAGGCCTTGTGTGCCTGGCCAGCCTCAGCTGTCTTCCTCACCCTCACTGCTCTAACCACAGCAGCTATCTATGAAGCCCTCATAAGTACCACAGGGCTTCCATCTGCGGGGTCTTTAAACATGATTCCATTTTTGGAAGATTCTTTCTTTTAGCTTAATCACTATCTCAGAAATGCCTTAAAAATATGCCTGCCTAGATTAAATGCTTCCTATCACAGCATCATAAACTTGTAATACTCATCACAGTTATAATTGTATATACATATATACTTAAACTAATACCTACCTCAAACTCAGTGTTATATGCCCCATGACAATATATTTTTTAAAAAAAGGACTAATTTTTATTCAATGCTGAAACTTTAGTACACAGAACAATATCTATCACATAGTAAGTGCCTTTTAAGCAAGTGCTGAATAAATGAATAAAATCACTTTAGTACCCTGGTTCACCACACAACCACTACCAGTTGGACAGAAGCTGTTCTAAACAGAACAAAAACCAGTAATTCAATATGGCTGAGTAGCCAAGCAGGGAGGAAGATAAGCACTGTTTTAAGTAAACTTATATGAAGATAGAGAGGGAAAAAAAAATCACAGAACTGCCACTGCTTGCCTACACATGCATAGAAAGCAATAAAAATCTAGCAAAGGGAGTTTCTCAGAATTTTTCTTAATTCAACAGCTTGTAAGGTAAGGAAGGCAGATGTTTTCTTTAATACACAGATAAGGGACCTGGGTCCAAAGAGGTTAAATCACTTTCCTAAGATCTTAAAAACAGTAAGAAGTAAACTTGAAACTTAGTGTTCTGACTCCAAATCCAACATAGTTGTCCCGTGGTATCTATGGAGGATTGATTCTAGTACCCTGCAGACACCCAAATCTATAGATGTTCAAGTCCTTATATAAAATGGTTAGTATTTGCAAATAACTTATCCACATCCTTTATATAATCTCTAGCTTAGAATACTTAATATAACATAAAGGCTATGTAAATACAGTATTGTATACTTATACAGTATTGTATAGGGAACAATGACAAAAAGTCTGTACATGTTCAGTACAGGGGCAATTTTCAGAATATTGTTGATTGGTAGTTGGTTGGATCTACAAATTGTAACCCACAGATTTAGAGGGTTATTTGTACTTGTTTCCCTACACTTGCATAAAATTAAATGTGCAGTAATGAGATAGAAAAAGTACCAAAACTGAATTAAAGATTCAAGATAGCCAGGCATGGTGTGAATACCTATAATCCCAGCAGCTCAGGAGGCTGAGGCAGGAGGATCACTTGCAGCTTTGAAGCCAGTCTCAGCAAATTAGCAAAGTTATAAGCAACTTAGACACTGTCTCAAAATAAAAAGTTTAAAAACGGGCTGAGGATGTGGCCCAGTGGTTAAGCACCCTGGGTTTCAATCCCTATTGTTAAAACAAAAACAAAAACAAACAAACAAACAAACAGCAACAACAACAACAAAAAAACACTAAGGTACTGATCTTAAATGAATTCTAACCAAAAAAAAAGAGGGGCTGGGGATGGGGCTCTCAGCAGTAGAGCGCTCACTTAGCATATGTGAGGTGCTGGGTTCAAGCCTCAGTACTACATAAAAGTAAATAAATAAAATAAAGGTATAGTGTCCAACTCAACTAAAAAAAAATTTTTAAAAAGACATGAAACTCATTAATTAAAATACATAAAATTCAAATCTTCTAGTTTCTTGAACACAAAGCTTATAAACTCCCTTATCAAAATCTGGATTATTGAATATTCAACCCTTTCTCTCCGATTTTAGCTACTATTTATAAGAGGCCCTCAACTTAAACAACTAATTATTCCCAGTTCAGACATAGGACATATTCCTTTAACAATGACTTCTCAATACAAAACTAGACTTACAAAGTATGACCTATATTGCCTTATACTGTGTCACCTTTCTTACCTAGTCAACTAATCCAGAAAGACTTGCAAAATATTGTTTCAAAAATTTATTCAGTTATTGCATTTATGATTCATACCTATTTTTCTCATATACCTACCATAGGATTTCAGGCTCCTGAGATGGGGAGCAAAGGAAATAGTGGGAATAAAGGGATGGTGTGCTCTCAGGACAGAACATGGTAGCCACACTAGCATCATCTGCCAATTTCATTTAAGAGGCACACATCTGGACAGACATTCTTCTTTAGAAACCTGACTCTTTTACCAATGCACAAGTGAAATGTCAGCCTTGTGAAGGTGGTGAGGATGAGTCCAAGAAAAGGAGAATGAATTTAATAGGTCCTGGGGATAGTAAATCATGTTCCATGGGATAAAAACAAACCACTGTTTCCATAAATTAAATTATTACTGATACAGCTACCCTCATTTACTATGTGCCACTTTACAGAAAAGATTTTCTGCAGAGATGGACATTTAAGTGAGAATTCTTATAATTATGTGAAACAATGCTAATAGGCACTTCCTATCTAAGGGCAAGTTCTCTCCACCTGTAACACTTAGAAAGCTTTCAAGTTCAACTTAGAACCAGGATGAGAACAGAAAAATCTTCTTTTAGGAATGTGTCCACCAGAGGCAGTTCAAAAGACTCCATTCTTACCAATGAGTTGTGGCACTCAGCAGAATGTGTTTTCTGCTCACACAAGCTATCTGCTCATAATGTTAAAAAATAGAAGAATAAGAGCTGTCATAAGCTACTATCCTGTACTATAATACTGTGGGCCAGAAAACTAGCAAGGAAAGACAGGATACAAAAGGGTCTCTTCTTAGGCAGGATGTGTGAAGAATACTGACATTATTCTTATTCACATTTTAAATTAGTGGCTATAATGGTTTCGATATGAGGTGTCTCCCAAAATCTCATATGAGACAGTGCAAGAAAGTTTAGAAGTGAAATGATTGGGTTATGACTGCCTTAACCTAATCATTGAATTAATTCCCTTTCAGGGATTAGCCGATGGTAACTAAAGGCAGGTATGGCTGGAAGAGGTAGATCAGGGGGCGTGCCTTTGGGTTATATATTTGTATCTAGTGAGTGGAGTCTGTGTCTCTGCTTCCTGTTATCCAGCTCCACTACATATTTCTACCATGAAATTCTGCCTAATCTTAGGACCTGAGGAATGGAGTCAGCTCTCTATGGACTGATATCTCTGAAACTGTTAGCTCCCAAATAAACTTTTCCTCCTCTAATTGTTCTTGTGAGGTCTTTTTGTCAAGGCAGTGAAAATGATGACCAAAATGGTGACCTTGAAAAGGAAATTCATAACAAAAGCTTTAAAACTCCAGGAGGAGTTTTCATGGAGGCTGTACTCCTTCACTTTTTCTGTGGTAATGGGGGACATGCTAGGGGTGGGTTGCACTCTGCTCATTTCTTGAGCTTCCTGCTCAGTGCCATTAGCAAAGTGGGACTGTTCATACCATCAGGCACTTCCCAGCATGTCACTATGGGAACTCACAGGGAGACCTCATGGAAGATAAAGTAAGCAGGAAATTAGCTTCAGTGTGTAGTAATCAAAAAGCATCATAAAACACTTTCTAGATTAGAAGACGAACCAAGAGTTTCTACCATGGTTGGGAAGGAATCAAAAAAAAATCAAAGTTTATTTTTTCAAGACCCTTCCATATGTAAAGAAATGTAAAAAAGAAAATACAAAGGTAACATCTCCAATGGTTTAGCTAGGAAAGTTTTTAACTCCCTGAGGTCCAAAAAAATCATGTTATATTATCTTTTATAACACTTTACACAGTTAGGAGGTCAATCTATATGTCACAAATAGAAATAAATTTTTCATAAATTTTAGTTTGGAAAACAGTTAAAGACAAAGTATCATTGTCCATAATGTCTAATTAACCTGTGGAATGCATATTGGCCAAAAGCATAATTCAACCCATGGATTTAAACAGGATGAGTAACTATTCTACTAAAAAATGCAGAAAGGGATGGCTGGGGATATAGCTCAGTTGGTAGAATGCTTGCCTTGCATGCACAAGGCCATGAGTTCAATCCCCAGTACCACATACACACACACACACACACACACACACACACACACACACACCAAAAAAAAGCAGAAAGGTACAAAATATTAAAATTAAAAAAGGAAAGTAAAACTCTCCTCCTTAAAAAAAAGAAAAAAAAATTACATAAAACATCCACAAAAGAGTCCTTTTGCTTCTAAGGTATTCACAATTCAACTTCAGAAATAAGATTTATGGTAAGGCAGAAATCAAGAACAGTATATAATGGTCCAGAGAGTGAAAATGTAAAAGATAAACAAGAATCTATACAACAATGGCTATTTTCATTTTCCAGATGGCCCATGCTCTTCTGATCTGACTACAAAAGGCTCTGACAATCAGCGTATTCATTATCAATCTAATAGTTCATCTCAATAATGAAAGTGCTGTTAGCATTGTAGATGGAAAGGAGAAAGAAGTGAGCTGACACACAGCCTTAGAACAGTGGCCAAGGCTTAGTAGGCACTCAGGATTCAGAGAACAAACACTTCCTGAGAAGCCTTTGTGAACACTCTTCACCCTACCCCACATTTGACTTAGGTGACCTTCCTCTGAGTTCTCACAACCTTTGGCCTTCTCTACTGAACCATTTCTCAAATGGACTGAAACTGTCTACAGGCAGGACCCCCATCTTTTCATTTCATTTCATGACCCTACCGCCAGGCAGCACTAAACATGCATTCAATGCCTGCTAAACAAAGAAATTCATTATTGTCAGTTATAACATTTTGACTCTTCTCCCTTCTACATACTAAATCCTTAAGAGGATCATGTCCTGGGGTTAGAAGGCAGAAAAAGCCATCAGACCCCACTCCTGATTAAACCTTACATTCTCATCACAAAGCTGCTGGCATTCTACCAGCCTCTGTTTTGGCAGAGCCAGTGACAGGAAGTCCACTGCCTCTCAAGACATTCCATTTTCTGGCAACTAAAATTGTTTGAAAGTTCCTTCTCAAGCAGGGTCAGAATCTGTCACTGCTATGAAAAGGGCACAGCCAAGGACAGAGTTCTTTTTACCTCACTAGAGAACTCCCTCTAGGCTGACATCCAATCTGCTCCTCTACAGTTCCAAAGCATAAATCTGTGCCCTAATGTCACAGTGCAGCCAGGTAAACTATGCTACTCCGTGGTAAAGGCACAGCCCAAGTGCCAAATATAGAACTCTGGCTTTACTCTCACAACACTGGGCAAATTACTCAACCTCTGAAACCATAGTTTTTCTCACCTGTCAAATGAAAATAAACTGGTATCTTAAAGACAGAGCTGTTATAAGAATTAATTAACCTGTAAACCATATTAGTTAAATATCTTAGGCAGAAGTATGAGAAACATGCCTAAATCTAGGCTAGCAAAAAAAAGAGAATTCTGTGGCTTTTGTGTTAGCTGAAGCTCAAGCACAATAAAACCCGGAGAACTGAACACCATCAGTCATTCCCTCAGTGTCCTTCACTCCTTGGGACAGGTTTTCTGGAATTGTGGATACTGGAAGTATTACTAAAAGGATCTCTTCCCTTAATACCAACCTGAAAATATCCAGAAGCTGAGATGTGCTCATGCTTTTAGTCTGGGGTGGGTTATTATCCTCATCGGCCACAATAGAACCCTAGGCTGGGTAGATTGGGTGAGAACAATTCATCAAAAAAGAGAGAATGCATTTTTTGGAAGATGGTGGAAGAATTTCTAGGCAGACAAAAGAATTGATATTCTCTGTATAAGTGCTCATTATACTGTATAATCTAATATAGTAATTGTACCCAGTGGTTTCCAATTTAGATTTCAAACTAGATATGCACAAAATAATTTAGGGGACTAACATATTTTGCCAACTTAAAAATATTTTTAAAACTATTACTACTATGATCATCCTTTTTTTTTTTTTTTTTTTTGGTTAATGAAGATTGAACTCAGGGGTCCTCAACCACTGAGACACATCCTAAAACCCAAAACTAAGTTGATTAGTGCTTTTGCTGAAGCTTGCTTTGAACTTGTGATACTCTTGCCTCAGCCTCTGGAGCTGCTGGGATTACAAGGTGTGTGCCACGGTGCCTGGCTTATGATCATCATTTAACAAAATAAATATACCAAAAAAAGTTAGAAGGATATAATCTCAGAATAAAGTACAATTCTTTAAATCAAATTAATTTAGCTTTATGAAGAAAGTTGCATTCATTAATTTTCTCATTTTAACCAAGGACTGGCAAAATATCACCCAGCCAGTACTTGGGAGACTAAAGGAGAGGATCATCTAGGCCTAAGAGTTCAATACCAGCCTAAGGAAAAATAGTGAGGCCTCGGCTGAAATATGGGAACCTCTGATCCAAGTCATATAATCATCCAGCCACATTACACCTCCAGCACCTTCTCCTGCACCTGGCACCCAAGAGGTTCACAGAATCTGTCAACTAGTCCAGCAGCTATAAATAAAAGACAGGAGCACAGTCTGGCATTACATGCTCTTAATAAATATACACTGGAACATAAACATATACATGAGTACACACATTTAAAAATTCTCATACTCAATTTTCTAAAAGTATTAGAGCAACTTTACATATATACAATACAGTCATTCCAAGAAAAAGATTCATGTAATGAAAGAGTGATAAAGAGAAGGACTATATGAAGTATAACTGCTTTGACAAATTTCAATTACAGGCTCAGATATAATTCTCTTGAGATGTCTCACATGAAATAAGTCTCTCTTACTCTAAATCTAAGAGTTGGCCTGTCTGTGTATGTCATGGTTAAGAAAGTAGTTTATGCAGATGATCTAAAGTGTCCTTGATTCATTTACTCAATAAATATCTCAATATCTATCACATTTCAGGCACTATGTTAGACATCAGGTCCCTGAAGTTGAACTACATACAATCTCATCTTAAGGAATTTTATGAACCAGGGAAGCTGAAAATTACTAACATAAACCACAATCTAAATTAAATTACTAGTCATTTTCTTCAATTTTCCTTACTTAATAAAAGATAAGAACATCTTAAATTTAGCCTTGTTAAGTTCCAACAGAGCACATAGTGACTGCACACAAATAAACAATTGATTTTGTGTTCTAATTTTCATGTGCTTATGGAATTAAAAGTTCAAACTTAGGGCAACTGAAGTAGAATATCCTTGGACCAAAGGCATTATGCCGAGTACAGCATGCAATACTATACCTCCAAACAATCACTCCTTGCTCTGTATGCCTAGGTAAATCCACAGGTGACTTGGCCAAGTTTTCTCTTGATTTCTGAGTTCAATAAAGGCCAGAACTATATTATTCAATCCCTCTTAGTAAAAGCTCTTATCATAGCCTTTATGGTTTTTTGGTTGTTTGGTATTTGTTTTTTTGGTAGTACTAAGGATCAAACCCAGGGCTTTGCATATGTTAAGGGCACATTCTACCACTGTCCTACATCCCTAGCCGCTTAGTCTTAAGGTAACTTTTTACTTGCCTTCCAGATTTCATGGGTAGAGTAATAGGCTACAAGGCCAAAGAAGGGCCAATAGTAGGGTTCGGGTAGTCACACAATGTGACGACAGGTGAAGCAGGAAACAGAGACCACAACAGGACAGCAAAAATAAGAACACAACGAGGAAGACTTTGAGAAAGCCAGAACAAGGAGGTAAGAACAGAAGAAGTCAGGGGGACAAAAAACACTATAATTTAGAATTGGCTCAGTGCTCTATAAGGTTAAGTCAGAGGCAAATAGAATATTAGATGACAGAGCCATCACAAATGCATGTACATATTGTGACATGAAATTCAACCCAAGAAAAATCAACACAGGTCAGAGAGTCCCATAACATGAATAAAAGAGGATCCAGATTTAGCTTATATTTCTACAAGAATCACTTGTAGTCAGGAACTGGGTTTAAACTCTTCCCCAGAAAACTGACTTTTTAGAAGAAAGGGAAGTTTTTAGTAATTTTAAAGAATAGATAAACCTTCGATGAGAAAGAAAATTCTCTAACTGATACTAAGTAACATTTTTCATAAGCATACCTTAGATTTAAAAGCTAGTTTTTTTTAAAAAAATCAAGCATTAGTACCCATAGTTAAGACCATGTTGTTTATTAGAGTCAAAGCATAATCTAAAAGGAGGAATGAAAGCCTATGAACCACCCTATTAAAGTCAAACAAGCCAAAGTTCAAGAGCTCACAGGCAGGCAGTCATTCAAGATGAATGCTGTTTCCCACCACTACCTTTTAAATGCCTAGAGTGACTAAGACTAAAAGAGCACACAAACAGGGAGCAAGGGTTACTTGGTAATTCTATTGTTCATTCTGAGGAAAAGTGTAAAGATTAATTAGTAAACACTGGGTGAAAAGTGCTAACAAAATCAAGGGAAAATATTTATAACTAACTCCCATGATAAAGTTTAAAAAAAAAAAACTTTTTTAAGAGTTAGAATCTACCATATGGAACAGGGACAATGTTTTTAACACATTTGTTCCTACTTAATATTTTAAAATTGTAAGTTTCCATATTTATTCAGTTACTACTTCCAAAGTTCTAGTTACTTCACTAAATTTGGCTCTAAGTATTAACTTACATTTTTAAATGTTGATAGCAGCCATACAATTGGTATTTGATTTGATTTCAGATTTAAAACAGGCTTTCCTAAGTATCTGGCTACTTCCCTTAATCATATTAAACAACTGAGTTTTCCTAATTCTTACATAATTATCACACAATTCAAAATACTAATCAATATTTTTTATATCCTAAAATAAAACTCTTATCTATCACCATTCCTTAGTTCTATCTCTAAGGTTCTCTAAGGTAAATTTTGTTTTAAACAATGATTCTCAGCCTGGAAAAGATTTTGTCCCCCAGGGTAATTTGTGCATGCACATGCACACACATGCACAAAGATGTGGCAGTGATTAGAGGCATTTTGGTTGTGGCAACTAGGCCAAAACTAGTGGCAAGGGATAGGGATGCCACTGACATCTAGTAGTAGGAGAGGCTAGGAATGCTGCTAAATTATGGACAGTCCCTCACAACAAAGAATTATCCACCCCAAAATGTCAATAATGACTCTGCTAGGAAACCCTGTTCTAAACTGAAACAAAAAAATTTGCAAATACAGCTGACAACTCCAAAAAACAATTGCTAACTAAGTAATTCAAAGTTCACTCAGCTTTGTTAGTAGTACAGAGAAACAGACATAATAAAAGCTTCTTTTCATGCTATCAAAATACATTAAAATGATGATCTATTAATCACAAATGCATTAGGTTGCTGACAGATATGAAAGGCGAAAAAGTACTTTCACTACCCAAGCAATTAAAGATATACTTCCTTGCAAAAAGAACATTTCAGAAAACAAAACAGAGTATGAGTTAGTCATGTTCTTGATAGTTTTCTATGAAACTCTATTATCTCTAACCACACTTTTTCTCCCCTCGGTCATCAGATTTTTAAATGGAGAAAATTTAAAATAAATAGAAGAGGGAAGTTAATTACGTGATACTAGTCGGTAGAATAAGATCAAAATACATTACTAAAGAATCTGTTAGAACTCCAAAGTTTACCTGGCAAAAGGACTGGCTCCAGTTTTTTAATCTTCGGTTCCGAATTGATCTTATCATCAGTCTGAAATACATTAACAAAATTAATCAAAATCGAAACTCCCCTCCCATATAAGAAAGGGGATACTAAGGCAATTTTCTGTTTTCTACATGATGACACATGCGACAGACACACATTCTCCCACTTCGACTCTTTCACGTCTTAACCGAGATCTGCTCTATGGCCATGGGAGCCTGACAATAAAAAAACATTAAAATCGCTTGTACCTGTTCCAAGTGTTTACATTTATGACAGTAACCTCCTCTTACCAGATGCCTACAAGCGCAGCAAGCACGCTGGCGGTCACAGTGGGGACCATTGCCCGGGCTAGGAACTAAACAAACCCGGCTCCGAACGCTCCCTAGGACAAGACTTCGAGTAGAGAGAATGGCTGCAGCAGAGTTTCACAAGTTTCTACCACAGAAGGGGAGGCTCCCAAAGAGGCGCGTTTCCGCGCCCCGGGGCTCAGACAACCGCGCGGCGGGGGGCACCCAGACAGACACAGCCTAGCGGGGTCCCTCCGCTCCGGGGGTTCGGCCCTGCGGCTCCCCGGAAGCGCCAAGGAGAGGACAGCTCGCGGGGAGGGGGATGTTTACCTGGGGCGGCGGCAAGAGGTAAGACCTGAAGGTGGGTCTGGGCGGCTTGAGGGAGAACATGGTGCCGCCGTCTTTTCGCCCCGGCCCAGTCGCGGGCCAGCAGCAGCTTGGAAGCCTCTGAACTCCTCCGGCCTGAGAGCTCCCGGAGCGGCCGCCCAGGCCCAGTTTGCTGCCCGCCCGGCCGGGCGGACAGTAGGGCGGAGACACAGCGGAGCGCCCGCCCGACTGGGGAGGAGCCGCGGCAGAGCCGGCCTACGCGGGCGCCAGGGGCCCATCCCCGGAAGGAGCCCGGCGCCCCGCCTCGAGAGACCGCTTGCGCAGGGCTGGCGGTCCGCCACTTCCAGCCTGTAGGCCCGGCTGACTCCGGAACGCAAGGACTGAGCTGAGCTTCGGCTGCCGGGCCCGCAGAGGGGACACCGTTAGACGCGGAGCAGGGTAGCCATCTTCAGAACGCGGCCTTGGGAGGGCGCTCCTGCGGCGGCCCCAGGCCATGGCGTTGAGTGCCCCCTATTATAGCGACCCCGCCCCGGACTCCCTCCTCCGGGACTTCTCCCAGAAGTGCTGCTCTTAGTCATCAGCTTGGGCGAGCATTGTTTTTGAAGCCCTGAGTGAGGAGCCCGGGGTGGAGGGAAGGGAACTCTGATTCCCCTGACTCAAGCAGTAACACCGTCTGCGCGCTGTGGAGGACCCAAACCCGTGCAGCCAAAAGTGACCCATTCAGTGTAGGCTGGACTGCCCGTGATAAAGTCCCCTCCAAAGTTCTCAAACTTGGTGAAGATTTTCTTCTGTCACCCCCTCTGTTGTCTTTGTTAAAAACTTGACACGGGGACGACCTCCTGCTAGTTGAGCTCACTGCTGGGATGCTCAGGTTTGGTGTGTGCTGTAGGGACTGGGATGTTGGCCAGCAACCTAGACTGCTCAGTTTAGATCGTTAATTTCTAATCTTCTTGTTAAGCTTTAATGTGGAAGAAGTTATTAAGCAATTTGCCTTTCCTTGCCCATCCTCACATATAAAGATGGTAAAGAGCTGATAAATGATCAAAAACCTAGCAAGAGTAGCCGTGTAGGGGACTTCAATCTGCCTGTTAGTTGCAAAGAACTTAAACCTGTCAAGTATATTTCTAAACTCAATGTTTTTAAATGGAGCAGCCTTTGGTGGGAGGAGGCCAGAGTGGTAGATGCTGGTGAGTCTACTGGTTGACAGTAGGTCTTTGTTATACTTTGAAGAATAAAATCCAATCCAGAATTTTATGATTAATGTCATGGGGAGTCTCTGATGTGGACAGTGCGAATCACAGTCATACAGACGAGTGTTGCTAATATTAAAAAATTGAAGCAAAGATTCAAAAGTTGTCTTTTTCTGAAATAACTTGTTCCAGATTTGGAACCCTGCTGATCTTTCTGGTTAACCTGTTTGAGTAACACTTGTATCCATTTTGCCCAGGAACCACAGTTGTCAATGTCAATTCTATTGTATTGTACATGTGGAAACACTGTTGTGCACATATTTTTTACTTTATGAATATTCTGTTATTTCCCTACATTAAATGGATTTTTCTCCACAGATGCTCTTCAAGCATTTTGTGGTTTCTTCCTTATACTTCTATGGCTTATTCTGGGATTTGGGTTTTGCTGTACAGGTTTCCTTAGGACCTATAATTCTCATGTGTATGTGACCATAGAATTAAAAATTGGAAAAACTCTGCTTTCCAGATTTGTTATTGATTTAGCACCAAATTTTATGATTTTCTGGATAACCAGTTGTATTAATCTGCTTGGGCTGTCATAACAAAATAGTACAGATTAGTAACTTAAATGACAGAATAGATAGATAATGAATTAGACAATGAATTCTCAGTGTCTCTTATAGGGACACTAATCCTGTCAAATTAGAACTTCATCCCTATGACTTAATTTAAGTTCTGTTGTTTTCCACACTTTTATTGGTACATTATAATTGTATATATTGATGGGACTTATTGTTAAATTCCTATATGCTCACAATGTAACAATATGATGTGGCCAGTATCACTCCTTAGCATTTCCCTTATTTAATCTTAATTGCCTCCTAATAATCTGTCTCCAAATATAGTCATATTGGGCATTAGGGTGTCAATGTGTGCACTTTGCGGGGACATAATTCAGGCCATAGCACTGGTTTTGGAGACTTCTCCTAGATCGTGATCTCATTGCCTACTTTATGTTTTATATAATTGACCATCCCCTTCTTGGGGGCTGTAATGTCACTATTTTGACCTGTTTCATCTTTTTCTGACTGTACATGTTTTCTTTTTTGGGGGGGAAAGGTACCAGGGATTGAACTTTGGGGCACTCGACCACTGAGCCATATCTCCAGCCCTGTTTTTTTTAATTTTATTTAGAGTCGGGGTGGTCTCACTGAGTTGTTTGGTGCCTCACTTTTTGCTGAGGCTGGCTTTGAACTTGTGATCCTCCTGTCTCAGCCTTCTGAGTCTCTGGGATTACTGGCATGTGCCGCTGCTCCCGACTTGTACATGTTTTTATTATTGATTCTTCTAACATAGGGAATAGTAACATTCCCTAAAGATTACTTCCTTTTCCTTGACAAGGAAAGAGCTAACACTTGTTGAATGTTAGGTGCTAGATAATTTATATATTCATTTAGTCACTTATTTAATTGGTTAGCAAATTTGCATTGAGTGTTAACTTTGTGCCAAGCACTATTTAAAATCCTAAGACAAAGAAGTTCCTATTTTCACGACACTTTTATTCTAGATAGAAAGATATTATTTACACACACACATTTAACATGTCATATGGTAACAAGTGTTGTGAAGAATAATAATGTGGGGAGACAAAAGAGAATGTATATATTTCTACATACATATGTTAGCTATGGTCAGGGAAAGTCTGATTGATGACATTTGAGCAGAGACCAAAAGGAGTGAGAAAGCAAGCCAAGTGGAAATCAGGAGGAAGAGTGTTTTGGACTGAGAGTTTAATACTAAATACCCTCAGGGGACAGCCTTGTTGTGTGTTTCAAGCAGCCTAATGCATTAGGAGAGGAGATTTAAGGGAAACAACAGGCTGGATCACATAGGCCTTGAGAGCTGAGAAGCTTTGCAGTGTTCTGAGTTGAAAGTCATATGACCTGATTCCAGCTGCCATAGTGGTATAGCAAGAGAGAAGCTGTGAAACAAATTGAGGAACTACTGTAATAGTCTAGATAAAAGTGGTTGATGGTGATAGCAGTGGAAGAGGTTAGTAATAGTTATATATCATTTCTACAAAATGATGTCACTGACTCAGCATATGTTCTTTAAGATAAGTAACTTACAAAATCTGTTTCTTGAAGAATTCTGGGATGATAACAGCAGCAGCAGTTTTTCAGTCTAAACATAAAAGCAGACAAAATATATACCAAAACCCAATATCCCACAATTTGCAATATAGAAGCATGTGGTACTAACAACCAAGGGCTGTCATAAAGTGACTGTGCATCAATAAAGGAAATCAATAAGCATCCGGAAAACTTCAAAATAGCCAAAAAGTATTTTCTAGAAGGTTCAGCCAGTTAGGTTGAGAACAATAGCAGAAATAGGAAGGGGTATTTATCTTCTCCAAAACATGAGAGTGCAAGGGGCTCATGGTAAAGTCTAAAAGGGCTGGAATAATATAACTGCAGGAACTCTGGAAACAAATCTTCGGGAATTCCTTCTAGGAGAGGGACCTACACCGAGTACTAACTCCCAGCATGGAAACCATATTGAGCAAAACAAACAACAGAGACAAAGGCAAGAGAATATCCAGATAAAAATGAAGAACAAGATTATCTCCAAATATAAGCTGAATTTAAAATTTAAATTTACCATATATTTAAAATATTTAAAAATATTTTAAATACATGGTAAATCCAGGTGCAGTGGTGCATACCTGTAATCCTGTGGCTGAGGCAGGAGGATCCTGAGTTCAAAGCCAGCCTCAGCAAAAGCGAGGCACTAAACAACTCAGTGAGACCCTGTCTCTAAATAAAATTTTAAAAAAAGGTCTGGAAATGTGGCTCAGTGGTCAAGTAAGTGCCTTTGAGTTCAATCCCCACTGCAAAAAAGAAAGAAAGAAAAGGTAAAAACAGAAGATGTTCTCTAACAGAAGTTAGAAAAGAAATTCTTCAAATAACCTCCTTCAAAAAGTTCAAGAAAACAATTTCACATAAAAATAACCACATGAAAGTATGGAAGTCAAATCCCTTAGAAAATTATTGTACCAAAAGAGAACAAGAACAGAATAACATTCCTACAGACAACAAAAGCATACCAGAAAGATGTGCTTTCTAAGCAAATCAAAATTACCGTCTACTATTTTAAAGTGAGCCAAAAAAAAAAAAGGGACATGATGAGTCATAAAGAACTATATAAATTAGAACTAGAAACACTTGAAATGAGTAGAACTAGAAATAAGAAATTATTCCTGAAATGAAAAGTAAACTAAAGGAAACCCAAGGATCAATAAACACAACTGATTGTGCATTAAGAGAAGTAGATGGTACCAGGAATTGAACCCGGGGGGGCACTTAACCACTGAGCCACATCCTTGGCCCTTTTTTTATATTTTATGTTGAGATAGGGTCTCACTGAGTTACTTAGGGCCTCACTAAGTTGCTGAGGCTGGTTTTGAACTTGCAATCCTCCAGCTTCAGTCTTCCAAGCTGCTGGGTACAGATGTGCACCACTGTGCCCAGCCAGAAGAAAGAATTTAAAGGTCAAAAAGCAATGAAAGAAAACAGAGAGAAAGTGGCAAACATTGAAGAGATACAAATAGGATCCACCATACAGATAACAGGAGTCTCTAGTCCATAGAGGGGGGAAAAAAAAGGTGAGGAGGAAAATAAGGAAATCGAACAAATACTACAAACAATATTTCAAAAGAAGTGAAAAGCTACATATATATATATATATGTATATACACACATATGTGTGTGTGTATATATATAGGCTTAACAACACTAAAACACATTCTTCTAAAATTGTTGTTCTTTTTTTTTTAAGAGAGAGGGAGAGAGAGAATTTTAATCTTTATTTTTTAGTATTTGGCGGACACAACATCTTTGTTTGTATGTGGTGCTGAGGATCGAACCCGGGCCGCACGCATGCCACGCGAGCGTGCTACCACTTGAGCCACATCCCCAGGCCAAAAATTGTTGTTCTTTAAATTTAAAAAATGTGAACATTTCTTTGGTTATCTAGGTGCACAGAGAAAGTGATTTTGGGGTGAAAGAAAATTAGATTATCATCAGACTTTGGGGCAGCAATGCTTTATCCAGAACAAAAGGGAATAACACAGTCAAAGTAGTTAAAGGAAGAAAATATCAGAGGATAATAACTAGAATGGATTAAAGCACAACCTACATGTTTAAAACCGTAAAATAGCAAAGATGCTTTTAAGAAACAGAACCATATCTGTCATCTTGGGAGTAAGATAAATAACAAATTTATTATTTTGAAATTTGGCAGATATATGGGGGAAAGTCATTAGCCTGCTGTATTGTATGAACTGCACTGCTATGCAATTAACTAGTAGGTGAAAGGAATCATCTCTTTACAGTCAATAAAATAAAAAGAATAGAGTTTGAATAATACAAATAATACTTTCAGCTTCCTATGAATTCAGAGATCTAGACATTGAGCATCAATAGCTGCTGAATTCACAAAATGACATGTAGGTGCAGGTGTTTTGTGATGGGAGAAGCAACACCACCTAAACAGCCTTGCCAAAAGGATCAAACCTAAGTCTAAATAAGTATGTGAATAAACCCAAGCCTAAATAAGCCAACATGCAGGAACAGGAAAACACCTCAAACTACTAATGAGTGTTCAGTAAGTAAAATTTAGACTGTAGGAAATTTTTCAAGATAAGTGGCCCCTGCTCTTCAACAGATGAATTGTAAGGAGGAGAAAGGAAGAAAGGAGAGATCAGCAGATCAATGCACATTCAAATTTTTAAAAAGAACATCAAACAAAAAAAATACAGTGCTTGCTAATGAACATTCAGGTGGTGAAACTATAATGAAATTCAAGTGCAGTAACTTTAAAACATGGCTGCACAATTTTTAAACATGTTCCTGTATATGAACTCTCCCCTTGAATCTTATTTATTTACACAGTTACATATTAAATGATTTGAACATACGCAGTGTTTTTATATTTTAATGTATTAGGTACTGCTAGCTTTGAACATTAATTCCTAATATTTGCTTCTCTATAGTTAGGAAAAAATTGTAATGACATTGGAAGCAATAATGTAATAATTAATAATGTAGTAATGTTATACAAGCAGACTGTCACATAGTTCTACATAAAAAATACTCAATACTTAAGTCCTACTGTGTTGGTGAAGTACATAAATAGCTATATGGTATGGTTTAAGGTGCTCAAGAATAGTTGACTTGCCACAGGTTCTGAAATTCCACCATCAGAATGTACTCATTTGGATCTGAGAAAACACTATATCAAAACTCACATTCAACTAACACTTTGACAGGAGATAGGTATTGCAAATCTTGGCAAGATTTTAAGGGAAGGAAACATGGGTCTCATACCTGAGGCAAAGTGGGAGCGAATTCAAAAAAGGGCGGCTGTGTAATAAATAGAAATGGAGGATTTTAAAGAAAAGCTTTACCTTCCTTGGACCAGTTCCATAAATAGTCATAGGTTTCCCTACTTAGTCTGTGAAATATATTTTTCCCCCTAGGATATGACAAAAGTCTGAAAGTATTTTTGTTACAAAAACGAAAGATTTTTGAAAGACATAAAATGATATGGGTAAGCAGTGAGTGAAAAATATACATATGTGGGCTGGGGCTATGCTCAGCAGCAGAGCACTTGCCTCGCATGTGGAGGCACTGAGTTCAATCCTTAGCAACATGTAAAAATAAATAAAATGAAGGCATTCTGTCCATCTACAAGTATAAAAAATTAAAAAATATATATGTATATGTGTGTGTATGTGTGTGTGTGTGTGTGTATAGCAGGATTGATTAAATAGTCTCAATGTACCAGTAGACATGCAATTAATAGTTTCATTTATTAAGTGAATATTATTGTTCATTAAATTTCAGAGCACATGACCCAGCAATGGCAGATCAGTCCTTTATGATAAATTCAGTCCTTAAATTTTCAAATCTTATTTTGAGAAAAAAGATTCATTTACATGTAGGTATTACCATCTCTGATCACTACCTTTGGATAATTTCAGTAAGCCTCTGCCATGGAATAGACCACAATCTCATTTGTTTCTCTGTCTCTGACTTTATGTGTCACTGTCTCCATCTGTCTTTTTGTGTGTCTATGCCTTTCTTTCCTCCTGGACGTGATAGTCTGCATCTCTGATGAGAAGGGAAGTGTTGATCTCTTGTTTTATGATCATCTCCCTTTTCTGACATGTCCTCTGCCCACCACTACACCAGTTCCTAGATACTCTCTATCCAAAGGTTCTTTCTCAGTGAAGTAAGAGCTGTTCAGTGACTCCAGAGAAGATGATGTCCAGAGACTCCCCTGAGACCTTATAAGTGTTGCAGTTGGGAGGTATGAGAACCTAGAGTCTAACTTCCATTCTAGCCAGAGAAGAGCCCTTAATGCCCCCTCCACTCCTTTTTGTCAAGAGTAGTGCTGACCTTAAGAGTTCCTAGTCAGTTCCCCCTGCCCCTGAACTCTTGCATGGGTTGCTAATACTCTGATAGGTGTTTGTTTTTGTGAAAATTCATTATACAAACTGGAGTCACTCCTGGCACACCTCACTAAAATAAGTTGAGGGTGTGGGAAAAGGAAAACACCCAGGTCACAAATGCATCCAGAACTATGCCATGAGCCCAATCCAGTAGAATAGCCTGCCCTGGCTTTAAGATTCTGCTTAGCAACTGACAACATACCTACCAGCAGAACCTTAAGACTAGCTTTACATACAAATGCCTCCACTTGCCAGTTAAAGCTTGCCAGCTTCCAGAAGCAAGGAAAGTGTCAATGAATTTTCTTTTATTCTAACTTTCATAGATTTCTCTGTCCTAATAAACCCCCCCCCCAATGTTTCCTTTGTTCTTTGGACATACCAGAAGCCACCCCGGCTTGTGCATGTGTGTCCTTGATTGCAATCCAATTCTTTCTTCCTAAATAAAGCTCCTTTTTTTTGGAGATTCATCTCTATATTGTTCTTGATTGTGTATCCTTTAGGTTTTAGCTATAGCTTTGACATAAATCATCACCTAGATACAATTGATTTGTGTTTGCTATTGATGACCATTTGACAACAGACAGATGCATACTGAATATTTTATTTTTACACATTAACAAAACTCTTGGTCACTCTAAATTGTTAGAGTGTGATGTGTGTTTGATGTAATTGTGTACTTTCCCCCCATTGTGCGATTTAAAAACAAAACATTGAAACATAAACAAAAAAACTCATGAGTTGTATGGCTCCTTCCCACTTCTTCTTGCACATAATAATCTTATTTTAAATCCCCCCTCAGCACCCCCTCTTTTTTTCCATTTTTGCTTACTTCTTAGGTGACCTGATGGCGATTTACATGCTGAAAGGCATTTCTTAGGCTACTCAGTGGCTCCCAGGAATAAAAATATCCTAATAATTAATTTTGCATGCTGATTAATCAGTTTATCTCCATTGCCATATTGTCACTTTCATTTGATCCTGCTTCAATTAAAAAAACCTCAGTTTGCTAGTATATGTTAACAAAATACTACTTTAAATGTAGTGCCTTGAAATTTAAATTCACATTTCCAGCATTTTTTAATGAAAACATTTTCAGCAATTGATGAAATTTAGATGGCCACGATGGCACCCATTTGTGGTTCTGGTTTAAAACAAAACAAAACAGATCAGCATTCAGTTTCTGTGGAAGTGTTCTCGTGCTCAATCTTTTGTTCTTCCATTGCAGTTGCAGACACAACTACTAGGTTACTTACACTGCTGGCTTGTCCGGACCTGTCTAATTTGTCCTGAAGGGGTTTAACATTCCTAGGATGGCCATGTAAACTTTTTGACCTGAGAGATGGGAATCCCAAAGTTTGGTCTGGTTTCACAGACAATGAGTTCTCCTTTTCCATTCTGTCAGTAACAGTGAAGGACAAATGAGAGATTTGAGGGATACTTTGAGAAACATAATTCTCATCTCTGCTATCTGTCGGCTGCTCTTTATGCTCTGCTTGCACTGCAGTTTCTGACGTGATGGAAGGGATATCTGTGCTACGAGACCGTGTGATCTTCTGCACCTGATATTTCCACTCGGCTGTCCATTGCTGAACTGTCGAGGGGCATGCTTGGTCCATGACTGAACTGTACTCAGCATTCCATTTGTTATACCCACCAACCACCTTTCTTCCCTCAGAATAGACAAAGCTTCTGGACTTCATTGTTTTAAAAGTATTGACTGCTTCATCGGGGTAATAGCGTGTAATTTTAGTTTCTTCCAGGGGATAGGAAATTGTGCCTTCCATCTTTGTCGTCTCTACTGTTAACTGAGTGTTTGGAAAATCTGATTTGTTCTGTCCGTGCATAACATCTGTTGGGTTTAAATCTGGAGAAACTGTTTCTGCTCTTTTAGAGTCTTCCTGTCTTTCATCACCTTCAGTTGAAATCCCAATATTTGGACCTACTTTGGGTTCTGAAGTGTTCTTGGAGTTGTCTACCCCAAGTCGATTGCGGTCTGGTGTTGCTGGTGGGCTTGGACTTGAAGAAAAGTGAAGGCTGTCCTGGCGTTCAGGGAGTAGGTGTATTTTTGAGTCCTTCTCTTCCTTCACACGAAAGGAACAGGTTTTCTTCCTGAATCCTGTCCCTGGTGACATGGAAAGAGAAGAATCCTCAAACAATAACTCCTCCCCATTAAAGTGATACCGATACATGCTGTAGCCATCGGCACTGTTGATGCTGCTTTGCCGTAGAAGGTACGCTGCATCACATTCTGATGAAGCTCTGGACCGGGTCTGTATCAGATCCGACTTGTCAATTCCTGCAAGATTTTCAAGAGCATTCACCATTCTGCTAGATAATTCTTCGAGTTGAGAAAGTCGAAGTTCAACAGTCTGTAGGGAAGTTTTCATAAAATTTTCTCGTTCATTGATTTCTTCCAGCCTCATTGACATGCTTTCAACTCTGGTGAATACAAAAGAGATATATTTGTTAAACCAAGATAACTGAATAATAAAAAATAAAAGGATGACATCATTGTTATATGATCTTTCAAGCGTTTGAGAATCATGGTGGGCATCTTTGAATCTCTCTAATATAACTACTCAAATGTCTGTGAAGTTAAGTCCTACATATTCATAACAGGAAATAATGGAAAAATAGTTAATACATAGATAGCTTACTACGTGTCAGTAATACTGCCAAGTACCTTACATATTCAATAACAAGTACTTGCTCAGGTGCTATTCTAGGCTTCCTTAATCCTCACAACTGCTCTGTGAGATAGGCACTATTATTATCATCTCCATTTTAGAGATGAGGAGATTAAGTCATGGGAAGTGTGAGTAATTTGCCTTAGGGTGCACAGGTAATCAGTGGTGGAGCTGGATTTGATATAATTTAGCTCCTGCATTTGCTCCAGTCATTTTACCTTAGCTGATACATCACACTGTCGCTAGTAATAAAGAAAGATTTAATTGTACCTCAGTTTCTGTAAGAGATTGGTCCCAGTACCTTCATGGATACCAGAATTCATTGAGGCTCAAGTCCTACATATCCAATGCTATAGTATTCGCATAGAACCTACACAACATCCTCTTATGTACTTTAAATCATCTCTAGATGATTTACAGAACCTAATGCAATGTAAATGCCATAAGAGTTGCTATACTGAATTATTTAGGGAATAATGATAAGAGAAGAAGTGTACATGTTTACTACAGATACAATTTTAAAAAATGTTTTCAAATTGAGGGATGCAGAGCCCATGGATATGGAGGACCAAATGTGCTAGCACTTAGTCTCTGAAATTTTAACTATGACCATCAGCAATAAATTGTTAAAATAAAGTCCTTACTCAAGTTCAAGGGGTTCAGAAAATGAATTGTTAATAATTAAGTTCAGATTATCAGATGATATGCTTGAATGACAATAGACCATTTAATTGTCTGAAGAATGCCAGTAACTTTAATTACTCTTTTTACTTAATATTCCTTTAATGAGGTTACACAAGAAAAGATCTTGGCAGATTATAAATGCCTAGTGTTAAGTAATTTTAAAAAATGCCTAGAAGATCAGGCAATAGCCTACAAAACTATAAATGTTGTCTGGACTAAAATCCATTGAAATTGACTTTGTTTTATATTCCAACATATACAGTACAATTTCTTTCAAACAGGTAGTAAGGTATGAGCAGGATTTAAGCCTGCCTTCTAAAAATTAAATTTGTAGTCAGCTGCAGTGGTGCACACCTGTAATCGTAGTGATTCAGAAAGCTGAGGCAGGAGGATTCCAAGTTTGAATCCAGCCTCAGGAACTTTAGTGAGGCCCTAAGCAAATTAGCAAGACTCAGTCTCAAAATGTAAAATAAAAAATAAAAAGAGCTGGGGACGTAGCTCAGTAATAGAGTGTCCCTGGGTTCAATCCCCACTATCAAAAAACCAACCAACCAACCCAACAACTTAATAAATAAGTTGAATTTGTTTCAGGGATGGGCATAGGAGTCCTGGCTCTCAGTTGAACAGTATGGTGGTCTGTTCCAGCAGATTTCTCCCTGTGTGAAGGCAAACAACTTGATCTGATTCCATTATGCTTTGATTTTTTTTCTCACACCTTTCTTAAAAATGGACAGTCTTACTGGGCACAACAGCACATGCCTGTAATCTCATTGACAAGGAGGATTTTAAGTTGAAAGCCAGCCTCAGCAGCTTAGTGAGACCCCAAGTAACTTAGCAAGACCCTGTCTGGAAAAAAAAGTGTTTTTTTTTTTAAATACCTTTTTTTTATTGGTTGTTCACAACATTACAAAGCTCTTGACATATCATATTTCATACATTAGATTGAAGTGGGTTATGAACTCCCAATTCTACCCCAAATGCAGATTGCAGAATCATGTCGGTTACACATCCACAATTTTACATAATGCCCTATTAGTAATTGTTGTATTCTGCTACCTTTCCTATCCCCTACTATCCCTCAAAAGTGTTTTTTTTTTTTAAAGGGCTGGGGATGTGGTTTTATGGTTATGTGCCCCTGGGTTCAATTTCTGGTACAAAAATAAAAAGGAAAGAAAGAAAGAAAAAAAAAAGACAATCTCTGTAGTCACTTGGCTTGTAGTTTATTTTCAGGAAGACTCTGCTACCCTTGCTACATACCTCACTTGTTCTGCTTGCTTTCTTCTAACACACGATGGACCCCCCTTTTCTTATCTTTCGGACAGTGCTTGCACTGAAAAAGTTCTGTTCTGTGCCTGGCTCCATCTGGGCACCACACACACAATGCTGCTTCTGCAGCTGCATTGTCACTTTAGCTAATGTAGCTCTTCTATTGGTTACATTGACAGCTGCACTCTGATATGTGGCAGGGCCCCGGCTTCTATTCTTAACTTTTTTCTTGGGGAGAAAACTATTTATATGTCCCTTTGGAAGCCACATCACTTGAGCCAGGAAGGGTATGGCTTCCTGAAAGTTTGCCACCGGGGAGGACCAAAAATTCACCTTGAATGAGAAGTCCTGATTTCCTTCTTTTAAATAGACCTGTAGGTTTTAAGAGTTCTCTCTCATCTTGCATTTCAGAAGCCCACAGAAGAACTACTTACTGTACACTTTCCATCACTTTTGAGTAAGACTTGGTGTTCTCTTTCAAATGGCTCCTTGCTCCCTTCATGTCTATTACCCAAGATTCCTTTTATATTAAAGCCACTGTGCCTCTTTAACAGTCAAATTTATTGCCTTTAACAAATACTACAATCAGAGATAATGTAGCTATGCAAACTGGTAAACAGAGATAAGCATCTTTCCTTTCAGATCTTTATAATTCTCCCCTTATTTTTCCCCTGTATTGCTTAATTCAGATAACAGCATTACCAAACATCCAGAAATTAAAAAGAAACCTCAAAGTCTTAGTATCCTTTGGTTTCTCTTATTCTTGCTCTCACCCTTCACCTCTCTACCCTTTCCTCCCTCCAACCTTGAATTAGCTACCAAACCCTGTGGGAAAGTCTTTCTTAAAGTCTCAGTCCTCCATTCCTACTGCCACTCCCTTCCTTGTAGCTGTGGGAGAAACAATGCTTTATGAAGTGGCTTTGGTTAAGAAAAATCATCAGCTGCTTGTTTTAAGCCTGTAAACAGCATGGAGATCGCACATTTTAAACAGTTTATGCCAAATCAAGGGAGGCTGTAGTGAGGCTTTTGCTTCAAAATGAGGTCTTCCTATGTTGCCCAAGCTGGTCTCAAATTCCTGGGCTTACGTAGTCTTCCTGCCTCAGGTCCTACATAGCTGGGACTATAGGTACATGCCACCACCTGGCTGTTTTTATAGCATGTGTAAAAGAAGAAAGAATAAAGGAGTTCAGGTTCACTTATGTCTGAAATAATTTACAAAAAGGACAAATGATGAACTATCTTCATTCCTAGCCATATTTTGAGACTTCCCACAATTATGAAAAGCTGTTTCAAAAACCTTAAAATCCAAGAAACAGTGGTTTCCATTTCACGTGGGAAAAGACAGGCTATCTGGCAATCAACTTGACAAAAGTCCTACATCTGTTTACATATTGAATAGCAGGAAAACATAAGGGAAACCATCATTTATGACAGATCTCATAGCGGGATATGATTAATCAGCAAGCATGTTATTTGTTTAGTTTTCTAAGTCTCAGTTCAGCTTTTCTTTTAGCACAGAGGAAAATATTTTCAGCACAGCATACAACACCAAAGTTGTCTAAGTCCAAGTGATTTGCTTTTCTTTCCCTTTAATTAAACTTCATTCTTAGAGAGAAAGAGGAGGTCCTAGGGAATGAAACTGACCAAATGATATTGTTACATTTTGTATACATATGAGACTCCAACAACAAATCCCATTATTATTTATAATTACAATATTAACAAAAAACAATAAGAAAAATAAATCTCCTAAAGATGTGTTTCTAGTTAGAATGTACTTATAGTACCTTTTTAAAATTTGCTCAAATTAGTTATACATAACAGCAGAAGGCATTTTAATTCATTGTACACAAACAGAACACAACTTTTCATTTCTCTAGTTGTACAGATGTAGAGTCACATGATTCATGCAATCATACATGTACCTAGGATAATTATGTCCATCTCATTCCCCACCATCTTTCCTATCCCCATGTCCCTTCTGCTCCCCTCACGCCCCTCTGCCCAATCCAGAGTTCCTCCATTCTTTCCTTGCCCCGCCCCATTATGAATCAGCATCTACTTATCAGAGAAAACATTTGGCTTTTGTTTTTTGGGGATTGGCTTATTTCACTTAGCATGATATTGCCAACTCCATCCATTTACCTGCACAAGCCTCAGTACATTTTGAAGGATATTTTAGTTGTTTCTATTTGGGGGACAAGTATGAAAAGATCTGGTAGGAACATTTATGCCCAGCCTCCATTTAATTTTTAAAATCCTCTGGCCCATAACTACATAATATCCTGCTGAAATTTTTCTAAGTATTGCATTAAATCTGAATATCGATTTGGGGAGAACTGAAATCTGTACTATACTGAATCTTTCAAAACATGAATATGATATATTTCCTTATTTGCTTAAGTCATTAATTATTTCTTTTAATAGTGTTTTAAAATATTTTGCATTTGGATTGCATTCTTATAAGATATATACCTAAGTATTTCATTTTGTCAGAGCTCTTGCTGAACTCTTGTTGAACTCTCAGTGTTGTTTAAAAATTTTTAAAGTTCAATTATGTTAGTATATAGAAATAAAATTGATTTTTGTGTGTTGCCCTTTTATTTAGTAGTTTTGATAAATTTACTTATTACTTTTAGTTTGTTTAGTTTTGTTACTTAACAATTTTATGTAATTTTCTTATAGACAACTGTGTCATTTACAAGTGAGAAAGCTTTAGTTCTTCCTTTTTAAGATGTATGTCTCTTATTTCTTTTTCTTGCCTTATTGCACTGGTTAAGACTTCCAGCATACTATTAAATA